GATGTGACATATGAATGTTTACGAACCTATTTTTATAGAGAAGATATCTGTCAGCACATGTGTGTAACCCTAAACTCGTGCGCTGTCTGAAATTAATGATTTAAGTACATATTTATACCAACAATTTTATATTTAAAATTCAAACAGTAATAACCTTAATAATTAAAAAAAAAACTACTCCATACATATCCTGCAAAGAACAATTTCTGTTAAAAACATTTCAAACAATGTGCATAATTTTCCAGACTAACGATTTGAATAAGACAAACGTAATAAACTTAAGACGCCAGTACGCCCAGGACTGATCCTCAATTGAGGACCCGGGCGAACCCACTTGAGTCATAAGGACATTAGGCTTCAGTTTGTCAAGAGAGTTCGGGCTAAAAAAAAAGGGAGAACAACGAAAAAACAAGGAAATTCAGTTGTAAAACCGGCGACTCGAGCCACAGATACAGATGCGGATACACATGCTCGCCGGCTCGTAATCTTAATCCTTCACACAATAAACGCCCCTTAGATGGGCTGCTGTATATAGGACCATCTTCTGGTAGCAATATCCTGATCCTGTTTGCCGGCAGCGCCCTTCACAGCTTCGTTTCAGGATTGTCGCATTATGGGTTTTCGAGCGGTCGCAGCGGTTCGTCCTTTTGTTTTAAATTAGCACGGCATGTTGCACATACGGCATCCGTCCGTTTGTCCGCCTGCTTGTCCGTCCGTTTGTCCGCCTGCTTGTCCGTCCTTGAAAACCCTCGGAAACTGCTAGCAATTTCCTACAAATTTGTCATTGGCAAACCATATTCGAATGTCGTACACCGAATGGAAATTAGGTAAATTGCATTTGTGGTTGCCAATGCAGTGATAATAAATTTAGATAAATTATTTCCAGCTACTTCTATCGAAAATGTAATGTCAACACTAATTAGCGATAAAGAGAGCGAAGAGGGGAGTGGAGGGGGGTGAAAACGGACTGCGGCAAATAAATTAAATATTTTACCTATACAGGCCACTCAGATAGTTGCCTCCGTCAGTGGTGCATTGAAAGCTATTAAAGCAAATTGCACAGGTGCCGCCCCCCTCAGCCTAGAAAAATAAAACCACCGGGTCCCATATCCATTTGTTTTGTTTGACTTTCGGAGTAGTATCTCTATCGTACACTACATGTGTAGTCGAGTTTTCCTCGTTGTCTGTGGGTCTAATTGCGATTTAATGTCTTGCCTTAGCAGTTTGGCGTCTTCGGTTTTTAGCTGGCGATAACAGTAGCGTTTTATCAACGCAGAAATTAATGGAGCTAGTGTGTCCCCCAGCCAGGTGGGTTCAATAAATATATCTACATATATATTTTTAAGCACATCTGTACTTGGGGGGGATAGTACAGGGCGGTACACCTCCATTAGGCGAGTTTTCCCTGTGTGGGTTTCCAAGTGTGCGGGTGTTTTTCCCGCCATCCATTGGATGTGACTTAATGCCTTCCAAGTGGAACACCTTATCGCTTCATGGTGATTTATGCGACGCCTATTACGACTATATATTCCGCGGAAGCTCTCCCGATATTCCTATGAAATCCCGTATCTCGAATGGAAATCGTTGCGGTGGTTTTGATGGATTTCTTCCTTTAGAACTTAGAATTTTCAGGTTACGAAAGTTTGCTTTATATTTATTTAGAAATGTTGTGTAAGAAAAACTTGCCTTATTAAATTTAAAAAGAATTATAATAATACTTAGGAATATTAAAAAAAATAGTTTGGTTAATTAATAATTTTCTGTATCCTTAAGGCAGTGGTCTGCTTTAGGAGCCGAAAAAAGAGCGTTTTTTCAACAATTTTTTTGAAAGGGAAGGAAATGATTGCGGTAAACGAAATTTTGAGACGATATAATATTATATTTAAACTTTAAAAAACAATTTTTATTATTGCAAATAATTGAAATTAGCGGAAGTTGTAACGATTTTTCTGGGGCGCCTAGAGTGTGCACTTGTTAATCGGTGCCGGTGATGGAGTTCGTGCGATGCATCTGAAACAGTGGAACCAAATTTTTTTTACTTTTTATAAGTTTCTTTTCTATATGAACTAAAAAAACCCGAAGAAATGACGAAATTCCAAATTTATTCTAAGTTTGAAAAAAAAATTCACTTTTTTGGAAAAAAAAGTTCACTTTAAGTTGCAAAACAAGTAATTTAAATAGTACTTTTATCCATTTTTTTTAGTTCAAATAGAAGATAATTCAATACTGAAGCTAGATCACTTTGGTTTTTTTCGATCGGACATATATTTTTTTTACTATGGCCGGCACCGTTTTCCAATACTTGTGAAAATAAAAACTCGAGAAAACGGGCTGTAAAGTCTGCCCGAGCATACGAACCTGCTCGACGCTCGGCCACTAAAACTGATCTAGCTTCGAAAATATGTCGAATTGGCCTCTAAAATTTTGAACACATATTCTTGGGCAGTTTTATAATAGATTTAAGACAAAAAAAAAAAATCGATTTTTTGAAGTCTGTAAAGCAGACCACTGCCTTAATGGAAAGTTGTTTGAAACTTTTACCCATTAATGATGCCCGATAATTGTTTTGGTTAATTAAAAGCGCCATACATGCCCCATGGTTCCCAAAGCCTACTTTGTTACCATTTTAATGAATATTTTAAATAAATTACGTGTGTGCTCATTGAGCAGGCACTTCCATCTGCCGATCCGTGCACTTGCAACAGCAACAACAATAGTTACAACAACAGCAACCGCCGCAGCAACATTAAAGCGGCACAAATTCGTTGTGCATTAATTAGACATTTTATAGGTGCAAGTTGGCATGGCCTGCATGCCGTTTTCAGTTGGCTGTTGGCTGTTGCCTCTTGGCCGTTGGATGTTGGCCATTGGCGGAGCACCGACCACAATTGTGTTTGGGCCTGGTCAACAGCCGACCGCAACTAAAACGCCGAGGTCCAGAGAAGCAATGTGCAATATAGCAATATAGCAATATAGCCGTGTGCATGTGGCCGAGCGGGCATCTGCATGTATTTCGCACGGTTTCGATAAGTTACATTAATTTGATATACACACACTCGCAAACATGGGCCGACCACCGCCGACTCGACTACAGTCGTCGGGTTAACTAACCAACCAACCAACCAAGTTGGGCCAAGTTAAGTTCACTTACCAAGAGCCGCATCCAAAGCGAGGGGCGCGAGCAGCTTCGTAAATCATTGGGATTGCTTGTGTAGAAAAATTCAAAAATAGTTTTTAATTTTTTTATCCTGTTTTTTATCCTCACTTTAAAGTTTAAATATTTTTTAAATCTTAATAATGCTTACCTTTCTATAAGCATTATATATTATACATTCTTTAATATAAACATTTTAAAATCAATTAAAATTTTCTTTACCACTTTAACCGCTTTCTTTGCTTCCAAAATGTTACTCCTTAAAATCCAATACCCAAAACGACATTAAGCCTATGAAAAGCATTTACTAAAGACTTGACAACATGGCCATAATACTTTTGACCGCAACTGTATGTGGAAATGCATATGCAACAATTTCGCCAAAGAAGCGGTATGCATTTTGCGCCGACTTCAAAGAATTCCGGGAACTCTGTTTCTCTATGGTCGAGGCATTGTCTATGCCTTGGTTTTGGTTGCGTTTATGATTATGCCTAAGCGACACCACATCGACTATGAGTACGAATACGAGTACTATAGAGTACCATAGTACCAGCCACACCAGCTCCAGCAAAGAGTAAGGCGATAAATGTTGAACACACTCACAGCAGATCCGGCAAACATCCACATTCACATTCACATATGAGACCGACTTGGCGTTGGCCTGGCTTACTTTGTTTGGTCCCTCCGCCAGTTCCCTGCTCCTCCGATGGCTGTGTTTAAATTGAAAATTCCCGATTTGCACACAGTCACAGATGCGCTTAATTTGCACCTCTCCAAATGCATAAAAACCAAGAAGCCGTGATGGAGTTGCATTGCCGAGCTGGCCAAAGGAGCTGCTCTCTACTCTTTGTGGCTCTAAAGATGCAGTTCGCAATTCGCAGTCGCAGTTGCAGTCGCAGTTGGTGACTTCAACACTCTCGGCCATGCGTGGCGGACTTCTTGGCAAAGAGTCACGGCTGAAAGTTGCGATCAGGAGCGGCTCCCCATCTCAACCACCTCCTCAACCATCTCCATCTCCCCTTCTCATCGACCAAAAAACGTGGATGGAGTGCGAACAGCTCTCCGGGCTGATTGCCGTTTTGTGGGTCTGCCATTGTTAATTTATTAAGTGGTTACCTTTGTTGTCACCCCGCCGGAGGAAGTTGCTTTCAGTTGCTTTCAATTGAAATTGCGCGGCGTGGCTTGGCTAATGTGTCTCTTGGCACATGCCATAAACCAGAATCGAGTGGCCTCAGTGGACTCAGTACTTCATTCAATGCTAGATCAATGACCACGCTCTGCCCACGCAAACTGATTCTCCCGAAGATCCGAGTGTCTTAATATCGATTCTGATTCCCGATTCCGATTTAGCCGCCTGACAAAGTGGCAGTATTAAGCTAGCCCAGCAGGCCGCTTGTTGACATAAGCGCCGCCATTAATTCCCCATCAAGTCTAGAGTTCCTCTTTGGGGTTTCTTTGTTTTTGGTTTTAGAGTGCACTGATAGAAAACTATACTTTGTAGAAATTTTATATTACAAAATTATAATAAAATACCCTATCTTTCTTACATCAGTCTCTATTTCTCTCCCTTACCAAAGTAATTTATTTTATTTAATACAAATATATTTAAAGCAGTTTATTGTCTTACAAATAATTATACAATTAAACATGTATAAGATTTGTGTCAGTTAGCAATTAAGTTGATACTGGCTTTCCACAAAATGCTGTCTTTTTCAGCATTTGAAAATAAATTTTGTTAAATATATAAGAGGAATTTTAGTTCTAAAGTTCTTTGTTCTGTATCCCAAAGAGTTGGTCTTAAAGCAGCCATTTAACTGTTGGAATATATTTGTTTCCTCCTGTGCAGTCACATGGTGATCGAACGGACGACGAGATGCGCGACTGCGACTCCGTGGACGGGGAGCACCATCAGCTGAGCGCCAAAGCGGCGATCGCAGCCCGCTTGAGTCACACAGTTTCCGGCGGAGGAGGTGGAGGCGGCAGCTTCGCCAGTCCAGAGCCCCAGACCGAGTTGCCATTGAGGTGAGTGACTGACTGACTGACTGCTCCTGATTGATGTCCTCGGAGGAGGTGGTTGAATAAGGTGCAATAACAATAATCTAATGCTAATGCCCATTATCTGTTTTTCCCACAGCCATCACCACCAACTGCCGCCGAATCATCCGCTGAACGCTCTTGGCAGCTTCATGGGCATCGGAAGTCTACACAGCATTCCAAATCTGCAGCACAGCGACGTCCTCGAGAAGCTCAAGATGCAGGTGCGCGACATGAAGGTGGGCCTAATGGTGAGTTGGGTGGCTTAAATAGGAATCCCCCATTTGATTGATTTAAGGCTATTCGCTAAAGTTCTTCTAAGGCAAATAAAACCCAAAGCCTCTATTCTCGATTCTTGGGGGTAATTTATATGCCAAAGTTAAAAACTAATTAAGCATCCCATTAAGAACTCGCTGGCACTTTTAGTTGTTTGCCAAAGCACTTATGCATTTTAAGATTAATTTTTACTGAATTATATGAGATGTGTTTATGTTGTTGACCGCCTTGCATAATATTAAATTTGTGGGTTAAATCATTAGAATTATAATGTCAATGTCTACTTTGCTTAAGAAGTGCCAGCAAATTGAAAGCCATTTAAGAATTAATCTAAATAAGGACAAGTACATAATTATCGATGGATGAGAGCAAAAAAGTTAATACCATTTGGTGATTATATTTTGTTTAAAAAGGTTTTTAGGTTTCAAAGGTCAAAAAGGGGAAAGAAGAATAAAATTCTTTAAAATGTTTTAATTCTGTTTAATAAAATAAAGAAGATATTATGTTCAAAATTGACTTATATTCTAATCAAAAATATTACATTTTGAATTTATATTTCTAAAATCAAATTGAATTTATGTTCTTCAATAAAATTTCGTTTTTACATTTTAATTGGAATTAAATACCTATCAATTATCTTTTCCTAGGAACAGGATTACGCGGCTGCTGCTCATGCTGCCGCCTTTGGGGCCAACATGCTGCCCACGACGATCAGCTCGGGCTTCCCGCTGCCCCACAATTCGGTGGCTGCGGCGGCGGCGGCTGCCTCCTTTGGCCACGTGACCTCGGCGCCAAGTGGCGGAGGTAACAGCGGTGGCAGCTACAACGGTGGCACCACCACAACGCCCAGCTCCAACAGCAATCCTGCCACAAATGGTGGAGGCAACAGTGGACCCGGAGGAACTGGAGGATCCGGCGGCGGAGGAGGAGGAGTGGGTGGTGGCCACCAGTTCTCGTTTGCATCCCCCACAGCAGCGCCGAGCGGCAAGGAAGGTTGGTATCACTTATCAATCGCGTGGCAAGCGGCGATCCGATCCCATTGTGTTTATTTTAAATGTTGCACTACTCAGCCCGCCACTTTGCAGCCAATTCCGCATCGAACTCGTCGACGTCCAGCGAGGCATCCAATTCATCGCAGCAGAATAATGGATGGAGCTTTGAAGAGCAGTTCAAACAAGTCAGACAGGTTAGTAGTAGTGGTAGTAGTGGTACACTGGTGGTGCTGTGGTGCAGCGGTGGTGCTGTTTGGCCAAGGGGTCCAGTCAATTGAAATCGACAAAACTGTGTGTAAACAAGATGCGCAGGCAAGCTATCAATTAACGACTAATAGCCAGTCGGTTGCTCAGTCCATTGGCAAAGTATCTTAACCCAACCCATCCCGAGTTATCCCACCTGGCTGAAGGGGCTAGCCGTCTGGGAAACCAGTTGCAAGATGCTGTGGCAGCAATCCACTTTTGTGATCTCGTTTTCGGTTCGGAACGACTTGGATCTGCTCTCGGTAAATGTTAGTGCCGCCTTGAGGCGTTCCACTCGATAGTTCCGGTTTGCAATTGAGCAATTAATGAAGCCCCTTATGCCAGGGCGTTAATTTGGTGAGAAAATAGCCGGGCTATCTGAGTAGCCGGGCTATCTGGATAGCTGACTGGCTGGCTGGATAGCATCCCCCGGCATGTGAGGTCCAGATGCTGACCAAGAGCAATTAGGACGCGCTGATTGTAGGCCCGCAAATCCCCTCAAGTATACGAGTATATTTTTCGAGAGCAGTGCACAATTTTTTGGTCATTAAATGTGGTTGCCAAAATTGAGATACGGATACGCACACACACACACACACAGCGAAGCGAAGCGTGTGTGAACCTCAACAGCTTTTGGTTCGGTTCGGTTTTGGCTCGTCTCGCTTGGGCCATAAAAACCGAATTTCGATTAACTTTAAATGCACACACACACTCGACACACACACACACACACACATATAACCCACTCCCTTTTGGCTATTCGCGAGGGCTGAGAGCTATCCATCAAACGGAGCCCGCATTCTCTATGCACTATAAAAACTTTGACCCTCGCAATGCAATGCAAAAGATACTTATGTATCTCTCGGCTGTGAACGCAGCTTTTGGCCCCAAGTGTATCTGTAGCTTCACGCTTAACACCTTCGCTTACACCGTGTGCGGTGAATGATGATGATGTGCTTGCAGAAACCGGTCATAAATATATCTATATATATATATGTGAGTAAATATATTATATTTCCCTTTGGAGCATCTGTAGGTGTCGGATAAATCCCTCGCAGCCCATTCAAAATGGCTGTTTCGCTCTTTCATTAATTGTGGAAACGAGACGTGGCGTTAATTATGTTAATTGAAGCAATAGTTGGCGACTACGAAAGCCATTTTGAACGCGAGTATCGCACAGATACAGATTCAGATTCAGATACAGATACAGATACGCTCATTCATTCGCCGGCTTCTCAGCCATTCGCCTTTCCCCAAAATCCACACTGCGCTCTGATTTTAGTTCTCAGTCTTGGCCATCAGTCAGACAGCCAGCTAGTCAGTCAGTCAGCTAGCCAGCCAGCCAGTCAGCCATCCATCCATCTATCTATCTATCTATCTTTCTATCCATCCATCCGCGGACGAAGACAACGAGTAAAACAAAAATATTATTTTTGGTACATTTCGCTGCTCATTTCTTGTATTATATAGTTTCTTTCCGTGGCTGCGCTGCTCTGCTCTCATTAATCAATGTCAATTATCTGTACGTACTGAATAATTATGTTTAATTATAGACCCCAAAGCATTTTCCAATAATATTCTATATTTTATTTTATTTCTTTGTACTTAATTCTGAAGGCAGAAATACATGTGAAGTCCACCGAAGAATTCAATTGTGGCGATTGTGCAATTTCCTTTCAATTCAAAGCTTTTTTTTGGCGCGTGTTTTGTTTTTTTGTAATTAGTTGATCGAGAATTCATGACTAAGAGAATTGAGCTGAGCTGACGTTCTAAATTCTTTTAAATGAGTAGAAAATTTATCTGATCAAATGTGGAATGGCTACAATCGAAATGAGAATATAAAATACCATTTTAATTAAGTAAGAAATAAAAAACAACACCACGAAAATCTTATTAAAATTAATTGGCAGAGTGATATTTTAATTTTAATGGACATTTATTTAAAGATACTTTAGTAGCAGAAGCAATCGTCAGAAAATTGAAAGAGCCAACAAATGAAATAAAATATAAGACACAACAAAACGGAAAATCTGTTCAACACATTTCGAGTAATAAGTGTGAAATTCTTGAATAAATATGCAGGCAACCTGCAGATGTATCTGTATCTTTAGCTGCTCCTTCGCTCGTTTGGGAATCGAAGTGCGAGTGCTGGCGGTCAAATTATGCACTCGATACGGCAGGATAACACTTAGGCACCAAATCCTTGCAACGGGATCTCGGTCCATATAAATTTTAATGTCCACTGGAAACCTTTTGCATCCATATGCTTTTCCAGCATCTGTATCTGTATCTGATAGTTATAAATTACACCCACGAACAAACACAGAAGCGGCGGAGGGGCAGGCAAAAGGAATTGATCTGGCGAAAATGCAGCCGAAGGATTCCCAGAATCAAGGATTCGAATTTCAAGCACCCAGGCAGCGGATTTGTTAGGTACTAAGTCTAGGCGACAAATAAGTGAGATTATTTTTATAACCCGAACCCGAAAAACATGTGTGTCTGTGTGTATTTCTGCTCTTCGCAGGCAGCGGCAAGTTCGATAGTTATAAAAACGATTATGATTGGTCTACAAAAACCCGGTTAGGGGATAGAATTCTTGTTTCCCGGCTTTATAAGTTTATTGCTGCGGATTTGGGAGAGATACTGGTAGCGCTTAACGGTTTTGCGGCTGCTGTGATGCAAGTTAGGGATCGAAATTGGGAAAAGAGATATCTAAAAGATGAGGCACAGGCAGGTTTGCAACCCTTGTGAGAAAGCGGGACTTCATTTTATGATTATTAATACGAGAATACCCCAGACAGGCAGGCAGTATCACACATAGATACAGCACGTGTGTGCCAGTGTGAGTGGGTATTCAAATGTGTGTGTGTGAGTGAATGTACGTGAGTGCAGCGGCTGCGTCGCCGGCAGCATTTCGATCCAGACTCCTGCCACATATTTAGTTGATAAACGACCTTTGATGGCGTTGCATCGTCGCGTTGATCAATGAAATAAAACCAACGGAATTGGGTTTTTTCTTCTAAATTAATAACAAGTGAACTACAGTTTGGATTTTGAAGCAGCAACAAGTGTTTAACCGTATCAAAATGCTTATCTCCGAAGATCAAATACAGGAGGTACATCACATGTTTAAATATAAAGTTTAATCAGTGAAAAAGAACGAATCCTTTGGGAAAACAATCAAGTTGAATTTCAATTAATTTATTTTGTGTTCGCCTCAACCCAAAGCAGTATAAAGCCATGAATATATATAGATTTATATATATACATATATACGTTTGTAAAGCTCCTATAGCTCTTGTGGGCGTCGAGCATCATAAAAAATATCCCCAGCCAGTTTGGAAAGAAGCTGGCAGGAGGAGTCCAAAGTGCCCGGCCAAAGTCGGGCCTTCGAGTCTGACTTGGTTTTAAATCATTTATGCGAGGAGGTGGAGAGGCGAAAGGAGATGGAGTTGGCAATGGAGATGGAGATGGAGTCGGAGATGGAGAAGGAGGCAGTTCATCATTCGCATTGACTTAGAATGTGCACCAAGGATGGGATAGCAGACCTGGCTGGGTTTCCATCTATAGTTTGCAACTCCAACTCGAACTTTGCTTCGTTTCTTTCTTTTTGCAGTAGGCGGAAAGTATGATGAATTCCGAATTTGATGAGTTCACTCCGATGTTGTCATTAATTCTGAACATACTCGTACTCGTACTCGTACTCGTACTCAAGTTGTGACTAGGGTTTTTCCTTTAAGAGTCGGTCGGTTCCTGGTGGCAAAGGTCAAAGCATGAGCCGCAGGAAAACCGCAGCACATACTGATGATAAATAATAATGTATAAATGTCAGATACATCTATGTATCTATGTATCTGCTTCGTGTGTGTATCTCTGTTCCTTTATCTTTATCACCTAATTATCCATTGTACGATTCACGCTCATTGAGTGCTTCACACTTTCACAAAAACCCAAAGAGGCAGTGCTGGAGGTTAGGGGAATGTTCTCTATCAACCCCCAGCAAACAATGGGTATTATTGGAGGGAGGGATAAAAAGAGCGAGATGGCGAGACCCAACACGCGCCCCTGTCATCGTGAGCGTCTATTGTTGGCCCAACAAAAGGCCAGAAGTGAGCCAAACTCCATTTTGTGCCAATCCATTGGCCAAAAGAGTCAAGTTGTTGGGTCTTTTGTTAGTTGGTTTTGTTGTTATTGCGTCCTAATATGCTTATAATGGATTGTTTTGTGTGTTGTTCTGGGTAGAAAAATATAGAAATATACTCGACATGATATTGTTAGTTCATATGTATAGATACAAATTACAGTTTACCTTACCCATCTCAAAAACTTGGCACTATAACACGGTTTAAATTAATTGGCGCCCACGGGTGGACCAATTATTAGTACGAATTGGTTTTCTGTGGGAGGAATTCAACAATAAATCAAACAATTAAAAAATTTGAAATTCAATTTTAAAATTACTCTGTAATACTAAATTCCCTCTGCTTCTATTTCCAGCTCTATGAAATCAATGACGACCCCAAGCGCAAAGAGTTCCTGGACGATTTGTTCTCGTTTATGCAAAAGCGCGGTAAGTTGCATCTCGCATTGAAGTTTTGTCGAATGGGCAAACCGAGGGGGTTTTGGGGCAATGTATCTCGAATCTGACATTTGCATATCCCTGGCCCAGATGACGGATTGCTGACTCAGCCAGCCAAGTGCTTTTGGGCTCACTCAAATTATGTTAATTGAATAAATTTCTCGGCACTTTGACGTTTGATTTTGAAGAACGCGAGGGGGCCAAAGGGGAGCCATTAAAATATGCAGAAATTCTTCTCGAGAAGAGGAAGCCGCGCGAGAGAGAAGTAGGGAAATCATTTTGGTGGCTGACTTTTTGTCATTTTGTCACTTCAAATTACTGTCACACTCACACACACGCAATGGGGGTACCATATGCATATTGGTACTTAAATTTTAAAGGCGACTTTCAGCTGCAATCGGAGCAAATGCCTATTTATACATGCGCGTATACTCGTATGCTTTCCTGCACTTTTGTCATTAATTATGGGCATTAACAAATACGAGGGAAATCGGTGGCATGCAACCGATACTAATGCCCGTCGTGACTGTACTTTTCCATCAAATTACACTTCCTGTTGGCCGAGTGCGATCCTCGAGCGTCCTTATGGTCGAGTGTGTTTGCCGCGATTGCCTGACCGGCAACTCGAGAACGCATTCAATTTGTTTGTATTTGCATAAGCCATATTCCATGGAAAGAGTAGAGGGTTTATTGTGGACCTACGAGGAACCTTTATTGAGTGGGGAATTTATAGGGATTTTAAATTGAAGTTTAGAAGTTATAAAATATAGAAAAACCTTTTTAAAAATACTCATTTTTTATTTAACACCTTATTTCTTAGAATATAATAATAACGATTCTGAAATATGCATCTCATTTTAAAATATATAATTGAGTTTAAAATTCACAGTGTGAATTTCACACACACATGCGAGTAAAGACGGAAGGGAAGTATAATTTGCTGTGCTAAAGACACATTTGTATTAAGCACTATTTATTTATTTATTTTATATAATTTCTTGTGTGCGTTTCATACAAAGTATATAAAATCTATGCTTTGGATAAACATACTTGCCCAACTTTATGCGTAGAACGTCTTCGGGGCTTGACAACTTAATGGATTTTAATCTGTCACATGCGTTCAAGTTTTGACATATGCATGCTCACCCGGCGCGGTCACTGCAAAGGGGGTGTGGTGGGGGACAAGGGCAGAGGCGGGGGGGATGGGGAAAGAGGGGGATTGGCGACTGGGGAAGACTGTCTAAAGTGTCGTCCGCCATGAAAAGGAAGCGCCCGAGAGAAAGAAAAAAATGTGCCTTGGGGCCAAAAGTATTCCGTGTCCATATGTCTATGGCCAAATGATATTGTACAATTGTACAACTAACTAACGGAAATTATGCCGAAGCTCATCAGCCAACGGGAGGGACTGTGCGAGTATATAAAATAAATGTGGATCGTGGATCGCTTGCCGTGAGATGAGATGTTTGTGCAGCGAAGAGCGGCGCAATTCTTAATTAAAAGACGTCAATCACTTATCAACTTGGGCGCTATTTTCGTAGATATTTCCCAGTGCTCAACGGTAGCTGCTGGCACATCACATCCCATCCCATCCCATCCTACATTCAACATCCAACATCTGAGATTTGAGACTCGAGACTCGAGGTCTGGGAAGCCAGACCCCTGACTAAATCATTTTTCGGATCAGGGGGAGTCGACTCCCTTCGGTGGCGTTATGATTTCAGACTCGATCAAGTTTCTTTTAATTTCCATTAAAAACGCCTGACATCTACGAAAACAAATGCAGCCGAATAAATAAATAGATGTGCCCCGAAAAGAGTTTCGCTCTGAAAGCCGCACAAAAAATGTAAAAAGCTGCCAAGAAAAATAATAATAATAAGTCCGACCAGTCGGCATGTGCGTGTCAGTCAGGCAAAGGCGAAAGGAGAGTAGCGTAATCGGGATCGGGATCGGGATCGAAATCGGTTCAGATATATTCAGATAGGATCGAATCGGATCGAGTGCCTTGGGCCAGTTTAATGATCGATTCAAGAGAGTGACGGGCAAGCCGAGTTGATCATTAAATTGCCTTTGATTATGTGCGTCCTCCCAAGTTTTCTGTTTTGTTTTTTTTTTTTAATGTTTGTGGCTCGTGCATCAATCGATTGTTTTTTGCTTTTGAACATTGTGTGTTTGCCAACGATCAGCAGCAGAAATTGCTCATTTATTTTGTGTTATTCCTTTTTGATACGACGAGCATCACCTCGCCACTCAATTTGTTTATATGCATAAAAAACAAACGTATTTTCATTCAATCAACACGTCCATCAAAGAGTTTGATTGATTCCTTTCGGGCTCATAAAACACAACGAAAAAGAAACCGAAAGTCGATCGATCGATCGCTCCATGGACCCATTGGGGCAGCAACAGGCGGCACAGTCGGTGCCTCATGCCTCATGCCTCATGCTGCATTCGGTGATATGGTATTTGGATCGTAAAAAGGAAAGGAGGCCGGGCAGCATTATACAAATTCGAATTACTCACGTACAGGGCCAGCAATTATGCAGGTTGATTTGTTTTTTATACGTTTCCTTTGGGCCCTACAAGAAATGCGTTGGCTGTCTTAAGTGCTAAATGCTGCAGATGCTGAAGTTGAGGGAGATGTTTAAGTTGCAGCCAGATATGTTATTAAAGAGAACGGGGTTTAAATATATGTGATTTGGCCATTACGTAACCAACACTCTACCCTAAAATGTTTAAAGTCTGAACTTTATTTGCAAGGGAAATAAATAACATTGCATTCGTTGTTTATTACTTAAAGATTCTGTATCTGATTACATCTTCAATTGAAACCCTACAATTTAATTACAATTTCTTTCGGTGTGCAATAAAAAGATAAAAGCTAAAGGGCGGAAAAGTCTTTAGCCGGCACGTGAAAATTTGAATAATACAATTTCAATAGCAAATAGAGTCGAATGCCAATGTGTATGATGATGATTAGCCGCCATAAACAGATCAACATATGTATAAACATGTGTATATATATTGCACCTACTATAGTATTTAAACGATTGTGTGTGTGAGTTTGGAATCGGGCAACAATTAGGATTTATTTCAGTTTTTATCGGCTTCGGTCTGCACTTTTCAGCTGCTACCGGGACTACAAGTGTTAATTGCTTCGTGATCGATGAGTGGGAGTGGGAATCGCAGAGGGGGTGGGGAATGGGAGTGGGGGGTGGGGGGTGGCAGTGCAATGGTGCTGCACTCTTTGGGGAAAGATAAATCTGTTTTATGGATCTTTAAATCGTGTTTTGCTTGTTGGTGCATTTAACGAGCTGAATGGAAAACATCGCCAACGCCAAGTGCAAGAACAAGTTTCATTGCGCAAACAACCGAATTCGAATTCGAATTGGATACTCAATTTTCAATTTACAATTTAAAATTCTTGAGTCCCAAGTAGTAAACCCCCTTTATTTTCCTTTTGTCTATTTTGTTCTATTGCAGGTACGCCGATCAATCGGCTGCCGATAATGGCCAAATCGGTGCTGGATCTCTACGAGCTGTACAATTTGGTGATAGCCCGCGGCGGTCTGGTGGATGTTATCAACAAGAAGCTGTGGCAGGAGATCATCAAGGGGCTGCATCTGCCGTCGAGCATCACCAGTGCCGCCTTCACCCTGCGCACCCAGTAAGTACCTCTAGTTCCTCTACTCCTCTCAGTCAATCCCTTCGATTCCCGGGGTTATATCGTATACCTGCCACGTTGAGCTATGTCCAAGGCAAACACAAACACCATCAGCCTGAGCCAGAGATGCGGGGCAAACAGAAACGGACAATCAAACATTGCAGCGATCAAGCAACAATCGATCAGCGATCTTTGCTCTCTTCCTCCTCGGTGGAATCGTGATTTGTTTGCCTGTCGCTTTCGTATTTACACGATAATTCAACTTAAACAGGACATCAACGTGAAGTTTTCCCCATCCATCCCCTTGCGTCTTCCCTTGTTTGCTGTGCTTATTAATAATTTTATGCATCTTGCAGATACATGAAGTATCTGTACCCGTACGAGTGCGAGAAGAAGAATCTGAGCACGCCGGCGGAGCTGCAGGCGGCCATCGATGGCAATCGCCGGGAAGGACGTCGCTCCAGCTACGGTCAATACGAGGCCATGCACAACCAGATGCCCATGGTTGGTATTTCTATATAATATATATTGCTTGATATTTATTTATTTACTTTTCCCCCCGAAATAGACACCCATTTCGCGACCCTCTCTGCCGGGTGGCATGCAACAAATGTCGCCGCTGGCTTTGGTCACCCATGCCGCGGTGGCCAACAACCCGCAGGCCCAGGCTGCTGCCGCCGCTGCTGCAGCTCATCATCGCCTGATGGGAGCACCGGCTTTTGGCCAAATGCCGAATCTGGTCAAGCAGGAGATCGAGAGCCGGATGATGGAGTATCTGCAGTTGATTCAGGCCAAGAAGGACCAGGGCATGCCGCCCGTTCTGGGAGCCACACATCCGCACCAGCAGCACCAGCAACAGCAGCAGCAGCATCAGCAGCAACAGCAACAGCAGCAACATCAGCAGCAGCAGCAACAGGCGCAGCAGCAACACCACCTGCAGCAGCAACGCCAGCGGTCGCAGAGTCCGGATTTGAGCAAGCACGAGGCGCTCAGTGCTCAGGTGGCATTGTGGCACATGTACCACAACAACAACAGCCCGCCGGGATCGGCACACACCTCGCCGCAGCAACGGTAAGCTAAATCTATCTTCTCATTAAAATTGGCGGTCATATTCGAATTGCGATTGCCAAATGTTTTCATTAGCGACAGGCATAATTGAAGTTTACCCTCTATAACTGGTTTTCAATCTTGTTTTTTCTTTGGGCATTAATAAGTTTAAATGCGTTTGGTAGTAAATGTTAATTTGATGATTTATGGGATGGTAGATATTTTATTTTCAATCAAAAACGTGATAATTGGCTATGAAAAGGAAAAGCAACATACAAGTAGTGGTAAAATATTGAGGTTTGTCTAAAGAATTTAACGTATGCCATAAAAACGTACAAAAATTAATATTTTTGAGTTTAAGTTTTAATAAATTTATTCAAATAGCCTTTTCCTTATATTATATTTTTAAATATTGATATAAAATTAGTTTATTTTGATAAGCTGGCGCCACCTGTCTCACAAGCTATCCAAGCAGCACATTGGCTAGCGCCATCTATTTCATAAGCCAGCTACTTTTAAGCAGAGACACTAACCCTTTACGCTTTTTTCTCCACTCTCCATTGCAGCGAAGCCCTGAACCTGTCCGACTCGCCTCCGAATCTGACAAATATAAAAAGGGAACGCGAAAGGGAACCCACGCCGGAGCCAGCGGATCAGGACGACCAGCCCCACCAGCCGCCGCCAGCGAAGCGCGTGGGCAGTGGCCTCCTGCCGCCCGGCTTTCCCGCCAACTTCTACCTGAATCCCCACAACATGGCCGCCGTGGCAGCGGCAGCGGGATTCCATCATCCATCCATGGGCCACCAGCAGGATAACGCCTCCGAGGGCGAACCGGAGGACGACTATGCCCACAATGAGCACAACACCACGGGCAACTCGTCCTCGATGCACGACGAAAACGAACCGCAGCAGATGAATGGACACCACCACCATCACCACCACCAGAACCACCATCTGGACAAGTCCGACGACTCGGCCATCGAGAATTCGCCCACCACCTCGACCACCACCACCGGTGGCTCGGTGGGTCATCGCCACAGCTCGCCCGTCTCCACCAAGAAGAAGGGCGGCTCGAAGCCCCAGAGCGGCGCAAAGGATCTGCCCGCCGAGGACAAGGGCTCCTCCGCCGGCAAACTCAATCCTCTCGAGACGCTAAGCCTGTTATCCGGCATGCAGTTTCAAGTGGCAAGAAATGGTGAGTTCAAGGGGGATTATTTGATTTATTCAACATCAAAGATAACAAAAAAGGCAGCTGAACTATTTTAAAATAAGTTGAACAATTTATTTTCAATATAAAATATGTATTGTTTTTAAATACTTTTTCTTCACTTAAAAATCTCAGTGGCATATATATTTTCAAGTTTTTATTATCTAAAATAAATATAAATATAAACTTATAAACTTGAGTTTATAATTTTATCCTTCCTAAAATATATATATTTATATATTTATTCTTTTTGTTTTGTCTATTTATCTTAACAAAAAACCCCAATCTAAAGCTTATAATCGGATTGGTATCCTGTTTATTAAATGCCTCTTTAGTTTATATTTCAATATTTTAAGCCACAATTAAATATAATCGCTTCTAATACAAACTGCAATGTCTTTCAGGAACCGGCGATAACGGCGAACCGCAGCTGATTGTCAATCTGGAGCTGAACGGCGTCAAGTACTCGGGTGTCCTGGTGGCCAACGTGCCGCTGTCGCAGGGCGGGACAAGGACGAGTTCGCCCTGTCAGGCTGAAGTGGCAAGGGCCCGAGAGGAGAACCACGACGAAGAGGACGACGACCAGGAGGACGAGGATGGGGAGGAGGCGGAGCCGAAAGCTGCTGAGGAGGAGCCGCATCGATCGCCGGTGAAGCAGGAGGCGGAGGATGCCGACCAGGAAATGGAGGCCAGCGGGGCCCTCGTAAACGGAGGCGGTGGCTCATCGGCATCGGTGGGTGGTGGTGGTGTTGGGGGTGGTGCTGCTGCTGCGAGTGTGGGTATCCCCCTGCTCAAGGATGCCGTGGTCAGCTAGAAAGGACAATGAGGACAGCCGGCAAGGAAAAGGAATACCAAAGTCATATTTTTCAGAAAAATACAAAAGCAGTTCAACTCACCCACACACAAACATACAAACACAAACACCAACAAGCAAACGGATGCCGAACATAAATGTACATACACACGCATGCGGCAGGAGCAGAAAGGAGCTGAGGAGCACAGGAGCTCGAAGGACAAGAAAAGCGCATTAGGCGCATCCCGGCATTCGATGTTCTCCATGCAGCACCTCCCTCCCTCCCAGAAACCCAGATGATGACCACCGCCGTCGCCAGTAGAAGATCATACAAATAACACACACATAAATATATATAATATCGAAAGTATATATAGTGGGATAATGTGTGTGCTCTATTTCCACATTTGCATAAAAGACAAGCCAGCGAGCGTGTAGTTATCGATAGCCATTACTTACATAAGCGAGTGCATCACTTCGGATACATACAACCAATACCCATATATGGTATATATTATATATGATATATGATATATGAACTAGGCTACGATTCCCCGAAATCAATTTGTTTTTAGCGTGAAATCTGTTTTATCCTACTACAAACTTCTCCTTCTAAATCTTTTTTTGTGTTAGGCTGCAAAGCTTCTGTACATATCAATCAATACTTAGCTCGTAGAACCTAAATATATATATTATCGGAACGTAGTTGTAAGAACACATTCACACTTCAGTACAGACACACATACATATACAGACCGTTATAACACACATGCATATCCATTATGACCGCATCGTAGACATATATCTTAGACATAAAGCCAACACAAGTAATAAGCATAAATGTATCTGTCGTAAAATTAAATAGCGCTTTTGGCACCCACACACACGACTCCCCCGCAATTTCTAACTACTCCAAAGCCAAGCGGAAAGTGGCAAGCCACGACAAATTGATGAGCATATTCTAAGCATAAGCGTTCAATTTATTGAATAATAAATCTATTTAATTTTAGTTCAATGCGCATTCGAATCTATCACGGCCATAAAACCCTGACTGCCCGTCGCCTAATTAACGGCGGCCAAAAATTATAACTCAGTTGGGCTGAGGATATATTGTATAAGTGCTCGGGCAAACAAGAAGATGAAAGGCACTCGAACCTCGACATCATTTCTTGGCATTTTCCTTCCTGTTATAAAACAAAAACATATCTTGTTTTTGTTTCTGTTCCTGTTTAGAGGCTCCCCTTGATTTTGGCTTGGCGAAAAAGTCATAAACACACAGAAGGGGCCGTAGATTATCAACGCAGGCCGCAAAATGCACACCAAACAAAGTGATGAAAAGCAAATGTTGTTGGAAACAATGGATGCGTGAAATTGTTCGCACCCAGAGGGCTGAGCTTTCCTTTTCCTTACCTTGCCTTCCGCTACCTTTTGATACCTTTTTTGCCCAGGTGAGGTCGAGTGCTAACTACATTAATGCATAATGTTGTGGCGGGGCATCACAGAATCAACGAGAAGGGGAAAGGAGGAGGAGCACCAGCTTCCAAAGGACGACGGACCCATCAGCCTAATGACTTGCGTACATCGGACGCAGCCTGGCCAAAAGGACCTTGATAAGTGGCAAGTGCGTTTAGGGCCATGGCCATAAACCGCTAAAGCTGCGAGCTGGAAGGCTGTACAAATGTTTACACGGCTTAAACTTGGCTTCCTGGTCTTCTCAAAATCACTGCAGGGCTTTTCCTTTCAAAAGGATGTTCGCCGGGCACTGGGATTACATTTCAATTACTTCCCAAACTATATTAATTTTAATCTTGATTACAGTAATTATGCTACCTGGCAACCACTTTTCAAATAAATGAACGGTTGTATCCACGGACTAGAATTAATTCATTTTATGCGCTTAAATACAATTCAATTTGTACTCACTTAAAGCCTAATCATTATCCACATTAAGGAGATTGTTATGATTTCATTGCGAGCACAAAACAAGCCAAACATCCTTTAAAGCAATGTAGGATTAATTAATTTCTAACGTTCCAAATTGAGTGTGGCGGACTAGGAATTTCAATAATATTGATTAAGCCTGCATTCCGGTTGCACTCGGCTGTGTGAATCCAATTAGGTGGCACATTTGTGGCATGCCCCAGTCATACCTGGTCAGGCTCTGTCTAATTGGTTTTCCGGTTGCCAATTAATTGAAACAAACGGCAGTAATAAGGCACAATTTTAACCCTTGGTTCATAAGCAAACCATAAATTGCGTAAAAATCGAAAATAAATTATTCAAGGAGATGCGGTCACGTGTTGAATGCTCTCAAATTGGCCAACTAATCAGGTCCAAGGTCCGGCCTCCTGCCCATAAATCGTTTGTATGGTATTCTGGCCCAGGGCATTTTTTATTTGCTGCCACACAGAAAGGCGGGAATACAAAAAACATTACAGAAATTAGCTGAGAAGCTGAAAAGAATGGAAGGATGTCGGCGCTGACGCCAGGGAAATATATGTACCAGAATACTGCTGTTCAAGCTCAAATTAAAGGCCAATAATACAGTAATAAAGTCGGCAGCCAATCGACCTATGGACCACCTAAGCCAAGCCAAATCGAATCACACACACACACACACACAGACACACGCACAAACGCACCTTGACAGGCCGCGCTTAAAAGTATTTATAAATTTTATATAATGTGCTCCCAGCGAGCGAGATACATCGCCATCCCCTGCGTGAGATACAGATACGATCAAGTCAATAGGTCTGATACTAATGAGTGCCATTAATATTATTAGTTTTCTTCCGGAGCGATGAATGGGTTTTTATTGACTGTTAAAATCCTTCTTTATGGAATGATGGTATATTGATGGAATATTCATATTGTCTAAATTAGCATGCTTATATAACTAAGGTTAAAGTTCATTACAGAGAAATAAGCAATGGATAGTCTTTCCATTAACAAGTAAAATATAATCCACTTCCTTCATTTTATTTTTTACTTTTACTTTTAATTCATTTTATTTTCTTTACCTAATACTAATTGAAATGTCAATAAATTTCTTCTAAATTAATTTGTTGAATTTATAACCTTCTTTTTCAATTTAAAGCCCCCTAATTAGATGTGCTATTATCTTGGCATCAGCTGTGTATATGAGGCATGTACTATACATAAAGTACGACGGCTTGCCCTTTTTGGCGTCGAGCGGGAAGTAACCTCTATTATTTACCAATACAAACTAAGCTTTAAAAAGAAATGTAAAATTACCCGAAGCGCCAGCTGGTTTGTGGGGTGGGCTCCCCTTTACTTTGAGGGGGAGGGTGGGGAAGTTCCCTGGCTCCAGACAAACATGTGTATAATGTGTTTAATACAACAATTGTGTGGCTTTTAGTACGCCGAATTGCGTGTGTCTTTCAGTGTGTGTGTGTGTGTGCGTGTGTGTTTGTGTCTCTCACACGCAACAGTTGTTTTTAGCGGGATGTTGCCGAGCATAGAAGTGAAAGCTGCCGCGCAGCAGCGACGCTTGCGCCGTGCCGCAAAATGTTGCCTACTTTTCCGGGCAGGCCAGGTGATGCCTGGCCATTCATCCCCCGGGCTTCGCGTCTCAGACTCCGGTTCATGCCACCCTTAGCGCGGAGCTTTCGGCGTGCGGCGAATCGCTTTTGTATCTCAACATTTGGCGGGCATGCAACAAGCGTGTATCTGTGTATCTGCGAGCGTAGTATCTGTATACCCGTATCCCCATATCCCCGTATCCCGTATCCTTATCTGTATCTGTATCTGTGCGCAACATATTCCGCTCAGCCTCAGCTGCTCCGACTTCTGCCGCCGCCGCTCAACATAACCGCTCGGCCGAAGGCACGAGGATGCGGAACGAACGGCCCTCGACCTATGTACCAATTCGCACACTTGAGAGTTTTTAGTTCGGTTTCGGCAGAATTGATAGATACACGCAGCTCGCACCGCGCACAGCTGAAGTTTGCTGCTAGTGAGGCTAAAGCTGAAGCCAAAGCTATAGATACAGATACACACACCACCGCACCACCGCACACGATTTCGTCCCGTATTTGTGGCCAAAAGCAGCCAAAGCAGGCTAAACAGCCAGCCAACCGACCGAGTGAGTGACTGGCCCTCCTGGCTTTGGATTTGGCCCACATCGTGTCTATCCAGTGCCATCGGCCATCGGTTAAAGCCAGAAGCTGAACCACAATCAAAAGCAGGAGGCAGCAGCGCACGCTTCCAGTGGGAAAGCACATTTCGCCAGTGAATGCACGTTGATTCCGTTCTGTTTTCCTTTCCTATTTTTTTTCGCTTTTATTATCGGTCCGCGATTGTGATTTACAGCTCGGCACAGAGAATTAACCACCGAACCTGAAGTGAACTGAATCGAAATCGGAAGCCGAAGGCAAATTGCACCGTTTCTCCCCCCGGACACTCAACGCGGGCTAAGAACGCAACTTCGGCAGGCAGGTAAAGCAATCACCCACAAACGTCTAAAATGTGGAAGTAGCAGCAAAATAGCTGAGTTTCCCATCCGGATTCCCATTGTGCTGCGGGGCACTTTAATACCACAGGAATTCATCAAAAGCCAATCCTGGCCATACACCGTCGGTCTGTGATTTATTTGGCGCCCAATTGCCAGTCGTCTCCTGGCTCCTGGCTAATTGATAGTACTAACTAAAGCTGGCCGATAGAGGCACTTGGCCATGCCAAACATAAGACGAAGGCAAATGCAATTACAATTACCCCGAAGAACAAAAAAGGCAGCAAAATCCCATTGCTCATATAAGCTCATCAAGAAGTGCTCATGTGTACGTGTATTTGTGTGTGACTGACTGACTGTGTGTGTGTGTTTGTGTGCCGCCTGTGTTAGTGTGCGTGTGCCGGGGGCTCAATGAAGCTGGATTGCGTGCAGAATCCATCTGGAGTGTAAGCATTTGCCTGGGGCTTGGCAAAAGCCGTTAATGGAACGTCCATACACCGCCGATCCTTCGTCCTGTCAATTTGCCTAGGACACCCAAAGCAGCACCCAACTATAAGCATCTCGACTGCAAAATCCCACCTCAAACATTCCATATTTGTGCCCTCCTCAAGCGGAGAGTGACTCACGGGCTCGCGATTTATTTAGGTCAGCTTATCTTGTGATGCCATAAATGATTCATTGGCTTCCGTTTTTATTTTAGTCCATCCAGCCAGCCAGCCACTCGTAATCTGCAATGCAATGTTCTGTAAACAATTGTTTGGGGACTAATTTGCCTTAATGACGTTTTAATTTCTGTCATTAAAAGCTGCGGATTCGCGAAACGCCACTCGCCAGTTTGCAACATAACTCATGGAAATTGCTCGTTGCTTGAGTGCGAAAAATTGAAAAACTTGAATCATGAAAGTTGTAAAAAAATCGGACAAAAAATAAACAATTTACTTAGGACGCAGTTGGTTAAAGAATTGAAATAAAAAAGGTTAGGGGTATGCCATTTCAAAATCGGATTAAAATTCAAAAAGTTATTGGCAGCAAACCCATTTTTAGGAAATTTGGACAAAAAAATTGGCCAAAATATACACAATTTGTTTATGATGCAGTTCGTCAGAGAATTAAATTACTAAGATTAAGAGGTATGCCACTTAAAATTAGAAAAGTTTTGGTCTTAGAATTAATAACTTTTTGATCTTTGCTATGGGAGCTACTCGATATAGTGGCCCGATGCGGCCCGATCCGGCCCGATCCGGCCCGTTCCGACTTATATACTGCGTGCAATAACTTCACTACTCTTGGTAAAGTTTGCAAGGGTATAACTAGAGTTCACATTTAAATTTATAGGGTGCCGTTGACAGAGAGTATTTTTTGGAGTCGATCTATCGTTTGTCACGCGCTCACCTCCCTCGAAGAGAGTATCCACCTTAGCTTCGCTCCAACTCGCTCTCCGTTGGACTCTCTTGCCGCTTTGATTTGTGCTTTTGTTGGGGCCCGTTACTGCCGCTCTTCGCTCTCCGACGCTCTCGAACTCTCTCTCCGCGCAATTCTACAGCCGCTACTTCTGATTCTTTCGGATCGTGCTGCCAAGTTCAGATACAGATACTTGCACGCGTACTTCTCCTCGACTGTCGCTTGTCGCTCGTTCGCCTCGCATTCGCATGAATTTGTATCTGAGAGATTGTTTTAGTTTTAGTTTTTCTTCCACTCGATTCCTCTGTGTGTTCGCGTTCTTCTGGCCAGCCATTGCCATTGTTTCTGCCTCGGTTTCTGTTGAATTTCGTTTGCCGCTGCGAGAAATCAGTTTGACGTTTTGCTTTGACAGGCAACCGTCGTCGATCGGGGTTCGTGAGTAGCGGATCGCGCGGATCGCCGCTGAATCTCGTGAATCTTAGGGCGTTCTTTTCTCGCCGGTCGTCGTCTCGGGGAGAATTCCAACTAGCCGCTGCCGCAGTAAGCGATACGGCGATATAGCCACCCAAGTTGCACCACCCGCTGACCAGCGGAGAAGCAGCCGAAAAAATATTAAGTTATCTCCGTGGCCGCAATAATCGACAATCATATTCCCCGATTTGTGATCAATACGTATATGTGTGTGTGTGTTGGTGTGTGTATATCGGGGGTGCGTGTGTATTGTTCAGATTGAGTGCTGTTGGCAGCAGCGGCAGCCGTAAATGTGAGCCAATTGTATCTCTCAGATACGTTGGCGGTGTTATCGCCGCTACTGCTCCTACTGTCGTGCCCGCGCTATTGTTATTATTATTTTTAATGCATTGAATTTGAGTTTTGCAGCTTACAAAATACCGCACACATCCGATATATATATACAGATATAGATATATACATACATATGTGGAGTCGGGTCGGAACGGGTCGGTCGTACATATTTTGCAATATCTTGTGCGTCAACAACAGCAACAACATCCGTTCTATGAACGTGACCCCCGCGCATTAAAATAAATTCTAATTTGTGGAAGAAAGAGCAGCGAAAATGTTTTGTTATTGTTATTGCGAAGAAGTGTCGTGTGTGTGAGTGTTCTAGTGTCTGCTTGTATGAGTGTGTGTGTGTGTACGGGGCAATATTTTATTATGAGTGCGTGTGTCTGCCCATTGTGCTCATGTGTATTTGTTTAATTTATATCTAGAGTCTGATATAAATATTAAAATAAAAAGAAATACGTATACATGCCTATGTGCATAAAATATCAGAAGCAACAGGCAGCAAAACCAAAAGCAACAACTACCAGCCAAACGACAAATTTTTGGTACGTCAACAGATAATGTATTGTATATGTACTTAAGTTGGACATTTTTTCGGGCTACGATTCTGTGTTCGTTCGCTGTTCACTTAATTTGCGGCCATTCTCTGTCCACATTCCTTTACACAGGCCTTAAGATACAAATCAGCGCTCCGGCCATAGAACATACGTTTATCCTTACATCCCCCTCCCCCACCCCCACACCACCATCCGAAAAAAAAAAACAACAACAGAAAGAAACAGATTTCCAAGTACAAGGCACCTTGAGAGTGTCAACGTCTGGCATCTGCCCTCCAAAAAGATCATAAAATTAAATGAAACGAAATAGCAGAAAATAAAATTGAAAATTTTCATGCAACTGGCGTCGCAAAAAGCATTTTGCAGCTTTTAATTTAACTGAATAACGCTCAACGCAGCTCACCTGACTGACTGACTGACTTCTTATAGGCGCGACAGAGGCACATAAAAATCGCTTAAAATGTTCGTGGGGGGCTGCAGGTGAGCCATGATGCCCATACTGGCCATAAACAATGTGAAAAATATCATTTCGTACTTATAAACAAGCGGCGATAAGTTTGCAAATTGCGTTCGCATTTCGCTTTTCGTATTTCGTGTCTCGCATTTTGCATTTTGCATTTCGCTTGCTGCCAAAACCGAAAACTTTTTCCACTTTTTGTCGTAGTTGTAGTTTTTTTCCCCATTATTATTTCGGCCATATCCCGCGTGGACTGACCCATTTCGTCGATTATCTAACGCCTGTTTACTATATATGCTCTGGTCTACGCAGGTGTACAAGTGTGTGTGCGTAGATTTCTTTTCGTTTTCACTATCTGTGCGATAGGCTGTCGCCCAATCAGTTGGCTGGCTTAATTAATTCTCGATTTTAACTGTTTATTAAAATGGATTGCTGCCGCTGGCGGCGGAGGTTGGTACCTGCTCCTATTGTTAACAGCAAATAAATCCGAGTAGCTCGCGTGCATACTGATTGGGGAGTTTTTTATTTTCTGTTGTCAGGGCGGGGAAACGCGCAAAAAACGCGGGGGAGGCAGGCTAACGTGCACTCGAATGTTATTATTATTGCGACTACAGTTATGCAACGCTCGGGCAATAACACCACCCACTTTTACTTCCACTTGCACCTCGGTTTCCCCCTCCCCTCCCAAGGCACTCGTAACCCCGGAGTGCCGCCTTGTCTGCAGTTCGTCTAAACTTTATGCTCGGTTCGCAGTATGCCATTTGATTGTATTGTCAACTGGGGCAATCAGCCATCCAGCCATTCAGCCATCGAGCCATCCAACCCACTATCTCCCTCTCTTTCGTTTACAAGCACACCGACTCTGTCTAATCTTCCAGGTTGCGACACTGTTCTATTCCCCTCCCTCCCATTCTGGGTTATATCTCACTTGAGATCGGCATTTGAAATGCAAATTCCCAACTGGCAAACTCTTTGAAAGCACAACCGGAAAAGTACCAATAGATATTCCACTGAATATACATATATATCCTTTCCATATATGTGGTTCTTATTTAGTTTTAGTGCTCTTTCATGTTTGTTATTAATTGGGCGAGGTCCGAATTTCCGCATGTAAGTGATTAGTAGCCTTTTCATTGTGATGCCTCAAGGTCTGCGATCAGCGGCAGCGAATCTTGAGGATGCCACATACAGCTCACACTTGTGACGCAAGTTCTGAACATAAAATTCTTCGAGAGACCACCGACAAGGTTGTTCATCGTTGGAGGACACATACGAGATAATAATGGGCCATTAAGTTTTATAAGGGGCCACTTCAAGTTCTGCCCTTTTGGGATGGAGAAATCTATAATTGCAACACGTTTCCTTGGCTGCCACACTTTTTATAGGGTGTTTAAGTGGGGTTTTAATTGTGGTATGAAAACATTGTTTCATATGAGCTAAATCATTTCATATTTTTTAAGCTATCTGAATATTATTTTGTACAAATAAAAATCAATTCAATTTTTGTAATCTTTTTTGGCATTGCTTTTAATGTCATTAAATTGCATTATAGAAATGTATACATGTGCATGTCACTTATTAAAAATGTGATCGGTGATTATTTTAATTACCCGCAGGCTATTTATTAAAGCATTTTGTTTTGTGGCTTTCCTTATCAACATATTAATTATTGTCAAACCCTTAATTTAAAATGTAGAAATGTAACACACGATCGAAAAACTATTTAACAATGCAAAAGTTTACTTTTCGTTGCCGCATTTCCAATTAACTTCTAACTGTTTTTCTAACTATTATGGCAAGTCGTAAACTTAGATACTCCATTTCAACACCTGACTCCGCGTCAAATTGGGCATTCGTAATGGATCTCCGTAGACGACACACATTAGGTGTCCGATACGCTATACGCTTTATAGCGATTGGATTCCGATCTGTTTGTGCATTGTGCTAGGTAAACAGAAAGCCAAAGCCGATCAAGCGATCGATCGATCGGCAGCTGCAAAACATCAGCGGGCAAAAACTATTAGATACAAAATTGCTCGAATGCGCTTCGCCATGTTCCATGTACATCATTCATTTTTTGGTCTCGGCCAGGTTTCCTATATGGCCGGGCTTCGGCTGCCAAATACCCACGTTCTCTCTCGTACATATTGGTAAGAAATTCTATTAGGGGCAAACACACACTAACATACTAACACACTAATACACACACAGGCAGGCACACAAACACAGAGGGCGGGCATCCTGATGATGCTATTATACGAATACCCACAAGCACCTGCATACTAATAGCTTCGGGCCAAACATCCGTGACTGGCTGCATCTAATGAGTTGACGTTGACGTCGGGGACCGCTAATAGAATTTGGCACTCCTTGGCACTCGAGCTTTTAGTTGCATACCAAGAGGCGCCGCGGCGCAGGAACTCGAGGTCCCGATTATACGTCAGTTTTTGTGTGTATGTGTGTGTGTGTGTGTGTAGCTTGGCAACAGGGCGGCTGAGGAATTGCAAAGCGCCGCGCTCCCCGGGCAGCGGTAAACAAATTATGTTACGTTCACAGCGTTCGTTATTTATTTGAAAACTTAAATGAGGCTGAGTGTACGGCGAAAGCCATTACTTGTTCATTTTAATATGGTCGGGCTAAAAATAATTTGTTTAAATCAACAAACACACCATAGACTGATGTGTACGCGAAGCTGATTCTCGACATCTCTATTGTAGTTTTTTCCACTGCCGGGAATGTGGATGAGTTTGCTTGGAGCTGAATCTGTGGTCGCACTGAGAAAAACCAGTTATAATTCAACACAGGGGGGAATTCGTAGATTAAATAAGTGTGATCTTAGTTGACAAAGTTATTTCGACTTCATTTAAGAAGCAAGGTCACACTGCCCTCACCTTGAAGATTCCCATCTCTACAAGTAGTTGGGCTCTTTTCTAAGAAAAACTTAATTTGAAATTCAAACCGTAATGCTCTCTAATTTATCAAACGTTTACTACCCTCCTAATAAAAAATTCCAAATGGATGACCGAAAAGGTAGAGATTTATTTCGCTGTGCACTTATGTTGCCGCTCCTGTTCCTTCGCTCGCCTGTCTTTCTGTGTGTGTCTTCTGTTGTGACGCCTTTTGTTTTTGGCCCCAACAATGCAAACGGATTCAGACAGAGGGACGACAACAAGTGTCCTTATGGATGTGGATGTGTTTATGTACGAATGCAGATGAAAGACAGCCTTTCCCTTTAGCAAGTCAATCAACGTCGCCGGGGATAAGGACTATCTTTTCCGCCACACCCCCCACAGGAATTGTGTTTCCTCCTCCCGAGAAGGGACAGAAAACATTTCACTCGCAGACTTGATCTACCGTGGAAAATGGGAGTAAGGGTTGAGTCGAGCTCCAATTGCCACTTGAAATGGGTACGACTTTCGGTGACTAATCTGAAGTGTTCTTTCGCTGGATTCCCATGCTCCCTGCTACACTCCACTCCACTCCACTTGACTCTACTCCCTCTCATATCAGTTGATTTGCTTCTTTCGCTTTCGTGCGAGTTTTATCAAAATATTTAAAATTGGCTAGCAAGACACGAGCACGAGCGACAGAAGGTTTTTCTATTTGCCTGCCCCAAGATAAAGCCGACTGACAGCCGGAATGAGAACAACAGGGCGACATCCACATTCACATCGACATCGCCGTCACAGATATGTACCCAAAAGCAGTATTATATATGACACCCACAAATCCCCACAAGTCAATTGTTTGATACGTGCCACCGAGGGTTCAGACTATCAAGTTTCGCCAACTTTCGGGACGCGAACTTAATATGGCAGACAGGAGTCGTTGTCAAACGAGTGAAAAAATAAAATGAAAAAAAAATAAATAAAACGCAAATACAACTCTGACTGGGCATTATTCATATGCATCGAGTTGGTCACGTTCAAGGGCCCCGTTTTATTTTTTACATATTCGTTTTTTTTCTCGCCTTGGCTCCAATAATCATTGCCAATATTTGGGCTTTTATGAATTTATAACAATCGCCAAGAGTTTTTGACAATTGTGCGGGTGCTCTGTCCATATTCGATGAGAGTTTCAATGGAACGCCGCCTGAATGGGGAACTCGAATGGCTTTCGTAATCGAGTCAAAATACCAGTAATGCACTGCAACTCGTCATTTATCACTCTGGCTTATCAATGTCAATTTAACTAGTTTAACTAATTAAGCTGCGGATTATCAACGAAAGAGAAAATAACGAAAAGGCCGAAAGTTAATGTAGGTCAGTGCCTGCTAAATTACTGAATAGAAGCCGTGGGGTTTAGAGGATAATTTAATAAAGTTTATTCAAATAAGGTTGGCAATCTTTATCAAGGGCTAAAAGGATATTAAAAATACTAAATATTCCCAACAAGTACTAAACGCTTAACGCATGCAAAAAAAAATCCATTATCCTTCACTTTGAAATTGACTTTTATTATACTGGCTAAATTCAAGTTCTGTTTGTACAAAAAGGCAATATTGACAGTGAAAAACGATTGGTAGTAAAAATGTGTGAAATATGTTTTTTAGATGACGAGCTTGGCCTCACAAAAGCGATGCAATTTAAGCTGCTGCCAAACTATGCAAAAACTGCTTGCAAATTTTCCTGACAAACTGATTGCATTTGCCCGGCATTTCAATTAACCTCTCTTTTTTTTCTTTGCAGCATTGTGTGAAACATGTGACCAGTATCTCTGCTGGCCATCAGTCAATCAATCAGCAGACCGCAGCCCAAAAATGTTTCAATTATGTTATCGCCAGCAACAACGACATCGTCCAGAATCGAAACCATCGAACCAGAGCAGAACCAGCAGAACCAGCAGCAACCACAAGAAGGCAGCAGCACTGCCAAGGCCAAAAGCGTTGGTGGAGCGAGCAGCGTAAGCCGTGCCATCGAAATCCCGGCAATCCCAGCAATCCTCCGCAGAGCAAGGACACTCACAGAGAGGAGACTAAAACCGAAATCACAAGGCAACCAAGAGCAATTTAGCATAGCAACCGCAAAGGAATTGGCCAGGCAATTGCAGCAATCGGAGCAGCAACCAGAAGCAGGACTTCGCCATGGGTTGTTCGCCGAGCACCCTGCCCGCCCCCTCCGCCTCCGCCTCGGCCGCCGGTGGCCAGTCCGCCGAGCGGGGATCCCTGCCCCTGGACGCCTCTGAGAAGGACGAGAGCCGGCTGTTCTGCATCAAGCTGCGCCGCAGTCGCCTGCGTCGCTGCAGCTGCGGCGGCGTGACCTTGCAGCCGCCCAGCGACGGCAACGGCAGCACCACCGGCGACAACCTCTGCGGCCAGGTGCTCCTCAATCCGCTGCAGACCAAGAGCGAGGCCGACTACGAAAAGGTAACCAAAAAGCCGCAGAGCAATTCCCCTCCGACTCCCGGTGTTCATTTCTTCATGTCTTCCCAAAGCTGAGCACCGGCAAAAAGGACTCGATTGTGACGGTGGCCGCGCTGGGCAACTTCACACACAGCGTGGTGCGACGAGCCACTGGCAGTAAGTAGAGTACTTTCATTTATAATATAGTATTTTTAGATCTGCGTAGGGTGGTAAAGGTCAAATGTCTCTAATTAGTGAAGAACATTCTATTGGGAGGGCCTATCTATTACAGTTCATTCTTCCAAGGTTCATTTAAGAGTGTTGTCTGTGGCATTTCAGAAGATTAAAATATTTGATGATTCCCACACATATCATACTAATGAGTCACGAAATTGTTTCATGTTCTTAAGTTTTTTTCATAATCAAAGGAAACTTGATCCCTTCGGCAGCATCAATAACTCAATACCCTTTAGCCTTCCGAGGAAGCGTTGTGCTGTTGGTCACCTTCAAGCACCAATATTAGCCACCAATTGGGGAAGATAAGGCTCGTGATTGAGGAACTCTGCTTGAGCTTCTTCTAATCTGAAGTGAGGCTACTTTACCGTCAAGAGCTTCCGCTATGCTGGCTGATAGCACTCGTAGAGGCACTTATCAATGGGAATCTCAGAATCGGTTGCACATTTCCTTTTCTTCTGATTTTCTGAAGATTTACGATGCTCCAAATTCGAGCCAATCAACTCAAGTGGCTGCCATAACTTTGCTAGATAAAACGGGATTAAGATTGATTAGTGTGTTGTAGGGTATTGCCGGTTTATTCACACGTTTCGCTTATTTGGTCTTAAACAAATTGGTTTTTGCTATGCACACAAAGGGTTGGAGTAATTAGTCAATACCGCTTATTCATTATGAAATTTTTAAAAATATACATCAATTCCAAAAGAATTTGATAAAAGTACGCAAAAAACAACAATATAGTTTGTTTTCTTGATATCATTAAACCTAACAAATATTTACCATCACATGAATGACAATACAGTGCGATAGTTGTGTAAATCAACAAAGATAACTGATGGTTAGGGTTGGGATTCCCTTCAAACAATTATATTCTTCCGCCTTTTTTATAATTTGCAAGCCAGGTGCTTTAAATTTCATTGGTATCAGCGTGTTAATTTTATTATTTTCGCTTTAATTAAATAAAAGGTCATTTTAAGTTAAAATCTTTTCCTGACTTTGTTTAAAAAAAAAAAACTACGATGTACAGGATATTTCTAACCCGATTTTAGTGAAGGGCATGGAAAATAATTTTAAAACCACGATTTTTTTTGTGAAAAGTTTTATTTTGACTTATTAGTGAAAGGGTATTAGCTGTGCCAGTGCAATCCAAGCGATTGTCCAGGTTACTTGATCCCAGACTCAAAAGAGTCAGCTGGCGCTTGTCGGAGATCCAAAGCGCAGCTGTTTTGTGTCGACGTCCAATTAACAGTTCCCCGCTCTCGGCCCCACTCTCTCTCCGCTCCTCTCTCGTGCTCTCTCGCGTCGCGTTTCAATGGAGATCTGGTCAGAGAGTGGGTGAGCATCGGTGAAACTTGATCGCGCTCAGCCAACGGATCGGATTGGGAAAGAGCGGAAGGGAGAGGGGATGTGGGGGGGTTATTCGTGGTTCTCTTGGTGGGCCGGAGAGCAAGCTTCGTTTATCGCCAAAGCTCTCTCGCTCGCCGCTACGGCAACAGCTGCTCCCCATTTATGGAGCCATTTGTTGTAGAATCTTTCGCCGCGTCGGTCGCTCAGTCGCTCAGTCGCAGTCGCTGTTGCAGTCGACGTCGCTGCAACATAGAGTGAATCCCAGTGTATGTGCCATATAGAATCGGAGTCGAAATTTGCAATCGGTATTTGTTGCAAAAGAATCGCGTTCCATGCAAATCGCCAAAAAGAAACACCGAAAGAAAAGAGTGCCAGCTGCAAACTGGTAGCCACATTTCGCGGCCTAATGCAGTGGCTCGATTTTGGCCAAGTCGTGCCTATAACACGCTATATCGCATATAACATATAACCCAGGGCCAACCAGTCGTCGTCGATCCAAAGCGATTGCAATTAAAAAACGCATAGAGCCAACTGGAAATCATGTACGCGCTGAAATTCGTTGGCTGCAGTTCGCTCGAGGTGGAAAAAAACAGCTTAGCGTGCTCTAAAATACAACAAAAGTGTACATAGCCGCGCACGAAAAAAAAGTGTTAAAAATCAAAACAAACTTCACAACTAAGTGTGCCAACAACCGCAGCGGCAGAAACAACAAGTGTAACGAGTAGCAATCTCCGGCTAGATTTTTGTTTTTTTTTCTTCTTTTTGTATTTTTTCTTTCTTTTTCGTGTCTATAGATATCCGATAGATACAGATACGCAGCAGATACCGCCGCCAGCCTCCTTTAATTTAGAGCCCAATTTCGTTTCGTACTGCCCATTAATAGATATAAGTTACGGGGAGCTGGGCACTGTGATCGAAAAAAAAAACAAAAAAACGAAAAACCAAAATAAAATAAAAGCCTCAATTAATATGCAAAAATTCACATGACAATATCTGGTTTTGTACCAGTCACACACAGCAGCCGTATAAGAACAGAAGGAGAGCGAGATACGTTTCGGGGGTATTGGGGTATTATGAACTCGCACTCGCACTCTTAAATTTCATTTTTTTTCATTTTCAACATTTAATTCAGCTCGATCGGGGGGAGCGATCAGTCGCCTCTCGCCGGGCAACAAACCCCCGAACCCCGGTAAACAATGGAACGCCCACGGAATGGCGCCAAAACATCAATCAAAGCCAAAGAAAACAAACTGAACGATCACTCGACTCGACGCTACTCGATTCATTATAGGCGGCTAATCCCACGCGTCAAAGTTCTGCAGTTTATCAGTATTTCCCGTAAATTGGGAAATTGAGCGATGACGGCCGGTGGTGACTATTCTTTTGCGATTCACGCCGTTCTTACACAAATTACGTTCAGTTTAGCCACGTGAAGCCCTCGACGAAATATGCGCAGATTAGATTAGCCCTGGATACTCCCTATCAATATATGTAGTTTTCTATTCCCCTTTTTTTTTTTTTTTTTGGTTTTCGGTTTCTTTTTTTACCATATTGTCCAGCGGTTGGCTATCAGCGGCGAGTATCGCTGAGCCAAGAAGATCGGGCTAGATAGAGCTGGCCAATTTAACTTCGATTTTGCGGCCCATGGCCACCCACCCACCCACTTTGCCCCCCAGATGTAGATTGCGCACGGGCACGGGTTCGTACCTGTGTATCTGTATCTCTGGCCGGGCTGTATCTGCATCTGGGCGAGCGTACCTGTATCTGAACCTGTGCCCATCGTATCCACCGTATCTGGCCGCCGCCGCCGAACGCACACAGCCTAAACATCTGAATACTATGAGCAAACTTGCCTGATATTATCTTATCACAAATTAATTGGTCGCCATGACAACGGCCAAAGGCGCAAAAGGCCCCGAAAACCCGGGCGAGAGATTCGTTCGGCCAATGGCACTGGTCAAAAGCCCCTGCTCTTTTTCGCCCATACCTCTAATCCGCTCTTTGTACTAAAGTTAAATTCTTTGGCAAGTGGCGCTGGAGTTTGGGGGGCTTTTATCGAAATGCACCTGCCTTCGCGGACTAAGCGCCTTATGTTTGCGCCCCAAAAGTATCTCACGGATTGGCGGCGACAAGCGGACCGACCGACTGCCTGCCTGTCCAGCCCAGTAGACCGTTAGTTTTTGCCGCAGCGCACACAACAGAAAACGCCGCAGTCGCAGTTCACCGCTGCTCGCAGTCCACTGGCAGTTTGAAAATCCGTGCGAGAATTATCATCTGGCAAACAGTTCTTCATACCGGATTAGAGCGGACGTTTTCCCCAGTCGGACTCCGCGTTTTATTTCCATTTTGTGCCAATTTGGTTCCCCGGTTTTGGCTTTGCCGCCCATCGCCCGCTTATCCCCCGCAATTTGGCCAATCGATCATTTGGCAGGATTTGAGTGCATTGGATTGTTGGGAAAATTCATATTTAATGAGCCCGCGCTTCCCGTAAATCCATCTCACTCTGTGTGTGACCTTGTACTATGAGCAGCACTGTGAGCCCAGGCAGTAAGTAATAGATATATCTGAAAGATATATCGGCTTCCAGAAGGAATAGTTATAGCCAGGTTTTTTTTTAGGGGAAGGCCGAAAATTTAGAGCGCCTGTTGCTGCGACGTCAGCGGCTGCTGGTCGTCTTTTTATCTAAACAATTTATCGATTTTCGTTTAGATTACAACGCGTGTGCCCCTGCCTCCCATTCCGCTCCACTTTACTCCCGGGCTGCTCCAAAAAAAAAAAAAAAAACAAAAAGCGAAAAAAAAAACATAACACAAACGATAAGATACACCCGACCCATTTGAATAAGCGCAAATATACTGTCCCCACTGGCGGCGGTTCATGCACAGTATATAGCATATAGTATATAGTACATGGATCTCGTACCGCCTGCTCGGTACATAGGCCCACTCGGTGGGTACTTTCCCTGGCTAGTTTTTGTTTATGCCCCACTCGGGCTATTTATATTAAGTGTGCACACATGCTGCCGTATCTTCTGAGCGTGTGTGTGCGAGTGTGTGTGCGTTTGTGTATGCATGTGGGGCAGTTTATCATTACGCACTAATTGTGTGAAATCAATGCCGCAGCTAGATAAACAAACTATTGCACATAAATGACAATTAACATAATGCCACGAAAATAATCCAAATTTGTGTGACTTCATTTGCAAAATACCCGAGACAACAGAAAACCGGGAATAAATAAGGAAAAGCGAAAGAACAAAAAAAAAGAAGCAGAAGCAAAAGCGGAAAAAACAACAAAAAACACAAACAATGATAATTTCCAGCCAGCCGAATTTGGTTGGATCGGCGACGACCACGACGACGACCACAAATGCCCACATGAGCGAAGAAAGTGTGCCCAGCACTTGCAATTGTGGGGGGTGGGGGTGTGGCCGTTGCCATGGCCGTGGGCGGGGGAGTGGGCGGGGTAGTGGCTCTGGGGGCCAGACAATCCCCAGTCGCGGAGCCAACAACAACAACAGCAACAGCAACAACAACGGTAACAGCAACAACTATATTGAAAACACCAACATCCACGGCAGCAGGCAGAGATTCATTAACGCGTCCGGCCTCCGAGTCCGAGCTAAATGTGGGTAAGGTTCCTCCACTTTTCCGTTTCTCCCCTCTCGCTTTCGTTTTCCTAAAACCGAAAACCCCAATCCCCCTGCAACCCCCTCAACTCTTCAGGGGTTAAAGTTGAGTTTGATGATGCGGTTAACATGCGTGGCCTCCGGGGAGTGGTTGGCCAAAATTATGATCTGCCAAGTGGGCTTCTGGCCATTAAAAATCAGTATAAAAGTTTTCTTCATTCCCCGGCTTCTTTAATCAATGTTGGCAACTAGTTGGTTTTCCACCTGTTTGCCCAACTTGCCTACTTCAATTTAAAAGTTAAAGCGAGCAATTGAACATTCTAGTGGCTAGAAATGGAAAATATGAAGCAAATTCCTGCTCTATTAAAATTAAATTTCTGCTGGGTTTAGAAATCATAAAGTCCTAATTTAATTTAACTCACAAATTTAATACTGCAATGGATTAAAATTTAAACCGAAAATGTATTAAAGTTTAATAACAATAAAACTTTGACGAGCTATAGCACCAAAGAAAAATAATCCTATTTCCACAGATTTAAACGAAACTATAAGGCTGCTTTCTCAACAGCATTTATCTCGAAAATAAAAACATTTTTTTCCCAACAGTATTTCAACTCATAAATTAAGACAAGGCTAAACAAACAACGCGCGAACTTTTTGCAATTTTAATAAAATTCAAAACAAAACAAATTACCAACGTGAGTCTAAATAAAACTGAAAGTAAATAGTTGGAAAACGAGAATAATTTAAAGGAAAAATTTGTTAAGCAAATCAGGTGAAGAAAGCTTACAAAAATCTACAAACGCATTTCGAGTCATTAAAATATTAAAGTCTAATCAAGTTTTACATTTCAAGGGGCAATTAAGCCGTATGAATATTCCTTATCAAATTAAAAAAGCCGCAAGACAGAACCTAAAATTACTTGTTGATAACTTTAATTTGCTTGCAGAGAATCCGCACGAAAGCCTCGAACGAATTTCGTTACACAAAAAGTTTGTTTGGTCAATCATTTGGGGGGTCTTAAAAATTGTTTTCGGGCCTAAGCATACATAACTTGCGAGCGAAGCCACAGAATTTTAATTTCCCCGAAAACTTTGCCAAGGAATTTAACTTTGCGAATGCCTGAGAAGGTATGGCAAACTCCAATATGGATTCAAATTCTCAACTTAAATATGTACAATATGTACAATGTACATATAGGAGCAGACGATATGCATGCTGGATACTTGAATGGATTGGGAATTGTTAAAGGAGTTATTTGTTTAACCTTCAATTCCGAGCACTCCAGTTTCCTATGATCTGCGAAGCCGGTTGCCCTGGCAGCCCTTATGTCCTTTTATAAAGCATTTTTGTGTTAGTTTGCTTGCCACAGCATAAAATAAAGTGGGCTGTTTGGAGTTGCGACCTGTTTCTCATTAAGTGAAATACAATTTGTGCGGCTTAGTTGCTCGGGGGTCCCTGCTCAGTCGCTCGGAGTGGCTTCGTTGACAGATAGGAAGCCTGGTAGCCAGGACCGCCCCCCAAGGACCTTTGTACCCTTTCGCAGGCACACGCGTTGTGTGTGTGTGTGCGTGCGTGTGTCGGTGTGTGTGCGTTTCGCCCGTTTATAAAGTGTTTCTGAAATGCCAACGTTTATAATTAAATAAAACGTGCAACAAGAGGAATTAATGTGCGTGCGTGTCCCTGCCAGAGTGTTGGTAAGCGAGTGGGTTAGTGTGCGTGTGAGTCTGTGTGTGTGTGGGCTGCCCAGCGGGAAAAGGTGTGGAAAATATACTATTTTCCTGTGCTTTCTTCATACAAGCGGAATGTGGAAAAACCCCTTTACCCCTTACATTTTTGCCGTCTCTCCTTTCAAAATACACGGGGGTGACACAAAAATGAAGGGGTAAAGGGAAAAATCCAGTGGACCTACAGCTGCTGAATGCAGGGCAAAATCCTGTGGATGCTCTGGCTGCTGAAAGCAGGGCAAAATCCAGTGGACCTACGGCTGCTGATTGCAGGGCAAAATCCACTGGACCTACGGCTGCTGAATGCAGGCCAAAATCCACTGGGTTTTGGCCTTCCCGCTTTACAGAATTTCCACATGTAAAAAACAATACTTTTTAATTTGGTATATGCATTTATTAATCTATATACAGTCCAAGGACCTTTGTCATAAGTATTTTTGTATATTATATTTTTTGCCTCAGTGAACGATGAACGCAGATCATCTTGATATTGGCGAAGACTGTAATTGTCGTTTCTGAGTGACTCTGAAAATAAAAACCATAATATATTAATATATAACATATTAATACAAATCAAAAAATATTTAAAAAGTATTGGGAAAAATAGAGAAATTTAGAAAAACAAGTATACTTACCATACAGTACGTTGGAGAAATTATTATATGAATTTAAAAAAAATGTAATTACATAGTAACAAGCATGGCTATTGAAAATTATTAAAAATGTAGTGAGTACTTACAAATGCTTCTGGATTGGCTTCGGCATCGGAGTCCAAGTGGCCGAGTTCTTCAAATGACGAAATCGAAATGTCCGCTTGCGCACTTTCAGATTTGCCATTAATATTGACATATGGGCCAGAATCTTTGATGTCGAATCTATTACAAATTTTATGAAAAGAAACATTTGTTTGTTCTTGTGAAATTGAAAATAAATTTAAATAGAAAACTTATTTACTTACTTGACAACCGCCTCTGGCGGCTAATATTTAGTTTTCGTAAAAATGCTTATGTTCACCATATCCGTAACGCTGAAATAAGGATATACAAACAAAAATATTTATGTTATAACTTACCTTTATCTTGTTTTTTAGAATAAACTTAACTTTTTTTCACTTTTGACACATTTTGCACGACATTTTTACTGATGTGACCGTGCATATTCTGAAGAAAGACAATAATTAGTCACAACTTCGTTGTAACTTATGGTCATATTCAGAAACCCACCCCATTTAGCGGTCCGAAATTATTTACCCCTTCCCAACGCCTGCCAAAAGAAGTAGGTTTTCATCTATCCCTACCCCTACGCCTGCTAAAAGCAGTAGGTTTTCTACTGGTTTTTTCAGGGCAAAAAAACCTACTTCCCACTTTCCCGCTGGGTGGTGACCATTCATTTTGATTGTGGGCGTGCGGGCATTCGACTGTCGGCATCCCCGAAGTATGCAACGCCTTTGGAGGCAAAGGAACGCCCAGAAATGTAGCATACTTTTCCGAGAATTTTCCTCCCAGCGATTTACCCTTTTCTCACTCTGTTTTTTCCGTTTCTGTTTTTCTTGTTTAGGCACAGGCACATCGGGCACCAGTTCATCCGGCGGCGGGAACAGCCGTCCAGGTCACCGCAAGTCCTCCCTCGCCCTCGCTTTAACCCCGGAAGATGAGCCGATGGACGTCTACCAGGTGAGTAGTCCACCCACCCATCCATCCACCCATCCATCCATCCGTCTATCTTGATCCCCATCGGGTTAACATATTCGAGGGGGAACCGAGCCACATGGCTGTTACGTATTTTGATAAGATACCTTATCACTCGAGCGTTTTTTATATGCCAGCGGGTTGAGCGGAGAGCGCTGCGCTTTTCGGTTTACATTCCGCTTTAAATAGCCGCTCACCAACACCACCCATTCGGCATGTGTGTGCGTGTGTGTGTTAGTGTTTTGCCTATAAACAATACGCTACTAGAGAAATCAAATCAATTAACGCTGAAGGTGGGAAATCAAAAGGCAAAGAAAGAGATCGACGCGACTCAGTTAGTTTCGTTTCAGTTGGTCGCTTGATCGTTTCGACCACAAAACCTGTGAATTATTGAGAACTGATTCCGCCGCCCTGACTGAGTGACACACAGCGATCGAGATACAGTCGGATACAGTGCTGCGATCCAGATCGAGATTGTCCCATTAGCCATTAACATTAACAACGACGTCGAACGTCGAACGGCGGCGTGGAAAAGTTGGAAATGCCACAGTTGCGCCGCATTTTCGTTCGGTCGTGTATCTGAGCTTATGCAAACAACTTGTTATTGATCTAAGACATTGGACCTCAAGTGCCGTGTGTGTAATTGTGGCTGTCATTGTTATTGCGAAGAGTGATTACCATTGCCATCGCTATTGCGATTGTGACTGTGACTGTGTCGCTTCAATCGCTCTCCCCGAGTGGCTGAGTGTCGTTTTATAATTAGCAGAATGCGCAATTGCTTGCCAAAATTCAGTAAAGTCTTCCGCCGCAAATCCTCCGCGAAGTCCTCGTCGACCGGCGGACTCGGCCGTGAGAATCCGTCGAACGAGCCGGACTCCGATACGGAGCCGTATGCCATTGCGGCTATAGCCGATCGCGGCGGCGATAACCGTAATGAAAGACCGCTGCCAGATGACGATAGCAGCCGCCGGCGGTTGATAAGCGTCGCTCATTTGAATTCGGACTCGGATTTGCCGGCCAACGGCAAAGGCGTTCCCTTCAGCCAACACCGAAGCACCGACGAAGGTTCCTGCCCGGAAATGAAAGTGGAAACGATTTCGACGACGACGGCGACAACAGCTGATTCAGTTCCATTGGCCAGTGGGCAGGCGGCCATTTCCCAGCCATTTGCGGGACGCAATTCGAGTAAAACGCCCGAGGAAATGGAGCTGGAATACGAGGCGACCGTGGAGGCCGAGAGTCGTGACATAATGACCCCCCCTGCGCCGCAACACAAGGCCGTTGAGCGTGTCCTTCGGCGCAGGACGCACTGCACTGCAGCCGGAAATAGTCGAGGCCATACGCAGCCTGGATGTCCCCGCCCTGCTGCTCAACAACCTGAACCTCGACGGCGGCCGAGGTGCGGAGGTCGAGACCAGGAGTCAGAGTCACAGTCAGAGTCAGAGTGGGGAGATGTCCCCGGGCCACGAACTCGAGGACTCGGTGGTCCTTCGGCGCAAGGTCAACTGCCTGGAGCGAAAGGCGCACAGTCTGTACGAGCGACGACTGCCCAAGGTGCCGAAACTCCACCTCCTGGTGGCCGGGAAGAAATCCAAGGCGGACGAGGAAAGGGAGGCGGAGGCCGAGGAGCTGAGGACTTTCCAGGTAGCTTTGCCAACAGGACTTTGCCAACTTCTGCGCTCGGTGCCCATCAATCTGGCGCCTTAGCCGCCGTCTTACGTGTGGCAACAAGAACAAAAAAAAAGAAGAAAAGAAAAAAGTGCTGTGATACATTTCCGATTACATTTTCATTCCCCTGATTGACACTGAGCCCCCGCGACGCACCTTCCTTTCGGATTTAATGTGCTCGCATTATAAATCTGCAGCACACGACGAGCGTGCCACACACATAAGTCAGAATCAGCAGCGAGCAATTTTATTTTAATTTATCATCATTTAAGCGACACGCACACAGTGTGGGTGTATTTGTATGTGTGGGTGTATTCGTGTGTGTGTGTGTTAACGTAAATATCCAGCCAAACAAGGTTGAAAACACATTCGCATTGCGAATCCCGGCTAAGCCCTCTTATTTTTTCCGGCAAGCAGAAAAGCCGGAGGAGCTGGAGCTGCAGATTTATATTAAATTTTACACGTTGTCTCACCTGCTCTGACATCGCTCCATTTTCCATTTTCTTTTCGTTTATTTCCCTCCCGTTCGGTTGGTTCATCGTGGTGCAGCGAAATCTCATGGACCTGAAGTATCCAACCGTGCTGCCACCGAATCCACCACTTAAGGTAAGCCCACTTCGGACCACTTTCAAGCCGGGGCCAATTCAATCAGTGCAATGGCTTTGACCCGCCCGCAGGCCCTTCTGGTGTTCCACAAGTCGGACAGCATCTGCGAGGCGGTGACCGCCGCCTGCCAGCGCCACCAGCTGGACGTCACGCTGGTCAAGTCGAAGGAGGAGGCCCTGGACACCCTGCAGAAGTCGTATGCCACCGCCCAGTGCTACCACCTAATCATAATTGATGCACGCTCCACCAAGAACCTGGACGCCGAGCACATTGCGAGGTGGGTTTCACAAAGAGAGGTTTTTATGGGTTTTTTCCGGGGGGGAGGGGTAGATGATGTCCTGCCCAATGTGAAATGGGTTTCGGGTCGAGTTTTTGGGTTTGGCCAAAACTTCTCGCCTCTCGAAACTTTTCCATTTTCATAAACTTTTCACTTTGCCATAAAACTTGCCGCTGTCGCCTCTTTTCTCACTCCCAACAGAACCATACGTCACACACACGGCCACCATTTAACGACAATAATTGCAGTCTGCAAGAAGAGGTGAGTAGTCAGTCGAGGACCCTTTCAACTTCCTTCCACTAACGACTTACCCCGCCGACGACTCTTGCAGTTTCTTCGAAAAGGATGATGTGCTAATTGCTCTATTGGACGCTGGCGTTAATAGAGTAAGTTTCCTTTAATTGCCTTCTCTGAGAAGGGGAGACTCGCGACGAGAATCGCAGATGCCACATCTATATATCTCTTATATATATGTGTATTTGTACTCCCCAGTGCGTAGCGGAGACGACCAACCTGGCCATGTGCAGTGTGGAACTGAAGCAGATACTGCACTCCATCATCCGGCCGCACAATGTCATGTCCACTCAACAGGTAATCGAGTTAATGTCCCCCGGGACTCGCTGTCACAGTCGCTGTTCTACTCTGCTCAGCTCTGAGCTGTTCCGTCCTGTCCTGTTCACTTCTCCAAATTAATTCAATTAAATGGAAGCCGATGCACCGCAGGGCTATGAAATTGTATACTCGTGCACTCGAGAAAAATATAACAAGAGGTTTTGAAGTCTAAATAGAGGATTAATGTACTCAATACTAACAATAAACCATTACTTTAAAGTACAATTCCTAAAGAGCAAATTTTAATAACTAATGAATAATGAATTAGTCATCTTGAGAAATTTTAATAAGAAAACTTTAAACGATTCAATAATAACAATTTTTAAATTTAAAATATGGAATTCTCTTTCATTATTAATATAATTATAATTGATAGTAAACTTTATAGTTATCAATATGGAGGAATATAAATCCCTCTTCTAATTTCGTGAATATTCAAAGCTTGCTCTATTTAGAAATTGCTTGAATTCTATATGATATGGTATTCTCTTTCATTAGTAATATAATTATAATTGATAGTAAACCACATTATAGTTATCTATATGGAGGAATATAAATCCCTCTTCTTATTTCGTGAATATTAATAGTTTTCTCTATATAGAAATTCCCTGAATTAGAAGTGAGAAGTGAATGGCTTTTCTCTGAATGTACTCGATATCCCCACTGCCATTGGCCATTCGGCATTCGCATTCGCATTCTCATTTCCATTGGTAATCCCATTCCCGCAGGCCCTCTACACGGCCCTCCATCGGCTGAAGGAGGTGGTGCTCATCACGGACGACTTGCTGCGGATCCAGTACGCGAACCGTGCCACCGAGAGGCTGCTCAACATGCGGCTGGTAAGTGGATTTCGGATTGCGGATTGTTTGCAATAGCGGCATTAATGAGATTTGCGCGTCGGCCGAAACAGGACGAGATCATTAGCAAGCAGCTGGAGGACATATTCGTGTCGGACCTCTCCACCATCAGTGAGCAGTGCAAGAGCATCAAGGAGTTCGATGGCATCCTCACGGTGCGGCGGAAGAGCCAGGAGGGCATACCGATGCACGTCCGCGTGGTGCCTGTGGCATGCATCGGCAGGTGAGTGTTGCAAGGACCTTGCTCCTTACCCCCCTTCGAAAACCAGGTTAATTGACAATTTTACTCCCCCCGAAACAGCGCACCCACGCACCTGATTTTCAACTTTGATGTGCCCGGCGGACAAATGGACTTCATAGCCACGCTGCCACAGCCGAAGGAGGCGCCGCGGGGCTCGCTCCACTCGGTGCGTCGGTGCAGCTTTGATGTGCGCTCCATCGCCTCCGACGGACTGCGAAGGACGAGCCTGGCGAAGCTGACGTCGCTGCCGCTGGAGGCGCCCATCACTAAAGTATGACTCTGCCTCACATTTCGGTTGTGGCTGCAGCACGTTGCAACATTTGGGGTGGGGCCTGTGGGGAATGCCGCCTAAATTGCTAAATTGTCGTCCGTGATTGTGTGCCAGTGTGCCTACGCCTATGCCTGTGTGTCGGTGTGTATGTATCGGTGTGTGTGTGTCATCATGTGTCCTGGTGTCCTGTCATGCCCCGCAGCACTTGCAGCAAAAGCAACGGTAGCAGCAGCAGCAACTGCAGCAGCGACAGCAATAACATTAGCAACAATATTTGCACAAGCACATGCATACACACACACACACAGTCCATCAAAACACACACACACGCACCTTTCGACACAGGCACCGACACACACACACACACACACCCACCCAGCGAAAGGGGGGGGGGGAAATGCATTTTCCGGCTTGGAGTGGAGCAGTGATAAATTCGACTATCGGTGTTCCGAGATGCAAAGGTTGCCTGCTACGCTTTTAATTATCAAATTAACCACTCAAATAGCAGCAATTTGGTCAAAGGGTTTCGCCAAATTGGCATTGCACTGAGTGGCAGGGAATGAAATTAAAAACCTGCATAATAATTAGAGTGTACACTGTACGCTCCAAGCTAGAGTAAATGTGTTTGGAAAAGAAAAGCAACGGCTGGCCATTTGAACCCACATTGCCCCACTGTGTTCACCCATTTGAGCTCCTAATTTGTCATAAACTTAACGCCTACTAATCCCAAAAAAATATTCAACAGTAACAGCACATCTAAACCAACATGTTTTCTTGCATTTATTCTCTTTTTATCTCTTAATTGTTATGTTCTCTTTTTTACTTTTATGTTTTGTGTACTCGAACAATGAACCAACTCATAAAAAATATTACAAAATAATGTACCAAACTGTTCGTTCGCACGTTCGCTCGCTCGCTCGATTTGCTCGCTGTGCGTCGCTAACCAAAAATATTTAAACCAAAAAATATATATAAAAATAAAAATGTACAAAAAACTCGAAACCAAAAAAAAAAAAAAAAAAATCAAACACAACCGACAAACAAAAAAAATTAAACCAACGCAACCACTGCGCACTCGCACATTAGATAATCAATTTACTATCACAAGTACAGGAGAATTGTTCGGCCGATGAGGCGCGTCTCATAGACAAGGTCCTGGAGTTCCTCAAGCGCGAAGGACTCTACAGTCCGCAAATGAAGGAGATACGAACGGACGATCCCATAGCCACCGATCTGATTGGTGCCCTGCTAACGGTAACTAAAGTAACACATCATAAAAGTATCTTTTTACAATATAACTAAATGGATTCATTGCATTTTTTTAGGGACCCAGCGTTTACTCATCGCGCCGCAGCTCGAATGACTCCATCATACGCACGGGCAGCTCCACAAGAACCGCCTCGATTGTGCCCGCCAAAATGAAGGTGGGTTCAAATAATAATATAATAAAATAATATAATATAATATTAATCATATTTCTTTCAGTCCAATCCCATCATCATGGAACTACTCGACGAATCTCTCAGCTGGGACTTTGATATTTTCAAATTGGAGGAGATCACCGACTACCATCCGCTGCTCTATTTGGGCATGGAAATGTTCCGCCGCTTCGACGTCTTTGCCACTTTGAACATCGATGAGAATGTCTGCAAGGCCTGGTTGGCCGTAATCGAGGCCCACTACCGCAAGAGCAACACATATCACAATAGCACTCATGCCGCGGATGTAATGCAGGTGGGTTTAAGATTTACTTACCCATTTATCTAAATTTATAATTATAAAATCATTATTTTCTAAGGCCACTGGCGCCTTCATCACCCAGTTGACCAACAAGGACATGATGATGATGGATCGCATGGAGGAGGCAACTGCTCTGATTGCTGCCGCTGCCCACGATGTCGATCATCCGGGAAGATCATCCGCCTTTTTGTGCAACTCGAACGACGCCTTGGCCGTACTTTACAATGATCTGACAGTCCTCGAGAACCATCATGCGGCAATTACCTTCAAGCTGACACTGGGTAAGAATACTTAGTCTTTACTTAAGGAAAAAATCTCTTATCAAATGAACCTCAAGGAAAATCATAAAACGTTAGAGAAGAAATCCTAATTTAATTCATTTTCATTGAGCATGTATAGCGTTTATTTTATTGAATTAAAATTTGAATTTATTCTAGCCATATTTTACTTTAGTATTTTTCCATTGTTGAGTTTTTGTAATGTATTCATAGCTAATTAAAACTTGCTTAGAGCATAGGTGCTAAGTGGCTCTAATGTAGTTCCGGGGTTCTTAAACTTTAAATTATTTGTTCATTGTTCTTTTTTTTCCGAGGTTTCAATCCCCAAAAAATGATGAATGAGTAAAAGTTGTATAGGAAGTAAACGTTTCGCTTTTAATAAAACATATTATAAAGTATTTTTATTTAAGTTTTAAAAATTAATGCTTATTGATTAATTTTTACTCCGTTACGTTGTTTCAGGTGACGATAAGATCAACATTTTCAAGAACCTGGACAAGGAGACTTACAAGTCGGCGCGCAGCACCATAATCGACATGATTTTGGCCACCGAGATGACCCGCCACTTTGAGCACTTGGCCAAGTTCGTTAGCGTTTTTGGCGGCGAGGAGCCACGTGATGTAAGGCCCTAAAACTTTAATAATATATAATATATATTTAATATTATTTAATTCAATTTTGATAGCACAACTCGCAGACGGACGAGGAGACGTCGATACTCATGCGCCGCATGCTGATCAAGGTGGCCGATGTGAGCAATCCCGCCCGGCCAATGCAGTTCTGCATCGAGTGGGCCCGCAGGATCGCCGAGGAGTACTTCATGCAGACGGACGAGGAGAAGCAGCGGCACCTGCCCATCGTGATGCCGATGTTCGATCGTGCCACCTGCAGCATACCAAAGAGCCAGATTGGCTTCATCGAATACATCATACAGGACATGATTCACGCCTGGGAGAGTAAGCTTTGAGATTCTGTGAGATCCTTTAGATACGTTTCTTAATATTGAATACTTTTTTCTAGGCTTCATTGACATGCCGCAGTTAATAACCTACATGCAGATAAACTACTCGCAGTGGAAGAAGTACGACGAGCAGGGGGTGAACACGCTGGCGGAGATCATGGCCAAGCAGCCGCCGGTGGGCAAGATGGCCAACTCCAAATAGCATACGGCCTTCCGGAGATTGTTCTCGGGTCTACTGAAGCCTCTGCCGGCCCAGGCGCCGGGCACCTCCACAATTGGCGAGAACGAGATGGAGGACGTGCTCTAGTGACGGCGTCGAAGGTCCTGCGACGTCTGAATCCGGACCCGCAGTCTCTCGGCCTGAACTAAAATCTAATCTCCCCATTCGCAGTCGAAGTCGCACTTGAAGCTCATCCATCGATCCGGTTTGGCAGACCGCCGACTCCCCTCCCTCCCCTCCGCAACCCCGCGACCCCCGCAAACATATCTCTCAAAGGACCAACGGACCATGGGTGGCGGTAAAAAATGGGTGAAAAAAGGTTGCCAAGCGCGGTGTCACAAAAAACAAAACAAAAAAACAAATAAGCGGTATCATACAGAAATGAAGAAAAAACTAACTAAGGCAAACAAACATAATTAAACAATTATTGGGCTGGACTCAAAATTAAATGTTTAAGATGCATCACAAGAAGCGAACTTTCTATTTCTATATAAATATATATATATACATATTTACCATGTGAGTCTGTGTGTGCGTGAGTGTGTATGTCCCCTCCACCCCCCTCATATAAATGTGTATGTGTTTAGGCTAACAGACTAGCAGGCTAGCCAACTAGCAAACTAGCAAACAAGCAGAAGAAATCCCACAGCATATTGACCAGAACATAATATATATAGAGTATATATATGGCGTGCGCTTAATTGTACCTGGCAACGGTATAACGTAAAACATTATAACGGTTTTGGCTATCGGATATTACCAAAACCGAGTGTTACAAGCATGTAGTTCTCTCCCATCATGAAGACAATCTCTGTTGAATACTGCAAAGCCAAGTATATCTAGTTTAATCGCTGTCCAAAGTCGAAGGAGATGCAAACGGAGTTTGGATTTGGCTTCGGAACGAGTACAAGGCCATAGCTAGACGAAGACTATATACACATACACATGCATGCGAGATCGTGGCAAGCACTAAATATTAACTACTATCACTATCGACTAGCTAAACTAACTACAAGTAAACAACTGAAATGCAACAAACTAATTCGAATCCACTCTTGAGACATATGAAATCCTATGGGGCCCCTTTTACTACCTAATTAACTAGTTACCTACTTTCCTAACTGAAGAATAATGACGATGAGAAATGAGAAATGAGAAATGATGAGCTATCCTAAAACTAATACTATTAATGTTGTTTAGCTTTCTAAGCATACGGTATGAGAAATCAAACTAAACGCAAATGTTTAACAATTAAGTGAAATCCTTTTTGAAATCTTTTTATCTAATTGACTGAACAAATTACATATACATATATAAACCAGATCTATTAATACGAATTGATAATACGTTCTTGTTATAACTAAAAACAAAAAAAAAAGGAAGAGAAAAGAAAGGAAGAAAATGAAATGAAATGGAAAAGCAAAATAATATATACAATATACATATATACAATTTATACAACTTTTACGAAGCATATTATATATTTATATATGTCATACGATATCGGCATTCATTCACAGAGTTACAGTAATTTGTATGTGTTACCAAGGTGTTAAATCCCGTGCTTCAAAATGTTTTGATAGAAGTTATATACGTATACAAGTCCCTCGATCGATCGACCTCCTGAACTGTGTAGCAAGTCCCTTGGTCTAGAAAATCCCCATCCCCCCCTTAAAACCGCTCAATCCGACCAACAAGAACCACACACAATCCACCCACAAACCACCCATAAACCACTCACAAACCACCCACAATCCACCACCCACATTTTCCGTTCCCACACTTCGTATCACCACTGATCACATTTGAAAAGAACACAAATCGAAATCAGACATCGTACTGAGCGATAGGAGAATATATATGTATATGCATATTCAATGTTGTTAATATGTGTGTGTTTCAATTGTATGTATTGGATTAAATCGCGTAAACTACAACCAAGCAAAAAACTGGAATAATGAAAAACAAAAATCGCAAGTAAAATGCGTGACATATTCGCAGAGACATGATAAAGTAATATGCAAATACAGTTTACATGTTATGATGAATATATGTATACATAAAATATATATAGATACGGTACTACTATATGTTTCACAACACAAAAATGATAAACCTTTACATACAACTATGTATATTTGTTACTACATCTGTTTGCTCCTTGCAGGTTAAGGATTATAAATGTTAAGATTTAGTCAAATTTATTGTAAAAAAAAACCAAACACAACAAAAAAACAACACAAACAAGAAACAAAAACAAAATGCAAATAATACAAATAAAAATCCAACAAAATGGAAATTATCTACAAAAAAAAAACACGAAAGAAAGCGAAATTCAGGGGATTCGGGTCAAGGTTGAATCGAGTTGGCAAATCCTATCCCAACATATTGGCCAACTGATCATTAGAATCTATTTTCGATTTGTATTTCGCTCACTCACTCTGTCAATAATGATTTATTCTTTTAGCGCTGGCCCAACCCTCATTGAATTTTAACAACCTGTTTTGACCAACTAAAGGCTGGCATTCTTCCAACTTAACGACTGCCCAAAAAGGTGGGCTTAATTTCACTTGGTTGCCTGAATCAAAAGGTAAACAAAACGTTTCCAGCCCAAAAACTTTCTTTCGGCGGTCCCAACAAAGAAAGTCTTTCAGTCTTACAGCACGATCGATTCATGCGGTCAAAATCGTGTCGCATATGGCTAAAAACGAGTCCGGTTACGCGTTAATTGCATAATGCTCTTCGGCGATTTAGCGATGGCTGCGTGATTATGTTATCACATCTATTGTTTATTTCATAAATGCAGATCAAAACGGGTTATAATAGTGTATATTAAAAACCTTTTTAAGATCTCTTAACGATCGTGTCACGCTGTCATCTCAAAATCCGAGAAAGACCCGAGATTCTGCTGGCGATCGTTGGGTGTTTCTCAAGCTGCGTTTATTACGGTTTCAACTGTCGAAGCGTTCAGTTCGATTGATTGATTTTACACTCGGGTTTTGAGTCCATAAGTTTGAGCCACAAGATGCCCCAGTCGAGCTTCTTTGCCAAGAGCGTGCCCTTCGAGCAGATCGACAAGTTGGCCATCAGCGGTGGTTACTCCTCGATTTTCGCGAGCAGTGAGCCTGCGGTTCCGGTGGTCGGAAATTGGGAGCAGCGCTTCTGTCGCCTGGCGGACACCTTCCAGCCGGTCCTCGATAGGGTTTACGACTTCGAGGTTCGGGAGGATGACGTCTGGATTGTGACCCTGCCGAAGTGCGGCACCACTTGGATGCAGGAGTTGGCCTGGCTGGTGATCAACAAGTGCGATTTCGAGACGGCCAAGAGTGTGGATCTCACGATTAGGTCGCCCTTTTTGGAGTAGGTTTAAAATACTAGATAAATTACTGGTTATTCTGTAATTGAAATCTCTATTCTGTAGATTTAATGGAGTAGTACCCAATGTGCCACATGACACCATTGCAGCGGCTAATGATCTACCTTCACCTCGTCTCATCAAATCCCATCTGCCCGCCTGGTTGCTCCCCAAACAAATCTGGAGCAAGCGACCCAAGATCATCTATGTGTACCGCAATCCCAAGGATGCGGCCATCTCCTACTTTCACCACTGGCGTGGCATGGTGGGCTACCAGGGCACCAAGTCGGACTTCATGCACTCCTTCATCGATGGCTATGTGAACTTCACGCCCTGTTGGCCACACGTCCTCGATTTCTGGCAGATGCGCCATGAGCCGAACATTTTCTTCACCAGCTACGAGCGGATGAAGGGTCAGTTGGGTGAGGTCATCTCGGAGGTGGCTCACTTCCTGGATCGGAAAGTCAGCAAGGAGCAAATCGAGCAGATGAGGGAGCACCTCTCCTTCGAAAGTATGCGCGATAATCCCGCCTGCAATCATGTCAAGGAGTTCGAGAGCATGAAGGCAGCTGCCGGAAGGGAAGTCGAGGAGTTCAGGTGAGTTCAAAGTTCAATTAAGGAGATTGAAAGGACCCTCCAGTAGCTGGATAATCAGCTCTTCCCCTCACAGATTTGTTCGCCGCGGAGTCGTGGGAAGTCACAAGGATGAGCTCACCGCCGATATTATCCGCGAATTCGATCTCTGGTCCGACATCAATCTCAGGGATTACAAATTGAACATGGATGACTTTGCAACATACAGCAAGTTTGCTTCCGCGTAAATCGCAACAATTGTTTTTCGTATAATGTATCTTGTGTAATCTTTGTTAATAGTCTGTAAGCTGTGGTGATATAAGTTTAATAAATAATTGCTTTCCCGTATATTATTTGCAATTTAATGGTTTTACAAGCGCATTGTTTACTTTCATGTGGTTGACACTCTATTATCAGCAGGTTCAGTGGTTTATATTTTTGTTATCATCAGCAACTTCAATAAACAAACCATTAAATATAACATTTTATAATAACCTGGAAAAAGTTTTTTTTATTTTATTGGCACTCATTAAATTTACAACCAATTCTGTTAAATTATATGATGTTGTGGAAATGAAAAAATATACTGCCAATACAATTTGATATCAAATACTTTTATTTATTTAGGTTTCCCTGAAATCTTTGTTTAATGGCTGAAATCTTTAGCTTCACCACAGCTTGTTTACATTTTTCACTATCAACAGTAATGAGAGAAAAGCTAATCAAATAAGGACCAACAACAACATCCACGCAATCTTATCATCGAAAAGCGAATAAGAGAGCTGTGTCAATCAAAGAGAACTTTCTCTTAGATACTTCCCTCACCAATCTACTGTTGCTGAGGTTGAGCTACCATGTATTTTTAACAATTACAATTCAGTAAACCACCGCCATGGAACGCGAACAGGTCACGCCACGGAGTTATCCCACAAACCTTATCGATAAGGACTGGGCCAACAGAAAACACATGGGGAAGAAAAATTCGCAAAGTTTTCTGAACGCAGTGCATGATATGGAGCTAAGAGATGACGATGTGTGGATAGTAACTCTGCCCAAATGTGGAACCACTTGGATGCAGGAATTTCTGTGGTTGCTGCTCAATGACTTCGATTTTGAGGCAGCTCTGGCCACAGATCAAGAGATTCGAACTCCGTTTTTAGAGTAGGTTAATATTATTATTGCAACAAATTTTATGTTTCATATATTCATTTTTTAGATTTGGTTTCCTTGTTCATGACGACGGGGAACGTTCTTTCGGACCTCTCCGGGTATTAAAATCTCCACGGCTGATCAAATCGCACTATCCTCTGGCTCTATTGCCCTCAAAACTTTGGGAGGGAAAGCATAAAGTCATCTATGTATTTCGAAATCCCATAGATGCTTGGGTCTCTGGATATTATCACGGGGTGACATTAGGTTTTTACTACGGCAAAACTCTTAATCAGTATTTTGATGAAATCTTAAGCACTGACGATTTTGCAACTGAGAAGATCCAACACGCACATGAATTCTACCAATTAAGAAACAAACCCTGGATATTCTACACCACCTTTGAAAGAATGAAGAAGGATCTTCGAGGAGTGATCGTTGAGGTCTCCAGATTTCTAAACAAACCTATCCCTGAACAACAAATGGAGCGACTTCTAAAGCATTTGTCTTTTGAAGAAATGAAAAGTAAGCAAAGTATCACCAAAATAAAACACATATTACCAGTTTTTTATTTCAGAAAACCCAACAACGAATCATCGGTGGGAAATGGCCCAAGCTGTTCACAAAAATGCTGGAAAAGAGGAACACCCGTAAGAGAAACCGAAGATTTATTATAAACATGTAAGCTTTGTAATTCTATCTCTTAGATTCGTGCGACGTGGAGAGGTCAATGGCTACAAAGACGAACTTCAGCCTGAACAAATTGAGAAGGCCAACGAATGTATTAAAAGAGTTCTTGAGAAAAACAATGTTACATTGGATGAACTACTACTCTTAAAAGATTCATAGATTAAGGAACAAAATGTGTTTATTCACTGGAGAACCTTTAAAAGTGCACACATGCAAATCCACGCCAGAAATGCAGATTAAAAATTGGATTAAAATTATAAGAAACTAAGCAAATTTTAGATAGTTTAGGGTATAATTTAGATGATTGTTTTTTGCTCATGCTCTGTTGTTTTGGTCTATTTTCATGTGAAAAATAGATAATAATTGTGTTTTCTAAATCTACTTACGACTTAATCGTCTTTTATATCCAAATTAATGTATTCCTTTTATTCAACCATTTTATAAAAACACACATTCGAAATGTATATCTTTACTTTTGTTTTAAAAATAATATAAATGAGTTATAATTCTTATTTACAACCATAAATATTTCGTTTTTCTGCTTATTTAAATGATGTGTTGGGACTGAAATAACATACCGACAATACCATTTGATATCAAAACAAATACTTGTAATTATTTTGGTTTTCCCAGAAATCTTTCTATTATATAATGACTAAACTCTGTATCTTCACCGCAGCCTGTTAACATTTTTCACTATCACCAGTAATGAGAGTATAGTCCAATTAAAGCTAATCAAATGAGGAGCAACAACAGCTGTAATTATTTCGCAATCTTATTTGCGAAATGCGAATAAGAGAACTGTGCAAATTCTCTTTTATATATATATATATATATTTCCATGAGTGAACTACTGCGGCTAAAGTTGAGCTATGTGCATTTTTAGCAGTTTCAAGTCAGTAAACCACCGCCATGGAACGCGAACAGGTCACGCCACGGAGTTATCCCACGAACCTTATCGATAAGGACTGGGCTAACAGAAAACATTCGTGGAAGAAAAATTCCCAAAGTTTTCTGAACGCAGTGCATGATATGGAAATAAGAGATGACGATGTGTGGATAGTAACTCTGCCCAAATGTGGAACCACTTGGATGCAGGAGTTGGCGTGGTTGCTGCTCAATGACTGCGATTTTGAGACAGCATTGGCCACAGACCAAGAGATTCGAACTCCGTTTTTAGAGTAGGTCAACATACTTATTTCTATCGATTTATTTCAAAATTTTTACCCGCGTTTATTAGATTTGGTTTCGTTGTTTATGAAGACGTGGAGCGTTCTCTCGGACCTCTCCGGGAATTAAAATCTCCACGTCTGATCAAATCGCACTATCCTCTGGCTCTATTGCCCTCAAAACTGTGGGAGGAAAAACAAAAAGTGATCTATGTGTTTCGAAATCCCCTAGATGCCTGGGTCTCTTTATATTATCACAGGGTGTCATTTGGATATCACCATGGCAAATCACTAAATCAGTATTTTGATGAAATCTTAAGCACTGACGATTTTGCAACTGAGAATATCCAACATGCACATGAATTCTACCAACTAAGAAACAAACCCTGGATATTCTACACCACCTTTGAAAGAATGAAGAAAGATCTGCGAGGAGTGATCAATGATGTTTCCAGATTTCTAAACAAACCCATCACGGAACAGCAAATGGAACGACTTCTAAAGCATTTGTCTTTTGAGGAAATGAAAAGTTAGCCAAGTAAGACAAACACTAACTAAATGTTCCATAACCTATTTTTAATTTCAGATAATCCAACAACGAATCATCGATGGGAAATGGCCCAAACTCATCACAGAAATGCTAAAGAGGAACACCCGTAAGAGGACATGATTTTTTACAAACATATAAGGTTTAAAATAAAATCTCTTAGGTTCTTGCGACGTGGAGAGGTTAATGGCTACAAAGATGAACTTCAGCCCGAACAAATTAAGAAGGCCAACGAATGCATTAAAAGAGTTCTTGAGAAAAACAATATTACTTTGGAAGAACTAATGCTGTTAAAGGAGTTATAAATGAAAGGAACAAATTTATTTAATCAAGTGAGAACTGTTGAACAATAACTTTTGCAAAATAATCCCTAGACAAACACCAGAAATGCAGATTAAAAATTGGGTTAAAATGATAGGAAACTAAGCAAACTAAGATTTTTAGGTTTTGGGTATAATTTAGATAGATGTTTATTGCTCATGTTTTATTGTTTTATTCTTTTTTGAAGTAAATAATTAAATAATGATTTGTTTAAATACTTCCACTTACCCAAATTAATGTTTTCCCTTTTATTCTTATTTTATTATTATTATTTAATAAACCAACTAGTTGAAGTGATTATCTTTAGTTTCGTTTTAATTCATATAAAATTTGTAAAAATCCAATATTTAAGGCACACGTAGACATAAACTAACTAACACTGAGAGTGGTACAAAAGAATTCAGCCTTAGGCCGTGGAGGTCTCCACCTTCTTGGCGTTGTCCTCCTTGGAGGAAGGACCAGTCTGTGTGATCTGCACGAGGCGTTCAGTCTGGGGAGGAGGCAGCGCCTTCATGGGCGCCTTGATGGTCAGCAGGCCGTCGGAGGAGAGGGAGGAGGTGACCGTGTCGGGGTTGACATCATCTGTTGGATAGATTTTCCATGAAATACTATACTCATAAGAGCAAATCAAAACCAAACTCACTTGGCAGCTGGTAGCGTCTGGAGAACTGACGGGAGACATATCCGTGCTCGTCCTGCTTCTCCTCGTGCTTTCCCTCCACGATGACGAACTTGTCGGCCACCTTGACTGTGATTTCGGAGGGCGAGAACTGCTGCACATCCAGGATCACCTCGAACTTCTCGCTATCGATGTTGAGGGTGGAGCCGGATTCCTGCTTCTGCAGACTGTTCTTCTGCCAGGGACGCAGGTATCCGGATCGCAGGACCGTGGGACGGGAGTTCCACACCGAGGACATGAGGTCATCGCGCCTCAGTCCCTGGCCAAAGTGCTGATCCAAGAGGCGCGAGGTGCGCATTGGAAAATCGAGCTCATCCCACCAGTCACGGAACATCAGGGGCACTACGGACATCTAATTTGGTCAAAAAACGAGACGATAGTGAGCCAAACACTTCACTAATTATTGCACTTATAATTTCACTTGTTGGATTATTTTCTCTATATTTGGATATATCCTTCTTCGTACCTTGTTGGTTTATTTAATATTTTTTCCGATCTCTCGATTCGCGTGTCTTTTTCGATTCGCGGCTGTTGCGATTTTGATGGAGCTTTCTGAATATTCACACGGTTTTATACCCTCAACAGACTGTTTACATCTTCCACCACAATCTAAAAATATGAGAATTTATTTCCCATCTAAATTTAGGCGAGCGTCATACATTCGTTCTCTATAGGAAACATACAGAATTTATATATGCCAAGCACATATATTTGGTGCGAATCTGCGAACGTTTTCGGCATGTTTTGTTTGGCTTCCGTGGGAGTCGATGATTTGGAGGCTCAGACACCGGCAATCATGCTGACCCAAAGAATATTCGATACATTCTATCTTACTCACAAGCAGACAAGCCTTTTTCGGAGTGCAATTAATAGTGTTCCAGAACAAACGTTTACTAGACACCGAACATCAAGCCCACACAATTACCCTTAATTTGTATGCAAAATGTATTTTGTTTACATTTCAAAATGCCTGCAAATGTTTTTAAGAAAACTCAAAGCACAAATTGTTTTTCTGGAAAATGCCAGAACAAATATCGAAACTTTTACGCCCCCAAAATGTTGCTAGATATATAGGAATTTTCATAATTTTCTACCTGTTGAGACCGTTGATTTGACGTGGCCAATATGAAAATACTTTGGCCACTAAATGAGTTTATGAACTATTTTAAGCATCTGCCACTTTAGCTTGCTCTTTGTTTTTCCTCTGCTGAGTCATGTCGCGTGCGTTTTCAATCATACGTATAAGATGACGTCGCTTTTAATGGCGGCAGACAAACAAAAGAATTCTCAAATATTGTTTGGAATTCATATCAACATTTTTGTTGAGTTACTATCTCATTAATCATTCATTATAATTATTAAGATTTACCAACTTATTTTGCGCTGCATTGCAGCGTCATATTTATATTATACATATTTTTTTGGCACTGTTTATTTTTGATGTTTATGATGCGCTTAATTTGCACTTAAAAAGATTTAAGGTGATTATTTTTAGAGCAACCTCTTTTTTTCGAAATTTGGAAAGACTTGAAATCCAAACATTTAGAGGTATGACACTTCACGATTTAACATAAGTTTTCTTTATTCAGAAAAAAGAAAATATGATTTTTAATTTTCACAAACTTTTACATCTGAAGTACAGCAAGTACCTGACCTGTAATTTATTTTCTAGATGCCCCCTGTATTTTCTTATGTACCCACTGCAGCCAAACAGTGTGGCAATAACCTCTCGAAAACAGGTGAAAAGCTCACCAACACCAGAACACAACAGATGTGCATTACTGCAGGCTCTGAATGTGTGCGAGTGTGAAAGTAGTGAAAGCTGAAAGCCGACAGCGAACGGGGCCAATACTTATGCTTATGCAAGGCAGCCGAGATGCCGAAATGCCACCGCCCCAGCAGGAGTAAAAAAAAGCAGGCGACATTCAACGCAGGACATGCGGCACGTGAAGTGTTCACTGTACTCACAGGATAAATAAAAGCATCCGAGAATAAAGAACAACAAGATGGTGAGTGTGGGAAATACATTCAAGTGAACCATAATTCGATTTGTGAATTGTTTTGTTTTTCTTGCTACAGTCCGCCCCCCTTGTGTTGCCCGTGACGTCACGACTGTTGCTTCTGCTGGTGACGTTGTCCTTTTGTCATGTGCAGGCGCATCTCTCGAAGCGAAGCTACTCGGATCAGAGTGTCCATGGATATATGACAGAGGTTCCTATAACTTTTTTTTGTGGGAGGGAGCAAACTTTTTGCTAACCACTATTTGATTTCATTGTAGCGAACTTGCTGGTGGAACGAGGTGTGCAAGGAGGAGTTCCAGAGCCTTTTCCGCTGCAAGTGCCCCCAGTTCTCGTACTGCCGGTGAGTTTCCGGCCTGATCCCCACTTAAAATCCAGATGGGAATCGCATTAGCTTTTCCGGCCCCTGATTTGTGTGTAATTGTTTTCGCATTTTCCCAGCTCACCGGGGCGCTACTATAATGCCTACTGCTCGATGACGGACACCGGTTATATTTGGACCCAGCCGAATTGGGATTGGGGGGCGTAGGACGATGCTACCCCGGATAATGCCCCCACCACGCCCCCTCACCGAGAGCACAGCGCGCTGTGACGTCAAAGACACTGACTGCCGACTGTATGCTTCCCGAAGCCAACAAAAATGGGTGGCAAAAACTCCAAATTGAGCAGTAAATGTAATGTTGTCGAGTCCCCAGTTGTTATCGGTATTCATGCTGAGTAAAATAGTATCGAATGTCGTATAACTTTTAGGCAGCACTGTCCCCGCGGGGCTTTTGAAAAATCAATAAAGGCTTTCCAATTCACGGTGGCTTGTGGCAGGGCCACAGTGGAAATAATACACCTTGCACATTTCAAGCTCTGAAAAAAGGGCAGATTGTTCTGAAAAATCACTGCTTTAATTGAAATAAAATGTTAACAATAAACACTAAAAAAATTTAACATTTTATATGTTTTTTGGGATATAATTCAAAAATTGTTGAAAGGAGAAGATTTTAGTTTTCAATAATTAGTAAAAATAATTCTTGAAATTAAAAATTGTTTTAAATTCATCAACTATTTCTTTGGAATAAAGTTTTTTTTTTTTTAATATTTCCTTCTTATTGTATCTTCCGAACCTTTTCCCACTGTTCCCAACTTCATTTGATCCCACTGTGCAGGACTTCGGCGCAGGCGTCGCATTGAAAGCGAAAATCGAACAGCGTGGGAGTGCGTGTGCGAGTGTGTGTTTGGACCAGAGTCAGTTAATCTATTGCCAGCTCAACATATAGACACCGCCAACAGATGTTGGCAGAGTGGAAAATCGAGTGAGAGCAGCCAGAAGCCAAGTCCCAGTTGTTTTGGATTGAAGAAAATCGCAGGACTTCCAGAAAATGTCGCGCCTCTTGTTCGTGGCCCTGCTGGCCATCAGTTTGGGTTGTGTGGCGCCCAGCAGTGTCAACCACCTGCCAGCGGGCATGTCGGTGGACCTGGGACCAGGTGTGAATCTCAACGAGCGCTTCTTCGACCAGGTGCGAGCGCTCATCAAGCGGCGGCTCCAGGAGAAGGGCCTTGCGAAGCCGGAGCAGCAGGAGATGCCGTTGCCGTTGGCGGACGACGATGCGGTGGCTCTGCAGAACCAGCGCAGCTACGACAATGTTCCCCTTCCCGCGGCCAGTGTGCCCACTCCGGTGCTCGTCGAGAACTGGCCCACCGAGGAGCACAGCTTCGGTCAGGTCACCGCCGTGGCCGTGGATCCACTGGGCAATCCGGTGGTTTTCCACCGGGCCGAACGCTACTGGGATGTAAAGTAGGTCAACAGCTGTCGCTGCCTGGTAACAAGTGTCTATCCCATATGTACACAGAAATTGGGAAGCCAATTACTTTGATCCTTATTTTTTTTATTTTTTGATACCTAATACGAATTGATACGTGCATCCAAACTGAAAATGTTGTAAATCAAAATTAAATCTATTTGCTTATCTGGATTAGCTTATCCTCTATCGGAAGAGATAACATTTAGATTTTTTTGCAACATAAGATAAACAAAACACTTATATACATATTATGATTAGATAAATAACACAATTTTATTGCAGTACTTTAGTTTAAAAACCTAAATTCTTGGTATCCTTTTCCCCAATACTAAAAAATTGTGATAGCACCACTAATTCATTTTATTTTTCAGTACTTTCAACGAGAGCAATATATACTACCTAATCGAGTATGGACCAATTAAGGAGAACACCATCTACGTGCTGGACGCGAAGACGGGAGCTATTAAATCGGGATGGGGATCGAACATGTTCTACATGCCGCACGGAATGACCATCGATGGCCACGGTAACTACTGGATTACGGATGTGGCCATGCACCAGGCCTTCAAGGTGAATTTGTGCTTGACATAATTAAGAAAATAATAATTAAGAAATCCAAATTCTATTTCCATATTAGTTTAAGCCATTTAGCAACAAGCCTTTGTTGACGATTGGCAAGCGATTTAGGCCCGGGTCATCCGTGAAACACCTGTGCAAGCCGACTTCCATCGCAGTGGCAACAACAGGAGAGGTAGGTGCTACCTGTTGAGTTATTTTCACTCCCGAATTTACAACAATTGCAATCCACAGTTCTTTATCGCCGATGGCTACTGCAACAGCCGCATACTCAAGTTCAATGCCGCGGGCAAGCTGTTGCGTACAATTCCCCAGCCACCCGGTGCGTATACTTAATTTTTGCGTATACTTAATTGAGTGGTAGAAAGTCTTTTGTTTGATTTAAAACAGTTTTTGCCATTTTTTATTACAAATGAAATTAACATTTATTCACAAAAATTATAATTTGTCTAAAAATATTTGTATTTTGACAAGTTTCTTTAATTGCTTTGACTATCACTTTTGGTACAAATATTAAATTTAATCTGAAATTGTTGTTTTTACTTTTCTTTTTATATTGTTTTTGAAGGCAAATTTGAAGGCATCTTTCTAACCACCTGTTCTGCAGAATTCCTCTCGTTACAGGTTCCACATGCCATCACTTTGCTGGAACACCTGGATCTTCTTTGCATTGCTGACAGGGAGAATATGCGCGTAGTCTGCCCAAAGTAAGAAATCCTATTTTCCTAAACCATTAAGATATTAATAAATTGTTTTCGACAGAGCTGGCTTGATATCCTCCCACGGCGAGGGTGAACCGGCGGCAACCATTCAGGAGCCTGACTTGGGGCGAGTTTTTGGCGTCGCCAGTTATGGTGACATTGTGTTCGCTGTGAACGGACCAACTTCCATGCTGCCTGTGAGGGGATTCACCATTGATCCGCGATCGGAGTCAATTATCGGGCACTGGGGAGAGTTCAAGAACCCGCACTCGATGGCGGTCAGTGTGAATGGGTCGGCTCTGTATGTGACCGAGATCGGAAACAACCACCAGACAAACAGAGTGTGGAAATATGTGCTGGCCTGAGCCTAATTGAAATCGCTTTAAAAGACCCGACTCGCACTGCGCTCCTGCATATCCCTAGGACCATAGAACCCAACCAAATAGTTTTCAGCAGAAACAGGCAACAGAATCAGACTCCGAATCAGATACAGATAACACAGAACCTAAGCATAAGCAGAGCCCACAGCAAGTACAGTTTAACGTGACTCTTCGTCAGATCAATAGAGAATAGTAAGTGCTTAAGTAATGTACAAGTTAAGTATGTAAATTGCTTGATAAACAATACCACAACAAACATAACCTCAGACTCTTTATGTTTTGCACTGTAATGAGCAAACGAAAACGAAAACGAAAATTTACAAAACAGCTTAAATAGTACATATACTTAAATGTAATAGTTATGCGTAGGCACTAACTAGGCACGAATGTGAGGATGTGGTGACGTGGGCATGGATAACCGATTCCGCAGATAACCGGGGGCAACCAGCGCATACAAACATACTTGTGTATCATATTGTAACCTATATCAAATATATAATCGTATCTGTATCTTATCAACTTATCGTAGCCCATGTAAATTATGTATGTAATAAACTGTTGCTGTTGTGACGTGAACACGGGATTAAGATTGTTCGAAATCAATGACTATTTCCCCTAGAGGCCAAGGAATGTTAACTCTTATAAATATAAATATAAATATAAATATTTCCCAACTCTAAAGGTTGAAATGAGCGGCAAGTTTGCATGGCAAACACTCTAACTTAAAATTCCGGAAATGTTTGGGCATAACTTAAATATTACAAAATATAAATAGAAAACTTGAACACATATAGAAGTAAAAAATTCGGAGGGAATGCAGCTGCTGTCATGTGGAGCTAAGCCAGTGTCTGGCGAATTCCAGAGTCTTATTTAAGTGTGTTAGCCATTCCAAAAGCTCCGCTTGAGTATCGGCTGCAAAGAAGACTCCCGATTCGTAATCAGATTCTTTTCCTTGCAGTAGAAAGCTTCTGGCGCGGGCACATAGTTCCCGTGGAGCTGCAGCTATCGAGGATTGTCCGCATCCTGGCAACTCCAATGAGAAAATGGGTGCCTCATCCCCAAGATTATTTTCATGTTGCCAAACGGATAACTGTACGCCATCCAAACTGCACCATCTTCGATTCCAGTGGTGTTTGTTTTTTGGGTCCTGAACATTTAAAAAGCCAGAGAATCGGTTTTTGGGCAGTCGTAGGTCTACTCTCCCAGTAATAGATATTGCCGGTCCCACATTCGTGGATTTTGTGTGTGCCCTCAAGGGCAACTGCCAGGATCGCGAGCTGCGCAAGCAAATCTTGTCGGTGGATCTAGTTTCACTGGCAACCAGTTGAAAGGGTGCCAGGTCCATGGCTCGCAACGTGAAGGATGCGTGCAGGCGAAAGCGGGAGATGATCTGTTCGCTTACAGATCCTGCTGAAGAACTAGAGTTGGCGGAACCCAAGTTACCACTGCCCCGTCGCTGTAAAGTATTTTGTTAGGTAGCCGCTTTCGGGGATAACTAAAACTACTTACCAGCGTCTTGGAAGGCTCCAAAGCAAGTGTGGAAACCTTGCGCAGGCGCAACATAAAGATCTGGCAGCGCAGCTCCAAGGATTCCGCCTTTTCACCGCTATAAAACTCCAAACCACATTCCCGAAAGAATGCGGTACCATTCTGGCACTCCACCGATTGAGTGGAGCGAATGCGTCCTGCGCACTCAAAGGTGCAGATGTAGTGGTAGTTGAAGAACATATCCTGGTTTACATCTGCCCTAACTGGCAGTTCCATGGCATCGATCAGAAGGCATTGGCTTTGCCTCCTTGTCGCCAAAGCATCCTCACTTAATTGGCAACCAAGAGGAGCTGACTTTCGCAGGCTGGAGAAGAGCAACAGTCGCTCAGCCTCCACCATTTCTGCCGAGATCTCCAATTCCGGCATCTGGCGACATATGCTCACAGCTTGAGCCAACTGCTCGTTGGGACTTAAGGACTCGTTCAGCAGGGAATCCAGATTGAAACTAGCATAGTAGGTGCTGCTGTCCAGCTCTCCTTCCGTTTGATTTGACTGGTCCCTTGAGAAATTGAGACTGTGAGTCAGTCGCTGCTTCTCCGCCAGGAAGAAGTCCTTTCCCTTGCGATACGATCGACGCAAAGCATTCTTTAGCAGGCGGTAGCGAGCCAAGGCGCTGACCGACATCAGCTGGCTATCGCTGGGATTGGGCACAGTCTGCATCAGCTCACCCAAGCTGCTGCTGTTGTGGAAGCCAGAGGGATCCACTACATCCAGCTGCTCCGCTTGCTGGGGAGTTGTGGGGCAACTGAAGCTGAGATTCTGACCGAATTTACGCAGCGGCGTGGTTGGGCCATCGTTGATATCGATGGTAAGATTGCGTGAAGGCTGAAAAATTAATTATTACTCAGTCTCAGATAACCAAACCAAAAACAATGTTATATTTCAAATGCGTTTTAGAAAGCGATGGATATTATACAGAGTGATAGTGGATATTTACAAGAGTAACAATGTCGGATGCAAGCGAAAGCCTTAAACTCTAATGGGAGTCAAAAAAAATCTCTACCTTGGTTGTGAACCGCTGACTCTGCTTCTTTTTTGGCGTACTCTGATTCGCCGGCTGAGGACCAATTTGTCCAGAGCCATAATCATTAGTCACAAAGGAGCTACCAGCACTTCCAGCCCCACCCAAACTGTAATCCGCGTACAAATCATCGGCGCCTTCATTCGGCATATCATACGAAACGGAGTCCACATTTAAATCGGTCTGTAAAGGGTTTTTGATAAAAAATTAAGCTAAAGGTTAAGATCCTTTAAATCAACTTACATTCGGCACCTTTTCCAGGCGATCCAGCACCAGTTCACTGCGGCACAGATTGTCCAGGAAGATCTCGCTGCGCTGCAGTGAAAGTTCCGATCGGGAGAGATTTCGATTCTTCTTGGGCGGCGAGTGCTGCTCGCTGATATTGTTCAGAGATTGGTGGGTAAGTGGAGGCGGCGACTTTAGCTTCGGCTGACGGAGCACAGAGGATTCAGTTGTTTGGCTGGCCGAGCAAGAGGTTTCAGTACCACTTGGTTCTTCTGGCAGAGGCATGAATTGAAAGAAGTTGCCGTTCTTCAGGGATTCGTGTAGAAAGTGACCCAAGGCAACGGGTTGCATGGGTTGAGCAGCCTGGTTGGTTAATTGAGGTGGCGTTGGTTGCATGACCTTCTTAGGCTGTCTATTCTGATCAATTATCTGTGGCTGGATAATCGAAGAAATTATCTCCGGATGGACAACTTGAGCATTAATCTGTGGCTGGACAACCAAGGACTTCATTTGCGGGGAGTTCTTTGGCGTCTTCTGTACTCTGGCGTACATGGCACTGATATCTACTGGTGATGGTGATGGAACCGGCATGGATTCACTAACATAAGCCGTTGAGCTTTCCGTTGGAGTTGGAGTAGGATTAGTGATCTGCGCTGCGGTCCTAACCTCATGATGTGGACTCCCTCTAATTTGCATGCAGTCCTCCTCGATCTCCGAGTAGATCGGTTCGCTGTCAAGATCACGATTAAGACGTGTAGTGGCCACAGATGTGGTTATCAGACTGCTGGGTCCGTCTGTGCAGTCAAAGCTCTCGGTTTGTAACTGACTGTGCTCAAGCGGATCAAACCGAGAGCAGTCCTAAAACAATTTTGATTAAATGATTTAATTAATGGTATAATATTTGTTATTATTGCATATTTGTCAAAATAAAATACTATTTTGACCTTAACGTTAAACATAAACATTCAGAAACTGAACATATTATTGCTTATCAAATATTCCCATTTTAAATTTCGATAGTCCGTATGTCAGACCGTTATCGATATCCCATGCATGCAGCCCAGCGAAAAAGAGAGCGAAGCGGACGACGCAACAAGCTAGAACAGCTGACAGCAGCAGATTTCTTCCCTTTCCCTTGGAAATTCGGATGCCAAACAAAATTGCACAGGACCAGAGGCATTTAAAGGCAACCAAAAGCAAGGACAGATGGCGACAAGCACCTGAGGAGATGTACAAATCCCTGCTCCGCACCGTTCCACTCCAGGTCAGATCCCAGATCATCAAACTTAGCACCACAAAAGGCACAAACGGCAAACGCAAACAAAAAACAGAGGAGATGGAAACTCGCTACGATTTTAACAGGCGGTGGAAACCGTTGCAAAATTATAAAGCACTGTGCTGCACCCATAAGCAGTCCACTTTCAAGTTGGTCTCTTACAACATACTGGCCCAGGATCTGCTGCTTGAGCACCTGTTCCTTTACGTGGGTATTCCCCAGGAGTTCCTCACCTGGCGACGCCGCCAGCAAAATATTCTCCAGGAGCTGATCAAATTGGACTCGGACATCCTGTGCCTGCAGGAGATGCAGTACGATCATTTGGCGCTGCTCGTCCAAGGACTGCGCATGGGAAACAGCAAACGATTGGCGTATGTTTTTAAAAAGAAGACCGGACATCGCACTGACGGATGTGCCATTGTCTACGACTCCTGCAAGTTCGAGTTGCTGGACCACCGGGCTGTCGAGCTGCATGACAAGGAAGTGGCTCTACTAAACCGAGAGAATGTCGCTCTATTTGCCAAGTTTCGGTTTAAAAAGGAGCAAGTCCAGCAGAAGGATTTCGTGGTGGCTACCACGCACTTGCTGTACAACCCAAACAGAAGTGATGTACGTTGTGCTCAGGTGGGCAGAATACTGGAAGAACTACAGACATTCTCCACTGACACACCCATTGTCCTAACCGGCGACTTTAACAGTATGCCAAACTCATCACCCATTGATTTACTCATCGGACAAAGGGAGGGTGAGGAAACCAAAGGTAACCAAGCGCCTCTGCGCTTTGAACTAATCGACCCGGGCGAGAACACTGCATCTACATACCAGGACGAATGGATCACTGTGGACTACATCCTCCGCTCGCTAGGATCTCGAAGTAGGCACAAGCTTTTGCCCATCAGCGTTTACTCGTTGCCCTCGATTAGTCGCTGCAGCAGAATTGGACAGATTCCCAACCACTATCTGGGCTCAGATCACTACGCCATGGGCGCCATCTTCACAGTTGTCTAGTATTTGATATTCTTACCATTTCTGACTCATCAATAAAGGTACGATAAATGAATTATAGTACCCGCCATTGACATTTAAATGTTAAAGTTTAGCGCAAGTTAAGAGTTAAATATAGTCGCTTGAAACGACAACTTGTAGTTTTTTAAATTGGCTAGAAGGTCGAACAACTCACCCGAAAGGTTCTTTGTGCCCGCTCATCACTTGCCTCCAACTTGGCTCGAATGCTACTCAACAGATAGCCCATTTTGGTGATGGTCACATCTTGATCGAGATCCTTCTGGTAGGAACGATACGTAGTTGGTGGCGGTTCCGTTTGAAAATCCAGCTTGCGAGCTCTGTTGGCACGTGGCAGCTTCTTGGGAGGCGTCGGAGCCTCCACCTTACGCTCGAAATCAAAGTAGGGCTGCTCCCTATCCAATTGTTGGCGGGTTGATGTGGTTGTTGCCGATGGAGTGGTCTGCATAGGCGAATGGTAGCTGCCCGGCGGAGATTGGGAGTGCAGATCCAGTTGCGAAGTAGAGGTTTGCACGCCAACAGTACATTGTTTCGGAGTAGTGTTGATCTGCTCCTCCCTCTGGTACTCCTCTTGATTCGATTTCTTTGGCGACACAAAGCGGAGAATCTTCTTTTTAGAGTTATTCAGGAAATTCTTTGACTTTTTTCCAAGGCTTTTGGACTTGTTACCCTTCCAGGGAGAAAGATTTCGCCACTGTTCGCCCCAAATGAACTTCTGGCTAGCCTGAGCGCCTGCTGATTTAATTCCTCTCGGATACTTTATGGGCGTATCCTTATGCACCATATTCGAGGCAAGGTTCTCGCTCATACTTCCATCTACAGTGTCTAACGATACTTTTGGAACCACAGGCTGTGGTTGTACTTTGGGCATTTGCCATCCAACAGCCACTTGCGGTTCCGCCGAAGGAGCTTGGGTTTTAAAGTCGCTGGCTGACTTTCCCTCGTAGTTTAGCATGTCGTTGATTTTGGGCTCTCTCCATCCAATAATAATCTCCTTAGAGGGTGCACCTTTCCGACTACTCTCCTGTCTGATATTCCGAGCGTAATTCGAGCCCCGCTTCGACTCCACCACTCGCTCGATATCGCTGAGTGAGGGGCAATTTGGCAGATGCTTGTGGCTCTTCGGCTTCTCTACCTCAGCTAGATTATAAAAAATACATCATAAGATTTAGCAAAACCATAGATTCAATAAAGGAAACCGTAACCCAAATGTTTAGAAAATAAACTCTTTATTTGGTTAATACAATAGATTTTTGGTAAAATTAATTGGTTTGGAAATAGTTGTTATTATATTTGGTTACGGTTTCATTGTCTTGGGTAAATTACTTACCCATGGGATAGGATCTGCGCTGGCTGTCCTTCTTGCGAGAGAAGTCTAGTTTACTAACGGGCACCTGAACTCCACGCTTGCGCAGGAATTCGTCCAGCACTCGCTCCGCCTCCCGCACCGAAGGATTTGTGGAGGTGAGCGAAGATTGCGAGAGCTTGCCGTCCAGACTTTGGGAGCTGCGACGCGGAGGCTTTGGCGGCGGTTGTTGGGAATCACGTGCCTTGAAGCTGACTAGCCCCTGCGATAGACGCTTTTGTAGAAGACGTCCACCTGCTCCTGAACTGCGGCGGGAACGCGAGCTCCTGCGACTAGAAGGCTCTGTGGCCAGCACTTCCTTCTCCTGTTCTTCCTCAATAGCTGATTCCTGCTCGCTGATATTGGACAAAACTGGAGCTGACGGCTTGTAAGCAATAGGTTCGTATGACTGCATTTTAGTGGCACTTTTTACTGTATGCGAGCTTCTATGTCGGCAACTGGAACTGGAGCCCGAGACTGGAAGTTTTTGGCGATTTACGCGTACCTCAGAAACCACACAGTTTGCGTGCAGCTCCTGGATGATGTGTATAAGCGGTTCATCGTCACCGCGCACGGCACTTAAGCGACTGACAGCGGTTAGTGGAGTTTTGAAGCTGGATTTTATGTTGGCCGGTTCGCTGTGACGACCTTTCCCCGCCTGCTGCCCCTGGCTGCCCAGATTGTTCTGCTTGGCGGGCTGTAAAGTGGGTGTAAAATGGGATTTAGTTTGTGAATAGGAAGGGGTTAGGACCTTTAACCAACCTTATAGTTCTCGGACCGCCTGCTGCGCCGTGGCAAACGCACGTGCTGGTCACGTGGCGGCGCTGTGGAGCCGCAATCTCCGCTGTCGCTGGTGAAGCAGTAGCAAAAGCCATTCTGGCAGGGTTTTCCTTTGCGCTCTTGCTCCTTGTTGCATCGATTCTGGTTGATTAGGTCCGCATCTGTGGTCCTCCGAGTTCGGGGCTGCTGCCGGGGCATGTTGGTGTTGTTGTTGTTATTATTATTGTTGTTGTTTTCGCAGTCGCGACTTTGGGTTGAGACTCTGCGGATGCGACGTGCCCGAAACTCATCGATACACTCCTGCAAACTGAATGAGGATGTGGATCCAGACTCGGCAGAATCCTCCTCCTCGTCTTCCTCTTCCTCTTCTTCTTCTTCGACTAGAACATGTTTGGAGAACTTTGAGCCTGCAAAAGTCTAGATTCCAAGATGCCGTTTATGTGCAACGCCGATTAAATTGCTATTGAATGCTTACTGTGGCCATTTTTGAAATATATTTTAAGCTGATAAGACCAGCTGCATGTGCTCCACTTTTACACGTTGCACGTTTTCTACTCCGGATTCGTGGTTTTCCAATCAAAAGAAAAACGACGCCTCGCCTGCATTATTGTTTTCCCTTTTGTGCCGCTTCTTCTTTATCAAAACTGAGAGAGTGTTTAACAACCCTGTCTCTCACCAGAGCTGAGCACATAGCTAGGAAAATGGGAAGAGAAATAATGACTAGAAAAAGTTTGAATTCAAAATTATAAAAATGGATTTGTACTAAATCTTGTTCGTATATTGTAAACAGTAAAATAAAAAGTGTGTGGCAAATAATATTTTAATTTATTAGGATGTATATAAGAATTTACTAGCTACCATGCCATCTCTAGTCACAAAGAAACAGCTGTCAGCTGTTTGCGGCATGAGGTTACGTCTTCTTCTCTGATTACGAAAACTCTTAAAAAATTTGATTGAACACTTTTGAATTAAAAACAAACATAAAATGTCAAATAGCCACTTGTTTTTAAAGTCCGGCTTTCCAAGGGCTCCCCTGCAAAATGGACTGGGTCGCTACGTTTGCCAGCTGCAGAGGATAACACTGAAGTTCTGCAAGAATAATGGATCCAGCAGGGGAATGCGGTAAGGAAAATTTGGTAAATTACAAATGCAAAATAATAAACAATTTGAAAATTTCATAGCGACTTTATTGAGAACCATTTGGTGGACTTTGCGAAGGAAAACCCCGGCATCGTGGTCTATGTGAAGCCCAGGCGCCATCGCACCCCAGTTTTAGTGGGCGAGTATTGTGAGTACCCAAATAATAAAATAAAGTTAAGAAGTTTTATCAGTAAAAGTGGTTTACAATATCCAATTATTTATAGTGAATGGAGAACGCGAGTGGCTTAGCTGCAGAAACAGCACGCAAGAGGAGATCTCTAAGTGGATTGACCTGCTAAAGACCCAGAACGGCAGTTCCAGCTCTCTACGACTGCGTAAAATGTGGCACACAGAGGTTCCGTCCATTCAGGGTCCGTGGACGCCATTCCTTCTGCGTTCACCAGAAGCTCAAGGTCAAATATATCCCAGTGAAGAGGCATCTAAACCACTGGAGACACCACAAACCGCCACGGAGAAGCTTATCGAACTGTTCCGGCAGCAGCAACTCGAGGCTGGCGAAGGAGCCCATGAAGTTCTAAACAAAAAGCGGGCTGAGTAAACCATAAACACATAAATTAAGACTTTTTGTAATTGTTGCTTTATTTTTATAGTCAACATAGTTTTGTTGGTAAACAAATAAATATTTAAAATCTAAACGACTAAAATTGTGCTTCCTCCGCATGAAATATCGAATCACAAGTAAAAGAAAAATCGAACAACTTATTGTCCCCTTGGCGTTGTTTTCTTTCAGATAGTTTCGATCGATATGTTTCGGGTACTTGGAATATCATTGTGGGAGTATAATAAATAATGCTTAAGGTTACTGACCCCTTTGAGGATTGGAATACATAGTGAAATACCAATAGATGTGCAGAACAGGCTCTCAGACAAAAGAAGTCCAGGGGTAAACAGGTTCTGGTGACAACTTAGCATAACCAACTAACGCTTACAGGTGAGTTATGTGATTCCGATCAGCGACGATCAGTTAAGTACTTTGAAGTCTGACTAAGACGGTTTTGCTTGGGGACATACACAGGTAATTGCGAGTGGATACAGCGAGTTTTAGAGTATCAAAAAGTACACCACGAATAATTGCTTGTGTGCTAAAGTATTTTCCAATTAACACTTAGACTTATACATATAAAATTACATTCACACATACGATCAACGACTTACACACCAATAAAAGCATTTTGCTCGAGTTTACAATTTCCGTTTGGTGAATTCCTTTGGCGAAATGCATTTGGTTCTTCCTAATTATTACTATATAGACCTTGAGTACACAAATGTTAACGTTGTCATCAAAATAATTAATACGGACGTCTTTACACTTTTGATATTGTTGTCAATGGTATATCACTAGTTAAACTTAATTAAACTCTTGTTTAAACATATGTATTTTTCCTTTCATTCCCAGCAGATCCCCCCACTGTCGCTATCTATACCTAGACTTTGTATTTTGGTGTTGGTGGGTGAGCTTCTAAGCAAGCGATTTCCGTTCGCAACTAGCTACTGGCTGCTTTTTGGTTTCGATAGATAGCCTTTCTTTCATAGCACGCAATAATAGCTTAGTTCGGTTGCCAGATCTCCTCAGATGTCGCCCGTTTCCATGGCAGCATTAATGTCGGCCACAATCTTTCCCATCAACTCGCGATAGGGGGAGTCTGATCGGAAAGCTGTTTCCAGCAGGGTCTCCTCGCCGAAGAAATCGAACACCTCGTCGATGCGACCCAGCGATTTCTCTGTGAGATGCGGCTGCACAATCGACTTTAGCGCCACATGTGACTCAGCTATGGATTTCTGCAGGTAGGCCAGATCAAAGGTGAAATCCACCTCGTAAAATGATATGATGGAGAGCTGTGTGTTCTGTTAAAAAAAAATTGTGGGGTTAATATTGCTCTTCCGCAGGATTATTCGTGTTTATTAGAAGCATTTTACAGACGCCGTTTCTCACCTGAAACTTTCTTTTAAAGTTCTCCGCCTTCTGCAGCTCCTCCTCGCTGAACTGATTGTTCCGGTGAAGCACACCAATCTTGATCACGATCTTGATGATGTTCTTGATCAGCTTCTCCGCCTTGGCCTTGTTGCCGGTGTGCATCTTGCACAGCCTGTACAGGTTGTCCAGCAGCGAGGCCGTTGTCCCGTCAATAAAGGTCTTTGCGATGTTTTTGGTGGCCATGCGTGAGAGGATTTTCTTCTGAGCTCGCAGCCCGATATCGTGAGACTTGAAGACGTTGTCAGCCATGACTAAAGCGGATGGGAGGGTTGCGGATTGAGATATTGTTATTATCGCTGCATATTCATTGAGTGAAGCATTGTGGCGGGGCTATTCAAGCAACTTGAGCCATCCAAACAAAACGGAGAAACAACTGAGCAACCAAAGAAAACTGAAAACTGGCAACAAAAAACTGAAAAGCAAAGCAGCTTCGCACTTTTCAGCCTTTTACCTTCCAAGTTCCAGTAGTCGACGCTCCAGAGCAGCAGACATTGTCGAAGCCCGGCCACCGACATGGTTGCTATATATATACCACACATATATTACACCGATTCCCGTTGCAAGCATTGATAAGAGAATTACAGATATAGAAACATGAATTATTGGGTAACGTTCATCAGCACCGTATCTCTAGATAAAGGAACTTTCCTTCCTTCTTTGTTATGGTTTTGTTCTTTTGTGTTTGAAGTGGAGCACGCAATAAAACAGTCGATATGGCCTAACTTTAGCTAGCATGAGTCATAAAAAAGGTTGGATTTCTGAGATAGATTCTTCTTTTAGATTTTGTTTATTTCAAGTTAAATATATTATTATCAAATCAACTTAAATAATAATTTAAATTAAATTGTTGCTTTTTTAGATAAACTTTGACAGTACAAAATTCCAAGTTCGAATTATCGTAAATTTGACACTCAGCTTTTGTGATAAAAAATCCGTAGTGTTTATTAATCACAAATTCTGGGAAGTACTAATAGGAGTTATAACTGTTCTTATCACTTGTTAGGACAGTTCATTATACAGAGTTAAGACCGTATTAATAATTGATGACCAACTGTGCCCCTTTTGGGTGGCTTCACACTAACCGTACAAATATATATAAGGTCGTTCTAACGGCGACGAGGCGCGTTTCGTACGTGTTGGAGCCTTAAATGGAAATGCGGCAGTTTTTCCAACTGTCCAAACAAGGAGTCTAGACCAGGGCTAGAAACAATATGGGATTCAGAGTGGAAATTCCCTTGCGGGTCAGCAGAGTTCAAGCACTTGAATCATTATATATATTAACTAAAACCCACCCAAGTCGTAACTAAATTTAATCCAAAACAGGGCATCCCTGGCTGCTAATTTAACTAAGTGAATTTCTGTTCCAGTTAGATAATGCCTAGCTTATAACCGTATCATGACACGGATCGTTCCAAATGGCTAAGGTCACGCAAAGTGCAATAAAAAGAGGCCTAACCCTAGAAGAAAAAGGGGGTGTGGCTGTAGGTGGGCGTCCTCCAAGGACAACAGTGGAATGCGGAAGTGCGCTACAGCCAAAACAATTGGGCTCTTGACTTCTGGCTATTTGTAATCCAACTTTAAATGACCTACCCTCGGAACCTCCACGGCTCCTGCATTTGCGTGTTAAGTTTTCCTTGCGGGTGGGTTTCTTTGCCTTTTTGGTGTTATTGATTGCAACAGGCATACCATACCCTCCCAAAAAAAAAAAAACAAGAATAGAATCCCAAGTTTGGCGCTCTGCCCGCTCACCTGTTTTTTTGTTGCTGCAGTCCTTGAGTTTTATCCTTGAGTCCTTCCTTTGCTTCGCTGAGTGTGTATGTGTGTCTTTATCCAACGACTTATTCTGTATCTAAACTCCTAGCAAAAGCAACCAAAAAGGGGCAGCTGCATTGAAATGCGTAAATTGTTGACGATTTGTAGCGAAATTTATGCGCAACTGCGATTAAACATAAAACAAGTCAGCGAACAGCAACAAAAACAAAATATGATAGAGTGTGACCAGGCGGTTTCAGTTATCAAATCTTTTAAATAACACAAGCCAATATTGGACAATCATTAGTAGATAAAAACATTTTAGCGAAGCCCTTCATTGAAGTAGTATTTTTTTTCCAAAAAGTATCTTGCAGCTACCCAAACACGGTCACACTGCCCAAAAGTCCAGCTGCGTCGTTGAAAAATATTTTCGATGCCTCGTAGGTTGTTTTATTTCAAAGGAAATAGCAATTAATCTGGTTAAAAAATAGAAATTTCAAGAGCAGTTACCGAGCGGGTTGCACGATGAACATCTACAACAAGTTGCGGGCCAGGGAGCATGGATACGGTGAGTTTTTTGCTTGGCGGGAGAATCTCACTTTTGGCGCTCGATTTTCCTGCAAGAAAGGGTGTTGATTTCAAAAAGGGTTCAAAGTGGTTTCTAGCGATAACTGGCACTATGCCAGAAAAATAACCACCTGATCGCCCAGGAACGTTTGTAGCTCTGAAGAACACCCATTAGTTGCTTCGTTAGAAATTGCTGATCTTGCAAAAAATGAAAAACTATGGCACAGCCACGGAACTAATTTAATGGTTTTATCGTTTTTTCCCCATTAGGCAATGAGAGGACCTACGACTTCGCCCTGCGTCGCCTATCCGTTGCCAAGGAGGACAGCTGGCGGGGCATTGCGCCGGCCAACTACTGTCCGGACTTCAATCCCGAACCACCAATCTTCTCCGCCAAGTTCGCCAATTGCGATGGCTATAGGCACATCCTTGCGATCGCCAACGAGGATGGGAAGATAACGCTACAGGACACCACGCAGCGGAATCACGAGCCGGAGGAGCAGTCCCTGGTGGGGCCACAGTGCCACTACAATGCGGTGTTCGATCTCGAATGGGCCCCCGGTCAAATGCGCTTCGTCTCCGCCTCAGGAGATCACACAGCCCGGCTGTGGGAGGTAGCAGGCTCCGGCATTCGTGGACTGAACTCCTATGTGGGTCACACGAGATCCGTTAAATCAGCTGCCTTTAAGCGCACCGATCCGGCTGTTTTTGCTACCGGCGGACGGGATGGTGCGATTCTCATATGGGACATCAGGGCCAACCTCAACATGGACCTCACATCCCGCGTGGACAACTGTATCTACAGTGGCCATACAGGTGGACCGGGCACTCCGGTCTCCCAGCGAAAGCAGCGCACTCGCACACCGAAAATGGCTGGCGGAACCACATCGAGCAGCATTACTGGTTTGGCCTTTCAGGATAACGATACTTTGATCTCCTGTGGCGCCGGCGATGGAGTAATTAAAGTGTGGGATTTGCGACGGAACTACACGGCCTACAAAAAGGAGCCGCTGCCCAGGCACAAGCTGCCTTATGCAGGTCACTCCACCTTCCGCGGGTTCACCAACTTGATTGTGGACGCTTCGGGCACAAAACTGTATGCCAATTGTATGGACAACACTATTTATTGCTACAATTTGGCCTCCTACTCACCGCGACCGCTCGCTTGCTACAAGGGCCTGCTGAACTCAACGTTCTACATCAAATCGTGCCTTAGTCCAGATGGAAAGTATCTGCTGAGTGGAAGCAGTGATGAGCGTGCCTATATCTGGAACCTAGATCATGCCGAGGAGCCCCTGGTGGCACTAGCAGGACACACCGTCGAAGTAACATGCGTGGCCTGGGGCTCTAGTCACGACTGTCCCATTGTCACCTGCAGCGATGATGCGCGTCACAAGATCTGGCGGATTGGACCCGATCTCGATGGTCTTAGTGAGGCGGAGCGGGCGGAAAAGTACCGGGGAACTGCCTCCTACGTCAGGGAATTCGGCAAGAAAACAACGGGTCCACTTACCGGGAATCACAAGTACAATCTGCGAGATCTGGAGTCCACGCCGAGGTCCCTAAAGCGGCTGATGGATCAAAACGAACGTACTCCTGGGTCTGTGGAAAAGACGAGCACCAAAAGGTCGTTCCTGGAAATGTTGGGCGTGGCTGGTGGCGAGGCGGAAGGCACAGATCAGCCTCAAAAACGAGCTAAACCGCTGGAGTCCCGTGGTCGACGGCTGTTCGGTCCTTCCAGTCAGGAAACAACATGCCGGCACATACAACTTCAGCCCATCAATGAAGAAGACGCCTCGCCCAGCAAAAGGCAAAAGGAAAACTCGGCTGCGGAAGATGTTTCGCCACTGCCCAAGCTCCTTAGCACTCCAAGTCATTCTCCTTTGAGCGAGAATGTGAACCACATGTACACCTCCCCGCCCACGACATCAGCGGCAGCAGCAGCGGCCTCAGAAGCAGCTAACCCACCACCCATTTCCTCCATTATCTATTCACCCACCTCAAACCTGCCCAACTACGTACTGGATGGCGAAGCACCCCACCTAGGCATCATGTCGCCCAAGCGAAAGGCCAAGGAGAAGGTTGACTGGCTGACGAACATACGGAAACAGAAGCTCATGAGCGGAAGGGCACATGTTACGCTCACTGATAAGATCAGCGAGGATCAACAGGCGGATGTACTGGCATCTCCGCGACTCCAGAGTTTGCGGCAATCCGAGTGCAGTCCTCGACTGCAGGCCTCACCACGCCGGCGTATTTCCCACGCGGATGGCAGCGGTGGTACTCCAGCTGGCAGCTCCTCACATTCCCACGCACAATCTCAGCCAAAAACCCCAACATCTAGTAGAAGAAACAGCGAGACGACGCTCCTGCGATTCTTTAGCATTCAGAGGAGCAGCAGTGTGCCAGCGGAGGAAAGCACAACCACGACAGCCGCGCCTTCGTCTCCAAATCCCGCGACAGGAACTGCACCGGCTGCCACGCCTCTTAGCATGCGTACGCCCACCACGGCGGTGGGCAGCGATTGACGCAAAGCCGCGAGCTTTTTCTTACATTCAATGGGGAGGTCAGAGCACCATTATTGCACTTGTAGTTTTAACCGGACATTGTTTAAGTTATTTTATGTAGATCGTAGTTGGCTTCTATCGCGGGACGAGTTGGTAACCAACTCCCCGCGCTTTGTACAGCGCCCATACAAAAGACTAACGTACCCAAATAAAATTAAATCAATTTTCAAATTGCCCTTTTAGACATTTTTACCGGGGTGTTTCAAAAATTGGGTTTCTATCTTCCAGTTAGCAATAATGGCACTACACTAGTTTATAATGTACTTTTTATTTCATTTTTTGGCATAATCAAAAATGTTTAAGGTGGCACTGTGGCGTGAAAGTTCCTCCATCTACTGAACCTTCTTCTGCTGCTCCTGCTGTTCCTTCTTGGCCGCATTATTCAGTCGCATGGTCTGGATGAGTTGCTTGGCCACACCAGCGAGCAGCAGGATGTGGGTGAAGTGCAGGGCGGCGCTGGAAAAATTCGTGCTCGGATAGGTGTTCCAGCAGTACTCGATCAGGCCCAGAATGAGATATCGCACTCCCAGCGAATAGGGCGTGGACCAGGCCAAATAGGGCAGCGAGTGGAAGTACCAAACGTAGAACTGATAGTGCAAGGATCGGGAACAGGCCACGCCCACTAAGTTGGAGAGAAAGAATGGAAGCAGCGCCAGCTGAGTGCAGCGGTCGAAGTGGATGCCATAGCGCTCCGGTTCTGACTGGGCAGTAGATGGAATTGACTTTCCCCCGGATGCCTTTTGCAGGCTTTTTTCAAAGGCTTTCAGGAAAGACTGTTGCTCCGATGAAAACTTCTTATGATCCGTGTCCTTTTCCAGCTTTCTCAACTTTCTCTGAGTCTTCACCTCACGATTCTGCTGCGCTATTTGTGGCTGCAGTTGATCCTCGACGCGTCGCAGGCGGACGTAGCTTTTGAAGAAGGTCCAAGTAGGTTTAGCAAAGGCTAAAAGCAGCAGCAAATGTAAACCCAATAGGGACAAGTGAAAGGTGCGGTTTTCGAAGAGCTCTCTGCTCAAAAATCTGTAGTTAACAGTCCACTTGTGTTCGAATATGCGGCCCAAATCGAAGCTTCCCCGGAGATATTCCACAGGGTATGTGAGCAGGAAAGGAGCTCCCAGCAGCAGTTGTATAACTCCACAAACGGCCAACTGGAGGATAGTTTTTACCAGTCCCAAATTAGCCAGGTAGAATAGGAAGAGAGCGGGGGCAAACAGCAGGATGTTCATCTTAACGCCCACTGCCAAGCTGAAGAAGGTGCTACCCAAAGTCCATCGGCGATCCAGGAAGAGATTGAGAGAAGCATAGAGCAGCAGAATCGCCACCGGATCGTTGAAGAGTCGCAGCACGTAAATGGAGTGGATGCGGTACGAGGTGAAGGCGCTGAGCACCAGGACATAAGGAGGCACCTTGCGGCTCTTCGCGTACAGCCGGAGCACCAGAGCCAGCTGGAGCAGGTAGATCCCGGCGAAGATGTACTGCGCCAGGCGCACATTCGTTCCGTGGGACGTCACATAGTAGAGAGCGGAGTAGATGTAAACGAAGGCAGCCGGATACACCAGAGGTCCGGTGTCACCTGCGGAGTAGAAAGAAAATATGATACATTTAATTTGAAAATTGACCAAAATGAACTAATTCTAAGTTCATAACTTTTCTAATTTGTATCTGATTTTAACAAACTGCATTATTAGTTAATTTTTTATTTGTTCTTAATGTAAATATCTTTTCAACGTTTAATAGCACTTAAATTTAAATAGTAACATTAGGTTTATTACTCGAATTAGCTTTCTTTAGCTTTACATTTTAGCTGTAGCAAAGTAATTTTTAATATCTTCAAATCAGTAAAAATCCCGCCAACTTTTGCCGTTACCCGTTCGATTTAAATTTAAAATCAGCTGTTCAGGCGCACTGCGAATGGCAAGCGGAGGGAATGGAACGGCTGACGTAACATTCGGCGTGCCGGGGCGACTGTCAAAATGTCAACGGGAACGGAACATCGGGCGAAGGTGCGAGCGAGAGAGAGTGAACATTCGTAGGGCAGCATGGAGGTTACGGCATGTTAGCTGAAAAACTAATACTTTTATGGAAAAATGATGATTTCGTGTAAAAATTTATTCGTATTCCGGCATCTGCCGGCAGTGCGCACCTGCCTGGCTGCCACCGCGTACTCCGCGCCCAGTGCCACAGCCTACCGAAGCCTCTCCAGCATTCTACAACCGCCGAGGAGCGGAATTCCGGCAAATTCGGAGCACCCAGTCCGCCGCTTACACACCACACGCGAACTCCTGGCTAAAGACTACTATAAAACGTTGGGCGTAGCCAAGAACGCCAACGGCAAGGACATCAAAAAAGCCTACTACCAGCTCGCAAAGAAGTATCATCCGGACACAAACAAGGAGGATCCGGATGCGGGCCGCAAGTTCCAGGAGGTTTCCGAGGCATATGAAGTGCTCAGCGACGAGCAGAAGCGCCGGGAGTACGACACCTATGGCCAAACGGCGGAGAACATGGGTCGCCAGGGCGGCGGATTCCCCGGAGGTGGAGCTGGTGGCTTTGGACCCGAAGGCTTCTCGCAGAGCTGGCAATTCCGCTCGAGCATCGACCCGGAGGAGCTCTTCCGCAAGATCTTCGGCGAGGGCAACTTCCGGACGAACAGCTTCGATGACTTTGCCGACTCCAAGTTTGGTTTCGGTCAGGCGCAGGAGATGGTGATGGACCTCACCTTCGCCCAGGCGGCTCGCGGAGTCAACAAAGATGTCAACGTCAATGTGGTCGATCAGTGCCCCAAGTGCGCCGGCTCCAAGTGCGAGCCGGGCACCAAACCGGGACGCTGTCAGTATTGCAATGGCACCGGATTCGAGACCGTGTCCACGGGACCCTTCGTCATGCGCTCCACCTGTCGCTACTGCCAGGGCACTCGGCAGCACATCAAGTACCCGTGCAGCGAGTGCGAGGGCAAGGGACGCACGGTGCAGAGGCGAAAGGTCACAGTTCCCGTGCCCGCTGGCATCGAGAACGGACAAACGGTGCGCATGCAGGTGGGCAGCAAGGAGCTGTTCGTCACCTTCCGCGTGGAGCGGAGCGACTACTTCCGCCGCGAGGGCGCCGATGTGCACACGGACGTGGCCATCTCCCTGGCGCAATCGGTGCTAGGAGGCACAGTTCGTGTGCAGGGCGTCTACGAGGACCAGTGGATCAACGTGGAGCCGGGCACCTCGTCGCATCACAGGATTATGCTGCGCGGGAAGGGATTGAAGCGGGTCAATGCTCACGGACACGGCGATCACTATGTGCACATCAAGATCGCGGTGCCCGACAGCAGGAAACTGGACAAGGAGCGAAGGGCCTTGATCGAGGCGTACGCCGAGCTGGAGGAGGATACACCTGGCCAGATTCACGGGATCGCCCAGCGCAAAGATGGCAGTAAGAAAGCAACGTAAATAATCTCCTGATCTACAAATGCAATCTCTAAATGTAACTTGGAGTTTGAATTCGTAGTTGAAATATACGTGCGTTTTATGTGCGAACTATGTTAAATCATGGTGTCTGTCTTTCTCTTTCCCCAACTATCGTTGCAGCGCAGGAGCGAATGAAGCAAGACCTGGATCAGGAGCAGCAGCAGCAGCAGGAGAAGCTGCCGGATCAGGAGCCAGTTCAGGATCCTCCCAGCCAGGAAAAGGACCAGCAGAAACAGAAGGCAAAGACCAACGGACCGCCGAAGAGGAAGCCAAAGCGAAAGAAGGCGGAGGATCCGAGTCCGGACAAAGCGAAGGCGGAGGCTTCTTAAACAAAATCAAGTCCATGTTCAATTGACAGGCGTTGCCAACTAGTTGGCCGATTCTGTTTGTTAGTGTCTAAGTTAACGCACGTTATTGTTGCTAAGGCGTAATCTAAGTTCGGGCGGGAACCGATTGAGTGTATTCCAAATACGAGTTGGTTCGAGATGAATAAACCAAATTGACCGTCAATCGAGCAAGCACTGTGTTTATGCGAGATTTTTTTAACTTGAAGTGAATTGTGATTCTCATTTCCCATTTTGACATTCACTTGTTTTGATTAAAGAAAACATTTTTCCATTCTTCCTTGTCAACTGTAGTCAGTTTTTCCTATAAAGTAAAAGTTTGCTTAAAATTTACAACTAAAGAAAATGCCAATAAGCCTAGGTATTGCATTACATTAAATATTGGAACTAGAAGTAAAAATTCCATAACTTTAAACTAAAAGGAAAGTGATTTACAAATATTCCCAGTAAAGTTGGCGAAATAAACAACAACAGGTGCAGAAAAAGGGACACCGAATCGGGTCACCTGTCGCCAAAAATAAACCCGAAACTAAAAACTTACCGCGTAGCAACGAATAATTTGTGGTTCCGTTGAGGAATCCCTCGCACTCCTGCATGTAGGCCACCCAGTCGATCTCCGTGTAGGGAACCCTCTGGATGACCACCACGTTGATCACCGCCTCTGCGAGGAGCACAAAAAGTCCAACTATGGGCAGAGCAGCCGGTTCCAGAATAAGATACTTGAAGAACCGCACATTGAGGTATTTGTCCAGGATGGAGTCCACTAAAGTTCCAGACTTTTTACGCCGCAACGCCGAACGGTTGCTGGCGGCCTTTGGCGGGGCCATTTCTGTGATAACCGGCGAATATTAATTAAAATTCAACTTTAATCGAAACATCCACGCAACCAGGGCGGCACTATCAAAATCAGCTGTTGCGCATCTTATCGATAGCAGTCCAATTGGAATTTCGGATGCTATCGATTGCTCGGCTATTTGAATTGGTAGTTCCAAAAACGAGCACGCACATTTCTTGGACTGGCGCCACCATTTCCGGTTGATTAAAGTTATTAAAACCTTCCTTGACTTCATTATATATTTTTAAGTAACGCATTTACATGAGTAAACTATAAACTATATGTCAAGGTAATATAAAAACATTAATAAAAGCTTATTTAAAATTTAAGCTGAGACTGTTTCGAACCAAGCACTTTAATCTTTGTGCAAAGAAAATGTATTGAATTTCAAGGTAAAATGAAATTACTTTCTAATCACCGCACAGGATTTAATTAGCGCACATACAATTGTAAAATACTCAGTGTAATTTAAGACATCTCATGTTTCGCTGAGCTCTCCACCTCCTTTGTACTCGACTATGTTCCTGACTGTTTCTGCTTTTGAATGATGGTTGTTGTTAGGCCCAGGGGCGAAACAAATCATAACACACATTTGCACATATATGAAGTAATTAGCTGCACTCGCATGCAACGACTGATTCTATTTGATCCAAATCCCCTGGGGCCAGAGGACCGCAATCGCAGGTGGGAGTGCGCAACAGGTAAAAAACCAATCAGCTCATGGCCAATTTGCGAGGCAGATTAACGGCCAGAGCTGTCACCATGGATTGTACAGTAAATAGTGGGGGGCGGTGGCCAAAGGTGGGCGGGTAAGGGCGGCTCTTTGGCGGTTCAACGCATCGATGAGATGTATTTGCTAAGGGCAAACGATGTAACACAATCCAGGTGAAAGGGTCGTCGTCATCGGTGTGCTCATGCAAAACGCAGCTCGTTTATCGGGTTACAACTGATATGGCCGCAGAGGCAACCACACTTAACCCACCGCCACCGAACCCACAGCCTTGCAGGACCCATCAGGCAATTAAGTGTCAACCTCCGGATGCGAATGTATCCCCGATTTCCCGGCCTTGTTGCCCGTTCTTTTTTCCACGTTTCGTGATTCATTAATTGTGTCCACTGCACCGTGTTTGCTCGCAAAAAAGAGGAAAAGTTAACGCCCTCTTGCCACGAATGCCCTGCTGTCGCTTTTTTCCCGCCATTTACCTGTCCAGTCAACCATGTGAAACACTGATATGCCACCAATTACCCGAACAGGACAAAACTGAAAAAACGGCTAGCGATTTACAGGAATTTAGCCCGGAGTCCTGTGCGAATCGGAATTCAATAACCCATTTTTTGCCAGTGACATTTTGTTTAAAAACAGGAATACCAATATTTTCTTTTCAATTTAATACTGAACATTATTGTGAAATATCACAACCTAACATTTTTTTTTCAAATAGTTCACGGTCTTTATGAAACGAATATTTTTTGTAATATGCTACGTATTTACGACAACTTTTTATCAATTGGAGTGAACTCTTCTAAATGTTGTTTGCTCCAGGGTTAACTTTGTTTTGTTGAGAAATTAATTGCCTTTGATCTGGTTTTGGCAAGTCATTCCCTACTCTTATAAATTATCATCAGTGTTCTTTTTTTGGACCCCAGTGCAAATACAAGTGTGAACATGAGTATGCCTTTCATGTTTGTCGTCTCATCTTTGTGGGTCAATCGAGTCTGATGTTAGCTATCGCTTTATGAACTATAGAACTAAATCGGTCATTCCTTATCAACACCGTCGACTTTTGCCGACACAAACTCACCCGTACATACATACGGACATACTTACATACCTACAGCCTCTAGCTTGGTAGCTGTATGAGTGAGAAAATTGTTTATTAATCAATAATAATAATAATCTATGGGCACACACACGGCTACAACGAGTGTATTTCGGTATCGGGACTGTTATCAGGCCGCTGCTGCTTCTACTCCCATTACTGATAAGCGTTTTTCCCCGCTGTAATGCAAATCCCCCAGCATTCGGCCTATAATAGTGGCGAGCAGTACTTTGCACTCGAGTGCTTATTAATTTCACTTCCCATCGCATTCATTGCTTTTGCATTTTATTGTCTCACGATTTAGCTATAAAATAAAAATGGGGACGGGCACTTTATTTATCGCCGCCACTTATTGCAATTCGCATGATACTTTAAGAGAAGGAAAGAGATGCAGCGAGAGAGGGGGGAGGTTCGGGCGGATACCGGGAGTCGTAGAGCCGGAAAATGTCTCTATAGAGTAAACAAAGCCAGGGCCATGTCTCTTTGAAATCTTTTCCGAGCTTCAGCTACAGTGGGTATTTCTTAAGCAATTCAAGTCGATTATTCATTTCCTATTCAGTTAGTAAGGTTTGCATTTTAATTTCAAGCAAAACTGTCTAATAGTACGCCTTAAATAGGGATATTTCTTTTTTGGCAGGTATTCTGGTTAGCTTAAGTACTGAGATTTGCTTGCTTAACGAATAAATATGTATACGCCCCATTGTCTAAATATACTTTTTGATCCCTAAATCATAACATTAAAATCTCTGGTGATGTTAGCGATTCCACTGCTTTTAAACTAAATTTCTTTTGCAACAGATGGTGGTTCGAGCTATAGAATTTCAACTGTTGACTCTTTGCTTTGTGCTTTGAGCGCTGCCAGTGTTGACTATTTGTAGGGCCCCAACGCATAGAAAGAGCGCGTTGGGCGAAGGGGGTGGGGGAGCGAAAAGGGGGCAAGATAGGAGGGTGGGCGACTAAAAAGTGTTGATAACTGAGCACACATTTGCATCCACAAACACAACGACGCCAGCACACTCACACCCAGTTTTTATAGGCCTCAGCCATTTAAGAGTTCAATCATTTGAAGCGTCGTTGTTGTCGCTTCGATGTCAATTGTTGTTATTTTTGCTGCTGTTGTTGATTATGTTCTTGTTGTTGTTGCCTTTTCCATGTGCTCTTCACATATGTTGGACAGAACAAAAAAATATATATATAAAAGCAGAGATGGCAAGCAAAGAGAAAAACAACTGTACATTTTGATTGGGTATTTAAGAGTTTAGAGTGTTCTGCTATAAAGACACTTAGCATAAGAAATAAATAAAAATACTTTAAAAACAATATTTTTACGACGGATTTGTTCAAATACCTTACAGCTTTTGTTACATAGAAGAGGTTTCTAAGATCATTTAGAATATGGTAACCAGACTAAAATAAACAAGTTGATATACGAAACTATTGCCTAGTTGTAGGCGCATCGAATTAACTCAATAAATAAGCATTACATTTATGCTGTTCAAGAAGAGCGAAAAAATATTTAAGTTTTTCTTAACACTGTGTATATTATAACTTAATGTTTGAATAAAAAATAAAGTTCAACATTGCATTTGTGTGTGTCTTCCGGCATTACGAATCGGTTAAACTGTGTGGAAGGGTATATTGCACCAGGGTAACCCTTGACAACAGCAACAAAGTGGATGCAACGAACGCAACGGCAAAAGCAACAAGAGCATCGGAACGGGAGCAACAAATAGTCGCAGCGAACAGCTCTCATGCGCCTACTGAGCCACTCCCCCCGCCCCCGCTGGCCAATCTAACTGTTGCTTGCCTGTTGCTGCTACGCGTGCTCTCTCTGTCGCACTCACTTGCTCTCCCCATTGCTTGTAAAAAGCTAACACGTAAAAAATTATTGTAAAATAAAACAAATTAATCAATGTACATCTATACAATGAGAAATAACTTTAAAAACCAACACAAAATTACTTACTTACTTATGGGGGCGGATACGTGGCGTACCATTAATGAACTGTATCTAATAAAAGTTTAATTTTTTTTTAATTGTAAATATATCCTCGAAAAATTATTAGATATTCCGAATTACCTGACAAAAATACTAAACCAGTTTTTATAGAACAAAAAATAATAGTTAATTTTTGCGAAAAACAAAAATATTAAATGTACTTCGAAAAAAATAAAGGTTGCTGATTGTAGCACTCGTTATTCCCCCAGTGCAGCGCGTTCTCTTTGGCTCTCTGCCGGCGTCAGCTGTTGTTGTTGCACTGGGGGCTGCGATACCAGCTGTATCGGCAACGGTGGTTTTCGGCTGTTTCGTTTCGTTTCAGTTGAAGTTTGTCGCTGGCCGCGTTCGGTTGTTCGGCTAGCTAGAAGGCCCCCAAAACGAACGATAACAAACGGCCGAGTTCCCCCTCCCACACGCAGCGGAAGATCGCGGGAAATCAGACAACTCCGAAAAACATCGGATAACCGTTTTTATTTTGTTTACCCTTTTTGGTTCGTTCTTATTATTTCATTAGTTCTGGTAATTTCCAACGGAACGTGTTAACAGCGAAAAGAAATAAACAAGTAGCAAATGCAGGCAGCGCAAAGATAGCGCCAAAAATTAAAAAACAAAAAATAAACTGAAAAAGTGAAAATCATTGTTATTGCATGGAAAATTACTACAGAAATTTCTTGCAAAAGCAACTGCCAAAGAAGCAAAAAAAAGCAACTGAATCCGAAAAAAACAAACTACAAAATCAAAACCAAAACTGAAACAACAACAAGGCAAGAGCATAAATTAGATTGGCCTCATAGACGAATAACAACGAACTCGAGCCGCGTAAACAAATTAAACGATGCTGGCCATTGTTGTTGCTGCTGCTGCGGTTCAAATTTAAATATAAACTATTATTGTTATCTGTGTTTGCTGTTGTCTATTTTTTCGCGCCAAATGCAATCGGTTTTCTTTTTTGGGGGGGAAATTGCGTTCAGCTTACATAATTAATGAGCGGCCGAGAGCGTAAATCAAAAATTCGGCCAAGAATAATTTATGAAATCGAGCAAAAGCCCATGTCTCTTCACACCCGCGCAACTAATTCTTTCGTTAGTTTTTTGTTTCGAAAGCGCTTTTTTGATCAAAACAATATTTCATCCACAGTTGTTCGTGTTTATGTTTGGAACCCCTTTTCCGATTTCTGGAAGAGAACAGACTGCAATTAGTTACTATATGTTGTGTGTTATCAGACAACAAGCGAGAAAAGAGAGTGAATGAAATCGGTCTATCGGCGATTCAAAAGACAAACACAAAAGGAAAAGTTACGGCGTTGCCTGCGCTCTATCTCTTAACCAAATAAACCGAAATTAAAAGTGATTACTATTATCGCTTGCAAATAAATGAAGGGAGTTTTAATCCAGAGAACAAAGGGTAAGTATCAAGGTTCAATCTGTCGAGGTTTCATTGAATTTTTTACGCTGCCTTTAGATTCACGAGAAAATTTTCAAAACTAATCCCCCTTTTAAATCTCTCCTTTTTTAACATCCATTTTTTTACCTGTTTCCTTGCATTCATTGGCAGCTTTCGTAGGCTTTACATTTGGCCAACTTGTACATGCAAATGTCCTTTGAGACTAGGGTTGTCGGTAAGAGGCTTTCGGGCCAAAGGGATATTCCATTAGGGCTTGACCAGAACGAAATATGTTTGCAAAAAACAAGAGACACTTAGAAAAAAAGTCTTTAGGTTGAAATTGATTTTAGATTCGTTTGCCAAATTATGGCTAAACATTTAAATTTAGTGTTTGATTTCGCAGCTTATTTTCAACACAGTTATATAGCCTTTTTGTAGCTCAGTTTCAATCTCAATCTCACTGTTATTTCTCCATGTGTAGAAGCTTCGGGATTGATTCGCAGCTTACTTGTCGATTCTGTTTCAATTTGCTGGCATTAGTCCGGAGTACCTTCTCCTCACGTCGCCGAAAATTTGTCAGATCTCAAATGTGAAGTCTGCGGTTAGTTGGCCAGTCCCTGTGTGCCTCGTTTTTCAGCTGTGGCCAAGGACTTTCCTGTGATGGCGAGTGTTCGCAAATCTGATTGACTGGTTGTCATGTCAGCAACAGGTATCAGGGCAAAAAAACAGAATTTGGCTTAGCCGAAAGGCAAAGAAATGGAATCAAACGGAAAGACTGACAGACGCTCGAGCGTTTTCATTCAATTTTTACAGCATTGGTTTGGTTCTGCCACACACAATTTCGAGTTGAGGAAATTGGCACTTGACCTACCGCACGGGAATCTAAATTAAGCAACATGTTCGGTGAGCGATTCTCCGTCTCTTTTTGTCCCATTCTGGGGCTCCGTACAGCAGTTTTTGGTAAATTGCTGAAGGCATTTATTCACTTTGTTGCTTTCGTTTGTTGACCGTTTCCATTATTCGCTTGTCTCGGCGATTTCATCATACTTCTGTCGTTGCCTTAGCATCTTTCTCTTATCGGTGTTCAAAACTTGAGTAATCATGCGACTAATTAGGCATCTTGTTTTATCGGTCGTTCGTAATTGTTATTTACTTTTTTGGTCAAGGCGTAATCTTTTCGAAAAAAAATACAAATTAAATGTTTGGAATTGCATTTGACAACGTGCTTGTGTTTTTTACCTTCGTAAAGGCTCATTGTTAATGTTACACAATAATATCTGATGAAATAACTGATGACACCGACACGAATGTAATATGTAAAAAGGAAAAAAGCTGAGCCTGTGAATTAAAACCGCTGTTCGGAAGTGAATTCTTTTTAATGCCATCCCGGCGTATACGTAATGCTCGGGGCCTAAAAGAATTGAGGAATGGCTGGCAGTTAATGCCAATTATGATAAACGGTTGCTATGTCGCCGCGCCGTCACACAGATACTCCACACATGGACACACGTATACTCGGCACACACACGGGCACTCACGCACACACTGCACTTGAACAACTGTTGCTCGCAGGTCCGCTGAATGTTGCTGTTGCTGTTGTTTCACTGTTGCCGGGCGCATTGAGATTGCTGCTCACTGGTGTTTGTTGGCCAGTGCGAGTGTGTGATGGGAAATCACTTGAACCGCCGGCGGAGAGGGCAATTGATATGTGCTTTCCCTCAATGTTGCAATCAATTTTAAGCGGCTTTCGAGCGGTAAAAGCAGCTGAAACGTTCTGCAAAATCGTCCTTTTGGCTCGAAATGGAGACCAAAGAGGCTTACAATGACCTTTGTCCACAAAATATATGATTAAGTATTTACATTTTAAAATACTTTTGATAAATTGTTAAAAAAAAAAAGGTAAAAGGCATTACTTAAAATTTGTACTATTGTATCATTAAATTCTATAGGTTTTATTTACAAAATGTTTCCACGACACAAAATATTAACCAGAAATATGAAAGATTTTTCTTTTTAACGCTTGAACTTGTACGGAAAAAAGTGATCCAGTTTTACACTAGCATTATGTATTTGTTTTCTGTGCACTACTTACACTACGAGTGCTGCTTAAATTATAGTCACTTTTATGGGCGCAATGCGGGGTGACTGAACTTTCAACAGCAAGTGCAACAGCAACAGCAACACCAACAAGTGCAACAGCAACAGCAGCAGCAGCAGCAACAACAATACCAACTGCAACGCAGTCTGTCTTAGTTGGCTTGCCGTTTATTTTGTGCAATTTTCTACTTTTCCTTATTACAAGTAGTCACACACAAACTGAGTAATTTCCATGTCGTTTTTCCTACGCTTTCCACTTAGGGGTATATTATTTTGTTCTGCAGCTAACGGTTATGTAACCCAAGCAAAAAACTTTCGCGGTGGCTAATGATTTGTGCCCGCAGTCCTTGATTTTTAAAAGAGTATTGCGAAGTCATATTTTCCGCAATATCCCAACCATTTATTATTTGTTTTGCTCTAATTATTTCTAAGGAATATAAAAAAAGATATAATTTGCTTGTCAAAGTACTCATTTCTGCATAGATTTTATTTAAACGTTTGTTTCTGCCGGTACTAATCACTGAATTGGCTATTTATCAGCCAATTGGGTTTCCCCAAAAGCACAAACAAGCCTCAATTTATAGGTATATCAGCAGACTAAAATAAAAATTGATGGAATCGACAAAAGTCATGTTAATATATAAAAAATCTAATCTTTAAATGTTGTTTATGGTGGCAGATGATTAGAACCTACAATTGGCAAGACTTAGCAACAGGCAACAATTGTGTAATAATCATATAATGATTTTCTGTGCCATTTTTGCCTGTGGGTTGCAGGAGTTTTAAATGCGTGTGTTCCTAATTGCGAAAATTACGTCATGATTAAATAATGACATTTGAATAGAAATGTAATTTTGCGTGGGAAAATATAATAGGCGCAAATTAAATTTGGAATTTATTTTGAACTAATTTTAAATACAATTATGGCTTGAAATGATATTACATTTGGTTTTGAATGCAATTGTTATTTATTTAAGAATTGCATTTGGTGGAACATTAGTGGCACCTCGTGGCATTATAATTAGCATTTGTTTGCGGTGTCAGTTGATTGAGCATTGGACGCATTTCTCGCCGAACGCTCGGCATCTGCTTGCCATTTAAATTGCGTCAGCCGCAGATCTGATCCCTGTTGACGATTAAATTGCCAAAACGACGGACAGATGTTGCACCCGGCGGCAATTGAAATGCCAAAACTATGCGCAGCATGTATCTGCGTATCAGCGTATCTATGTATCTATGTTTGCGCGTATCTCCGCATCTCTGTTTGCATCTATGCAGATATGCATCTGTGAATCAGCTGGCAGCGTGCAATTGTTGGCACGCTGATATTCACGCACAAATGCCCCGAATGCTTTTGATATTTAAAATTAAATTGTAATGTCAGTGCACCGAACTGGCCCACAGAGTCAGCGATATAGCGATATAGCGATATAGTACTTGTAACTGGCAGTCAGAACTGCTGGCAAATTGCATTAAATTTTCCAACGCTTTTTCAATAGGCACATGCGGCGGGTCAACGAACTGGCCGCAAATAGCTCATTAGCGTAATGCCACAGGCCGAAACATTGAGCGAGCCGCACAAATCACACAAATCTCTCAAAACGTTGAGCGGGGGAAAATCGGTGCAAGCCGGGAAGAATCTCGCTTTCTAGCCGCATGATCGCACAGCTGAAAAACAGAAACACAAATCGAGCAAACGTAAAATATATAAATCGCAAGGCAAACAGCTCGTGGCTATCGCTGCGCCCCCCTATATAAGCACTTATATCTGAACAATCAGCGTCAATAAGCGAGCACAAACGATGTTCGTCATCGCTTCGCATCGCATTGCATCGCGTTTGCATTGCCAGTTTGCTACTGCACCGCCACAATGGCAAATAATAAAATTAGCAACAATGACGAACAAAGCAGAAGGCGGTGCACAAGTTTGTAATTGTCATTACGAAATAAGGCTAAACGGTGACAAGTTGGCTGAAAGGAACATAACGGCCAACTGCCATGGCAACTTCCTTACTTGCTTACAAAGGGATTGCCGTAAGTTGGGAAGAAGACGCTTAAAGCTGTCAAAAGTTTTCAGTTTCAAGCTGCATTAAACTATTTTGAAATGCATATTCCGTAGTATATATTTTTTATAATTGCCTACATTCGTTAGTTCCTTATTTGTATAAAATAATAATAAACTAAGGAGTATTATGTTTTCAGTAGCAAATATTTTAGAATGAGCAAAATGCTTTGAAATGTTTATTTTCTGCTTTGGATATATTTCTCTTTATTTTATTTGTTGAATAGAATTTCCACTTAGTTTACCATCCTGGCTGGGTGAAACAAAGTTGGTGGCCCGGAGCAACAAAATAGTTCGGATTTCATTCTTTGCTAATTGCCATAAAATGTATTTACAGATGGCTAAATGTACATTTTGGGCCACCAGAGCATCGTGCATTACGTATACGCCCAGTGTGCTCCGATACAAGCACTTTGCGCTTTTTATTGCTGGCCATTTGGTCCGTCCATTAGACAGCTTGACACCAGGCACACTCGCACCTCACATTTCACATTTCCCATTTCACGTTCCACATCTCCTCCGTCGTGACAAGCAACTCGTTCCCCTCTTGCCTCTTCCCTCTGATATTTGCGGCAACAGCTGCACCTGTCGCTATTTCCGCGTTGGCAACACACTTGCACACTTGCAGCACCAAATAAAAACTGAAGAAAACCAACCAAGAAATAAAACCGAAAACCAAAAACTCAGGCGGGGGGCTTCAAGAAATCTATTTTCGATCGTCAGAGCTCTTGGTGCAAATCGTAGAGCAGATGACCGATCAAATCGGAGCAGGCCTGCACTTTAAGTGGCGGCACCTCCAAGGACTTTTTCCTATCCATTTCGAACTCCACTTCGCGGTCGTCTCCCTCAGCTCCCTTGTCATTGGCAGCCATGCTGATGATGACAAAGCAAAACACCTTGAGGCCACCATGATGGGCGGCAATGACTTCGGGCAGCAGGGAAATGCCCACGGCATCCACTTCAAATGTGCGCAGGAGTCGCTCCTCGGCCACAGTTTCGTAGACAGGACCTCCGAGGACAGCGAATACTCCGCGGTGCAGGGAGTTTTGGATGCCCAACTCGTGTCCAATATCCTCAGCCGCTGCCAATAAATCTCTATCGTAGGCATTTACCATCGAGAATAGACGGCTGCCGAATCGCGGATCATTTGGTCCCTCGAGCGGCGTTTGCTGCATCATTCCCACAATGTTGATGTGGTCCTCCACGAGCATTATGTCGCCCAGTTCGTACTGCTGGTTAACGGCAGCCGCCTCGGAGGTCAGCATGATGGTCTTGACCCCGCACAACTGCATCACGCGAACGGGCAGCGAACAGGTGGCCAGATTGAAGCCATCGAAGGTCTGAAAGCGATCGGCCAGCGCGATTATGGGTGCACCCATCACGTGGCCCACGCGAAAGCAGCTCTCCGGATTTATCCCGGCCGGAAAATTGGGAATATCCTCGAAGGGAATGATCACCGGGTCCTCCACCAGCGAAATCATGGAGCCAATGAGTTTGCCGCATATCAAACCGTACTTGGGTCGAATGTGACTGGTGTCTATGATGTACTTGGCCATGGCCTCCACTTCCTCGAAGGGGTAGAAGAGGCTCTGGGGAGTGGGGATCACAAACTTGGGCTTCTTACGCTCCTCTTCCTCCAGCTGCAGAATTTTACGGGCCGCCATTCGCTTGGCAATCGGCGACCTCGACTTGCAGCACTCATAGTTGCACATGTTGAAGAGGTTGGGGTCACCAAAAAGATGGAAAGCCCGTAGACTACTGAAATTTAACAGCAAACACCAAAGAAATAAAAATCTAATATGACTTTTAAAGCTCAGGATGGAGAGCTGTGATTGTTTATTGTTGAAATAAAATAAACAAAAATATTTTAAATATATAATTAAATCAAAAGGGTTCACTATATTTTATTAAGTTAAATTAATTGGGTGGAAAACATACAAATATTTTGTGATTCATAAGCAACTACCATAGCAACAGAAACAATTAGTTTTAATAACAAATGAAATACTGAAAAGAACAACTCGCTTTCATCAATTCGAAACGTAATCAGAATGCAATTCAATCAGGTGACTCTGGTGTCTGGTTATGAACATACTTTGTGCACAATGCTTATTAAATCATACCTTAATTAAGGCTGCACACAATCGGAGGTGCGACTCGGATGACGCTAAAAGCAAAAAGCCATAGTCCGGGTGAAAAACAAAGGCACAAAGGCGCGCCATGACGTCTGGAAAAAGCGTGGTTGATGCATTCTGGACTCCAGCTGTGTATGTATTGTTGAACGACATGTAGCTGGTGCCGAAAGTTCGTTAGTTATGATTTAAATAAACGTGAGTGGTCTGCAAATGACATATTCCCTAAATGAAGAAACTCCAGAGGTAGCACTTGCATGTCGGAAATTCTTTTACTAAACTATGTTCTCATTTATTAACAGCATAAACAATTCCCCTGCAATTTAACAATGCTTTGCGAATTAATTAAAAAAAACTGCCACAAATAAGCGAACGTATTCTGCAGGGCAGAATTTAATTATCGCTGCAAAAGCAAAGCAAAGAATGTTTTTCGGTCAGCCACGCCCATGCTGCGCCCGCAAAAGGCGGGCAAGATGCTGTTTACCATGTTTACCATGCGTATACGTGATAATAACGCTCATACGCATGGCGGCACATCGTCAACGCCCCGGCCCGTTTGTTGTGTTGTGTGCTGTGTGTTGTGTATTGTGGACGCCGTTCAATGTCTCAGCACGCCAGAGTTCGTTTACAGCATCCATAGTATAATTCACGCTGCGAGAAGTGGTGTGAGTGGATAAATTAAATACGTCCATACAGAGCCGACGATAAACAAGACACTCAAGACTAGGCTGAGATGAACCGGAGGGACACGGAGAGAAAACTACTTGAATATCAGATCCATATACCTTTTACTATTTTAAATAATTTATTAATAGTAAATATCTGTTTCCAGTCAGATACCAACTAAGAAAATATTTTACATTTCTTAAAATATTCTACCATGATTTTAGTTTGTATAGTTTGGTTTTCGTTTTTCTAAAATTTGGTTACAATACACCATTTTCTCCTTGTGCATTCTACAGTCTGGAGTGCGCTGGAATAGACTGGACTAGACCCAGGTTTAATTCAATATTTTCGCTAATTAGTTAGGCAAACCAGTGAAAACTTGCCACTTTGTCTCGACCAAATCTGTCAACGAATCCCATGCCCAGCTGCTGTTTAAAGCCGCTTCCATTCCGAGTTTGGCAGATCGGAAACCGCTGAAGCGTTTAGTATGCTCATGACGTTGTCGATAATAAAAAATTATTAATAGGAAACTTTGTAACGTTGTTTATGTTATTCGAGTGCGCGCCAACTAGCTTCGGTTACAAAGGCAGCCTTTGTTGTTAATTTGAAATTTTTGTTTTCTCGATTTATTTGTTATTCCAGTGCACAGGCCGCCTACAATGTCAGAGTCACGTTCGTGTAATTCGCTTTGATGACGATGTCTCGATTGCCTCGATGGGGCCCAAAAACCGCAGAAGATTATCCAGGCTTGTAACTCTATCATCTGTTTTCCCCAATCCAATCCCAGAGCCCCAAGCCCTGTTTGTTTATTTCGCTGAATACCTTGTTTCGGCTTGTCGTCGCACTGCTCATTGTTATTGCCATTTTACTTTTTTCATTTTTTTTTTCCTTTTTTGTTTGGCTTGAAGCTGCTGTTGCTGCGGCTATTTGTTTGTCACTTTGCGTCTGCCTGCCAAAAATGCGCTGTTTGCAGTTGATATTAATTTCGGTTTCACATTTACCTCGTCGCTCTTCCATTATTGTTATTATTTCGATTTTTTTTTTGTTTTTTTTTTATCTGATTTTTTGTTCGGACTCTCACCTTGCCCCAGGAAGAGGAGCAGCAAACCCGTTTCGGCCATTCCCAGTTTCATTTCCCTCGTCGCCTCGACCCTCCGCTGTTTGTTTACCAATTTTTTGCTGCGTTTTGCTTTGTGCTCGATGTTTGCTTTTTATTTTTGGCATTGCGCGATTTTACGCTGTCTGTGTAGGCCTGGTAAACACAGAGGAAACCCACCAACAACACAAAAAAAAAAAAACAAAAAACAATACTCAAATAAAACCAAAAAAAGGAAAAAAGAAAAGAAAGCAACCAAAAACTGAATATTTTGACTGGCATTTGAATGCTAATTGAAGTCGGCGATGAAGAAGATTTGAGTGGTAGAAACGAGTTGTTGCTGTGGGAAGTTATAGGATAGAGCTGTGATATGGTAATTAATAAAGATCACTGGCTAACGACCTTTTGTCTCTTTCTCTCTTCTTCTCTTCCGCAGTTACCGAAATCGAAATCAAGTGAGATTTTCAGGCGGGAAAATTGCCAAGTGCAAAAGTGTTTAAGGGTCAGCAAGTTCAAACCGACAAATGAAAACCAAAAACAAGATCAACATCAACAGCACCAACTGCCAATGCTTTAGTCACTCCAGTCAAGGAATCGCCATTATTGACGAGAAGAACGTCCTGAGGATATATAGCTATACGTACAAGTGCTTGAATCACAATCCGCGACCTCGGATACTTGGCTGAATTTGATTTGGCGAAAAAACGAGAAGGAAATTAAACGAAAGAAAGCCCACCGAAGACATCTGCTTTTCGCCCAAAAACCCACTTTAATTGTTGCCCTGACAAAGTCAGTAAAATCGCATCAAAAATCTCAGGGAGACCCTGAACAGCCGCCGCGCCAATAAGCCGAGAAAAAGAAAATCTGGTTTGGCTCTCGAGCGATCCGCGGACGAGCCTCCTCCTTTGGTGCATTTCCAGTTTGCTGGCGCTGCGTTTCGATTTGTTTTGTTGCTGCTCCACTTTCGTGGCTCCATAAACAAAGAGCCCGGCCGAAACTGGTTATTTCGTTACTTCGATCGGAGCTGCAGCCACTGACTGCCGACTGACCTCCGATTCCGATACCGAATCCGATTCCGAATCCAAATCCACAACAACCAAATCCAACCCATACTCTCCGCCAGACTCATGTACTACGCTGTTGATTACTACGCGGATATGGGACAAATCTCTCAAGATGTAAGTAATACTATTCAAACATACCCTTTAATATCCTTAAAATAAAACAATAAACAAAAATATCGTAATTAAAAAAAATATTATGAGACTGCATGGTCTTAATGAGAAGATATTTATCACCAAACTCAGAACTTAAACCATTTAAAATTTAAATTTTATATATTATAACAAATTGGTTGGATAGAACACTTCCGAAAAATTCTTTCAAGCTTTTTGAAAGTATTTCATTAGCTACCAAAACTGTTTTGTTCTCAATTTAAAAGTAATTTTTTATAAATTACCTACAAAATGGGTGAACAAACTTTGTTCTTGTACTTTAGAAAGATATTTTTTTGCTCAGAACTTTTATTTTCTGCTGATTAGGCAGATCGCATGACACAGCCGCATTGCGTTGTTTTTCTATAGCCCATAACATGCATTAAGCACTCGGTTTTATAAGCTTGTTTACGCATTTGACATCGAGTACAAAAACAAATCTGGCCACAGAATATTTCTGCAGAGTAAGCAACAATCAAAAGGAGCAAAAACACTCCAGCTGAGTTTCGAAACTAGTAATTAATTAAACCTTCTGCACCTACAAAATGATTGACAGCATATTATGTTTCAAGAGCAGAAATCTCCCTTTTACTGTCTGCTGATTAAATGTAATTATTTTGATAGTTTGGGTTTTATTCGTTTTAATCCTCCTTTTGGTTTGTTACTCTGATTTGTTTCACTTTGAGGAAATTTAACAACGCTGAGATGCATGTGAAATGCAAACAATTGTTGGCCCGGCAACCAAAACAGTTTTTAATAATGTTCGTTCGTTGAAATGTGATGCATGCACGTATGCATGTGCAAATATTTATTAAAGCCTCATAATTAACTTTGCCTGAACAGGAAAACTTACAACCGCACTGTTATTATGAAAGGATTCTGTGTGAGAAAATTTCCCGGCAACAAAGTACATATTTACCATGCGATTGCTATTTGAAAAATGGATGAAGTGTTTACCATTCTATCAAAAAAAAAAAAAAAAAAACAAGGCAGGGATGAACAAATGAAGCGAAGAAAAAACTATCCACAGCATAGCTGAGTTTTTTCAAAATAAAATTTGTTTCAGCATGGAAACCCAACTTAATTAGTAATTTTTTTAATGCGCAGTGAATGCGGCGAGCTTGTGTAGAATTTTTGTGAAAATAAGTCGATAAGCCTTTGATAAGCAGCCAGCCAGGCAACATGGAATGTTTTTCGTACTCTAATTCTCCTTCTGATATTTTTCTTATGGCTAGATGTAGGCCCAGCCATGGCAATAAAATAGATAACACTAAAGCTGGCGACTCTGGTATTTTTTATTTTCATTGCGAATATATGATTGCCAAACTGGGTCAGCTAATCAGCGAAATTGATGCAAATGTCGAGTAATTGCGACTTGAAATTAATTCAATTAGAGTAAAGTGAAAAATAAGAATTAGAAGTGAGGGAATAATTGATTAGGCGCAAAAACAATGGGTTACAGCTGTTGTTTTTTTCGTATATATATAATCAGCAACTATTTTAAGCTGAATGCCAGATGTTAGAATGAACACCCAGCGCTATATTATAAATTCAATATATTCAGCAGTGGTCCACAAAAATTAAAATATTATAAAGTAAGAATATCTCTTGCTGCAACTGCATTTTAATCTGATACTGCAGTTGCAGTTGAATCAAAGTAAAAATGTTCAATTATCATTTCCCGATGCTCAATGACAAAGAACATAAACAGCCCGTGGCCATCAGCCATCTGCGGCAGGCGAAGAATTTTATTTACGCAATGAAAATATAAATTGTATAAAAATACACAACTCGCGGATCGAGAGGAGATGAAAGGGAAGGGAAGTGGGTGGGCAAAGTGGGTGGGTGGGTGTTTTTTGGGGCGGTGGGGTTAGTGTGCTTGTGCCAGTCACTCAGTCAGTCACCGTGGCATGAGAGCAATATCAAAATAAACAGATGTGCGCCATTCCCGCTCTGGCAGGAGTCCAAAAAGGCTTTCGCCTATGGCTGAGTGGCAAAAGTGACTGATTGAGTGACTGACGGAATGACGCGGTTTGATTTTCGGATCACAGGCACGAATGCGAGACAAATGCAGATATGCAGTTTTAAGACATGATTTGTCTAACGGAAGCCACAGAAATATCTCAAGTAATTAATGTTAATAAAACTGGTACATTTACGAAAACTTGTTTGTTCTAAATAATATTTTGTTGCGGTCCAAAGTACAAAACGATAAACAAGTTTATATATTATGTTTAAGAGATAAATTTTATAGTTTGCGCAGCAAATATTTTGTTGATAAATCTTTTGCACAAGTTTATAATTGTCAGGCAAAAAATGCTCGCTAAATTAAAACATTTAAATATAGAGCGTTGTGAATTTTTAGAACAGGGATTGCGGGTTCGTTAACCTATTTCTCCTATATATTAACTGAACCATTTGTTCTTTTCTTCTCGTATTCCTCACAACTTTCTGCGATTTGCATTGGTCGAAGGGGTTTCGTTTCTTATCACAGGCCGTTATCTGCCGAAGACAGTGTATATACTATAGGGAGTGATATATACTATATGTATGTACACAAAGGCACAATTTGTAGACACTTAATGCGTACGAACACACGCGTTCATGTGGATATATATTACAGACGGTGGTGTAGACCTAATAATTTGCCACACTTTGTCATGATTGTTTGCCATTTGCCAGTTGCCGAGAGCTGTTCGGTTCGCTGTTGTTGTGTTGTTGCACTTTATCAGCAGACAAAGTGTCGCTTCGAGTGCCAGACAGCTTTTATTTAGGTATCCGAGGTTGGAAAAACACGCACCGCCCACCCACACACAAGCCAAGAAAAACACACACACACACACACACACGCGCGCACTTACTCGATGATTTAAATACATATTACGGTTGGTTGGAAAAACAACAGATTTCGTTAAAGATCCAAGGGTCATTGGTCATCGTATTTTATTTGGCTAAGTGGCTCCATTAATTTAAGGTAATAATCCGTTTAAGATATTCCGTATTATTTAAGATCAGTGGAAATATTAAATCAATGAAATCCATTTGTAAATGTGTCCCATTTTAATTGAAATAAACAAAGCCTTACTCGACATTATATACTCGTAAATCGCCAGATGCTTTTGCTGATAGTTTTCCTTCCATTTGTCGGATTAATTAAATATGCCACACTGTAAGTGCAAGTTGCAAAAACAATATTACACCACAGGCACGTTCAACTGGCTTTATATGTGTATAATACTATATATATATATAGTATATGCATACGACACGGACTCGTGTGTGTTATGAACTATAGAAAAAATAGTTTATCACGTCTAGACAAGTCTCTTTATCTACGCACACAGCCGAGCACTTGGTTTTTACTCTTATTTTAATTTTTTTGTTGGGTAATTGTGTGAGTGAGTAGCCCTCGAGTCATTAAACACATGAATAAGGTGCTCAGGTGTACGGCGGTGATAAGCCCGGGCTAAATAAGCCGATCTGGTAGCCAAGCGGTTGAGCATTTGACCCATTTTGCGGAAAGGAAGGTAAGACATCCTATCTAGATTGCGATTAGCCGTAATTAATCATAACTATCTCGGTAAGAAACGGGTTCATTAAGCTCAATCCACTTTATTTTGTAGCTCCTGGCTGTGTAAAATCATTTTCATACTTACCATGCAAACTCATGAGAACTTTCTTAATAAAGTTATTAACGTGTTATGCTAATGGCTCGTGGAAAAACTCTTTAACTTGAACCTATTTATTTTAATTTGCATGTTAAGTTTGAAAGGTCTTTCTTGATTAAAACTAAAATTTGTTGGAGTATACTATATACAAAGAATTTAATTTGGAAAAGCTTTCATGGCATTTTGCATTCCTCAGACTTTTATCACACGTATTTTCTGGCTTTATTGTTTTATTTCACGTTTCGCATTTTCATAGATTTTGTTGGCTGTCGTTGTTTTTAGTTTGCATTTCTATAACACCTGACGTTTTTTCCACTTTACTTGTTTACTTGCTTATTGTTGACTGCTCACCCTCTATCTCTCTCCACCTCCCTTTCTTTTCACTATTGCCATCTCGCTCGCACTGGCATTCTACCATTTGTGCTAATTTATTTGCCTGTTTACCAGCTTTTGTTTTAATCTGTTTGGGGGCCGTGTTGACACTCACCGCGATTGTGAGCCAGAAAAGACAATGTGTTTCCAGAGTCATTTTGGGGCGGAGTTGAAATTACAGTTAATTTATTGTTATTCCCGCGGCTAATTATGCTAATTTATTAATTTGGCTTAGTTTGCGCTGGCGAAAAAATAACAGAGGAACAGAGGAAATCAAAATTAGCTTACAGCAATTAATTGCTGGCAATTAACATACGCCGAAGAGCGTAAAAAGTTGCGTCGTTCGTGCATCCGGCAGATACAAATTGCCAGTCGCACCGTACGGTGAGCACTTCGCACACCGCCTCCTTCTCACACCGCATTGCAGGCATTAGCATTCAGCATTCGGCATTCAGCGGTTCTACATTATCTTTGATTTTAATCGCCACGCTCCATGATCTCGCACGTTAACAGTTGGCGCGGAAAGTCTTCGCTCGGCAGCAGATTGATTGCGGACAGTGGCCCACGATTTGTTTTTCAATGGCCTAAAAAGCAACCCCTTTATCACTCATCGAGAATTTATTCTGTTCAGAAATGTTCTTGCTTGTAACTTATCATTAATATTCCACGATTTCCGTTTCCGGCGCTCATTTTAAGGTTTGTTTATAATTAATGTGTTTTTGAAATGCCAAGTGGTTTGGCCCATAAATAAATTACAATTCCGATTAAAATAGGTGCTAACAAATAATGGCTTCCTTCCATTAAATTAGAATTACCATATTAATAAATACAATTTACAAATCAAATCATTTTTCTTGCATAAGAAATAACAGGAATAAATAGTTTGTGTTAATAAAATTTGTTAGATGCATTAGTCTAATTTTTTCCTGGTTTAATTTTACATTCGGAATTCACAATTGAACAGATGTTTGTAATTACTGAATTACAAGAAATCCCAATTTCAAGAGCAAGACTTAAGGTCAAAGTGCCTTGATTAATACGCTTATGAGCTTACAGAGTGGGTGGTTTTTGGAGGAGCACCCACATGCAAGGGAAGCACGATTCAATTATCACGTATACGCCGTGGCAGACGAACAGGTTTCGCAAGCGCAGGAAAAGGGGAAGTGGGAATGGAAGGGGGATGGAAGGGGGGTGTTAAGGCCAGAAAGGGGGGTGCATGGAAAGCCAGAAAACAGTGAAAAGCTTCGTGCCAATGTTACTAGCCACAGTACACACACACACATGCTTACACTCGCATACAGACAGAGAAAAACAGAGGCACACACACTCGTATACGTGTATTTACGACGGCTCAGAAATGGATATGCACTATAAGTGTACATGCCCATTAAACTTGGCCTAAGCACCGTTCAAAGCTGCTGGCTGTTTGGCTGGCGGACTGGATTGGGTCGTGTGCTGTATGTCACAGAAACTAGTTTTTATTTTCCAAACGGGTTTCCCCCCCGTCCCCCTCCCCCTCCACATCTCTTTTCTGAAGCGTGGGTGTGAGTGTGCCAATTTGTATATTTATGGATTCCCAAAGAGAACCCATAATGATGGAAATGTCAACAAATGCCGCCATTTGCATATCTCTGCGACTCACCCATTTTTAATTAGCAACTGTAACTGCCCAGATACGACTGACTATATATTTTTTTTGGAATCTATCAGCAAGATGAAGTGGACGAAAAAAAGTTTTAGTTTCTCGATCTGCATACACATAAATCACATTGATTCATGGCGCTACTCTTGTTTATGCGCTGTTCGACATTTGTTATGTCCCAACTGGCAGCTACCATAAGACACATAACACATCTCCGACATTAGAATTAATTAATTACGTGAAAGCGATGGCATTTAGCAGTAGTATGGGGAACGTCATGATATACGTTGACCGGAGTAAATCGTTCGGTTCGGTTCGGTTATCTGATTATATATGAAATTAGCACGCAGATTTTGGAGGCGTGGGTGCTGCCACCCACTTGGAAATCAAGAGCTCATCGCTGCCCCGATTTGGTGTTTTGTATGTTTTGTGTGTTTGTTGGTGGGTGGGATCTGAGGTTAAAGCTAAACCTGATATTCACGATTAGCATTGAATAGCTGACAAGCAATTATGCATATATTAAGTTACCTATTCGGTCGGCAGTTCGAAGCTGTTTTTTCGCAGTCTTATCGAGTACATCAAGTATACGACATGCAAGCCTACCTCGTTTCTATTATCAGCAAAACAAGAACGCACAATAACAGCCCAAATCTGAGCCAATAAATGAATAAACAATGGCTGTTGTTAATACTTTTCTCCTGCATAAGGTGCGATAAGCCAAAGTCTTGAAAACTTCAATTAGTGAATGGACCAGTCTTTAGAAGTTTTTGGGGCTCGTAAAAGCTGTTCAAAAATTCAACAAGCTAAAGTCGTGTTTACCTGCAGTGGGTAAATTTCCTGATTGCAACGCAAAGGGCTGGGGAAAAGGCATTTGCTACCATGGTTACCAGCTATTGATGGCCAACTTTGCATTCGAGATATCTAAGGGAGCTTGAAATATCACACAAATTTCCCTCTCACCCTCTCGCATTTGTTGAAGTTTATTAAATTCCTCATTTCATTATGCGTACTATTGCCTGTATGCAAATCTCTGTGTTAGATTTCCATTTCAGGCGCAATTAGGCACGCCTGTTGCTGAACCCATGTTCATGTCATCCGGGTGAATACGTGCTGGCCGACAAAATCAGTGCCTCAAATTCGCAACTTTCGCAGAAAGAGACGTCTGCAAGCGACACAAAAGCCAAGTCATGCACACCATTCTCTGATTCTCGTTCTCATAATTTCTGCCTCTGTTTCTGTTTCTGTTTCGAGCAGGGAATAAGTTTGCAAAGTTTTACGCATGGAATTTAATTTACACATGCCTCGCTTCGGCAAATGAGTGGAGGGTAATTTGCGTGATATTCCCAGCTTCCATGGATTTATGGCATTCAGGGCTGGCCATCAATACCTGGTAGCCATGGAAGCAGACCCCTCCTCTTAAAACATTTCCATTGCAGCCAAGAGAGTCTGCAACTGCAGGTAAACAAGACTCAACCTTTGTCTTTTTTTAGACAGGTTCATTTGCTCATGGCAATTATCTAGATTCTAGACTTTATGCAGAAGGGAATAACCTGGAATGACTGGCAATATTAGCAGCAACTATTGTTTATTCGTTTATTGGTTCAGATTTGGGCTATTTTCGTGCGTGATAACAAATACGAGGTAGGCTTGCATGTCGTATACTTGATGTACTCGATAAGGCAAAAAATGAGAGCTACAAAATGGCAGAGACCACAGTTCGTATACGCAATGCGTTTGCAGGAAATTTAATTTGAATCCCACTGAATTTTGTATACGGTTTTAAATTACAATGAATTCAATGCACTTACTGGGCTGAAAACAAACAATAATTATGTTTCGATTTTATTTTCTGTTATTTTATCAAGTTTTGATTTTAATATTTGATTTAATTTAATTTTCCAGTGTTTCGCTGCAACAAAATTCGGAACATCTGACTTCGACATGGATGAACTCGATGACTTGGATCAAGTCACCCAGGTGATTGGCTACCATCCCCAGTTCCACGATCACTTTCTGCGCACCCAGAACTTTATAATGAAGGGAGATGGCCCGTTGCCGAACGACTACCGATACTATTTGGCCATAATTGTGAGTAATAAAATCAGTTTGGGAAATTCTAGAGTCAAAACGACATGAATAGAATCGAAAATTCAGCTGCAGTAGATTTGTTTTCCGTTGTTTTTATTTCATTTATTCATTTTGTTGCTAAGCTGGCATCAAACAATAGTCATTGATTGGCAAAATAGAAAGCATTGCCCGCTGTGAATGGGAACCCGCCGCTTTGAATAGAAAATCCAGCGGAGCCGAGTCGCATAATGCATTGTTCTAGCTGAACTTTTGTTAGAAAAATTATTCACATCACGTTGCGTGAGTCCTGTGTGCTGAATGATAGGCTTGTTGCCTTGCATTTTGGCTAAAATCAAATCCCTGCCAACATGAATGCACCATCGAATGAGGGAGATCTGAACATTCAGGCGGACACTCCAACTGAGCTTCGATGTCAGTTTAAAATCCTGTTAACTGAAATTATTTTGGTTCTGCGAAATGGTGCTGCCAAATCTAATTTACCACTGCTTCATTTGATATAAAATAATATATTGCACTCCCTCTCCTCTTGGCATGTCAACATCAAGAACTGAAATTAAATCCAGAGTTTAGGGCTTTCAACTGCAGTGGAATATGCAATACTATATCCTTCACAATCAGCAAACAGGTGGAAAGCTGCCTCCCACTTTGGGTCGCATTTAAGACGAGTTAAGCTTACTCAATGCGACAGCTCAATATCAACGACTATTCGATGTTGAGTTAAATCTTTATTTCAGCAGAGCATTCCCGCGAGGACTTTAAATGCTTAACTTTCCAATAAAAATACCTAAATTATGTTCAGAAGTAAAACAGAAACATTACATAAATATTCCAAATGTTTTAAATTATTTTTTCTTTGGTTCCAAAATGGCTTTCTGTATTCCCATCTCCCAATGATTGAGTCATTCAGAATCATAATAAAGATCCAAAATGATAATTTTGGGTAATAAAAGTGAAGAATTAATGTGTAATTAAAACTTATTTATGATTTCTGCTCAGCTAATGTCCACTCAACACTAGATTTTCCCAGCTGCAAATACGTAATCCAAATGCCGAAATACAGAAAACGCATTAATCAATTATTTCTCAAGTTTTCCAATTGTTGTTCTGCGTTATTCGGCCCAGATGGGTTGGCTACTTGGCCCCCTGAATATAATTTATGGCCTTAGTTGTGCGTGTGCAATAATCATAAACCCAATAAAAACTATACGCACATATATATGTATAAATTTGCTGTTTATAGTTGACATGTTGGTCGAGGGTCTTTGGCATTCCGCATTTGATGCGGTAAATAATAAACACATTACATTAACTCATGCCAGCAAATTGGGCGCGACTTGCGCTTTCCACGCCAGATTGAGATGCTTTTTCAGGTATATATGTCTATATAATATACATATATTTATTTGTTGGTCGGGAAAGTGCACCCGCGAGTCGTCTGTAGATTCTGGCAATGCCTTTGTCTAGATTCGGGCCTCGGCGAATGTAAAATTATTTAAGATTTACGATGGCATGTCAGGGCATGCCATGATGCCATGATTCTGCCTGCCTGCCCAAGTCTCATTAATGACAAACAACAAAATATAATACAAAAACAAAACCAAATAAAAAAAGCAAAAAAAAAAGAGCATAGGCAAAGCGCAAGACAAACAATGGGCCTTTTTGCTCTAAAGTGCCCGAGAATTTGTTGTTTTGGGTCACAAACATAGGCACACACACGCACCGCACACACCACACACCGCACCGCACCGCACCGCACCATCGAAATAAGTTTCCACATATTTTTAGCACACATTCAGGTGGTGGCACAGTTGAAGTCAATCTCTCCCAGGTTCCGCGCCCTGGGAGATTCTCGATTGTGGGTCACGCGGATTCACACCACACACCTCACACCACACACACCACAGATTGCGGGGGATGGGAGATGGGAGCTGGGGGCCAAGGTTAGGCGACTAGATCAAAACAAATTACGTAATGCGTGGAAGAATGTTACCTGAGGCCGATCGTCTTTCCTCACACCACAAAAAATAGTTCAGCTGAATGGAAATTTGTTTTAGATCTTAATCATAATGATCTTGTAAGTTCATTCATAGCTAAATTTTTAAACTATTCTAGTTAACTAGAAAATACATTCAGGCAAGAAGTTCTTATTGCTTATCAGCTTTATGAGCTCACAATTATCTCATTATTAGAATTTAGAGATATACCAGAAACAAGTCATATCATATTGAATTACTAATCTTAAATTAGATAAGTTAAAAACATAGTTTACAATTTGTATTTTAGTTTTCATTGGTAAGAAATTCATTGTGTCTAGCTATCAACTTAAATGTTGAAGTATTAAAGTGAAACCTAGAAATTCTTAGGGATGATTTAATAAGAACCCATAATGATTTTATCTCAGTGCACTCATCTCTCGCTCTGTTGTTCAATACCCGCAGGCAGCCGCTCGACACCAGTGTCCGTATCTGGTGAAGCGGTACGAGAAGGAGTTCATCAACCAGGGAGGAGATAGCGCCTGGCTGGGCGGCCTGGACTTTATACCCGCCAAACTTCGTGCCATATACGATATCAATAAAATATTAGCCCATCGCCCGTGGCTGCTGCGCAAGGAGCACATCGAGGTGGGTGTACTTCCCTTCCCATTTGGGGAGAGAGTTCGTATTTCGTATTTCGTATTTCTGGGAAAACTGAAAGCTGAATGTTTAATGATGATTTTCCAGCGACTGACCAAGGGGAAGAATAGCTGGTCGCTGTCGGAGGTGGTCCATGCCATGGTCCTGCTCTCGCATTTCCACTCGCTGTCCTCCTTTGTGTTCTCCTGCGGACTCACACAAAAGCTGGACGGGCTGTCTAGTCCCAAATTGAAGAGTCCGCCGGCGCTGGTGGCCGACCATCACCACCACCACCATCCGACCACCACCAACACCCCGCTGGACCCGCAGAAAACCGTGCTGGCGGAGATCTCGCTCAACAATGCAAAGCCGGATTACAATAGCCAAACCGCAGCGAGCAACAATGGAGGAGCGGCTCCAGGCTCCGCAAATGCGAATGCGAATGCGAGCGGAGATGGACCCGATGCCACGGCTCTCAACGGATATTTGGGTAAGTGACTGGCTGCCGGTTGTTAAACTACACTGAGCCAAAGAGTACTCAGAGTAAGAGGTGCTTTAAAAAAGATTAAATGCACATTTTTAAACAAATAAAGCGATGGTAAAGAACTTTCCAAAAATACAATACCAAGTAATAGATTGTTTTACAATCAATTTGTTACAAGATTCTTTATCTATTAGGTTGTAAAATTTCTGTAAACGAATTTGGTGACCTTTAGATTGCTTTTTAATTTAAAACCTTCAAATAAGAGTTTTCCAGCTATAAACACACATTTTTTTGCAAGTGCTCTTTAATAAGGCTCCCTAGTTGTTTTTCCAATTTCGGAATACTACTTTCTCCTTGTTAGCCCTTGTCTAATTTGATTGATTCGCAGCAACGGCCCAGCAGCAGCCGCAGCAGCACGGCATCAGCGTGGAGGCGCTGATGGAGCGCATGAAGGTCCTGTCCCAGAAACAGGACGAGTGCAGCGAGGCCGAGCTGAGCAGCCGCTTCCAGAAGGTGGAGCAGCAGACCGCCGAGCTGGCTGCAGTGACTCCGGAGGCAGCTGTTGCCGTGCCAACCAACCTATCGCACTACGTGGACGATGCCAATTTCATTTACCAGGACTTTGCACGCCGCGGCACCGAAAACATCAACACTTTTCGCATTCAGGACTACTCCTGGGAGGATCACGGCTACTCGCTGGTGGATAGGTAAGTACATGCTTATTGCCGGAGGGGATTTCCATAAGAAAGAATGGAATTTAATTGAATGTACTTATTTTTCATCAGGCTGTACAACGATGTGGGCACTTTCCTGGATGCCAAGTTTCGAGCAGCCTACAATCTCACCTACTGCACTATGGGCGGTATAAAGAATGTGGACACATCCAAGTTTCGCAGGGCCATTTGGAACTATATCCAGTGCATCTATGGCATACGACACGATGACTACGATTATGGTGAAGTGAATCAGGTGAGATTTAAACTAGTGAAATGAGAGAAAGTTGATGCAAAGATTTCTTAAAGTTATATTGTTGAGATCATATTTTCTAAAGACAACCAATCATATTAATAATTCTACCCACTTCATTCTCAAGAAAAACAAATTATATTTTATATCTAACAACTTTAAAATGTTGTGTGGTTTTTAATCAAAGGATCTTTCCTTTCAGCTCCTCGTGCGTCCCTTGAAAATGTTTATTAAGACAGCCTGCTGCTTTCCCGAGCGTATTACAACCAAGGATTATGATAGTGTGCTGGTCGAGCTGCAGGACAGTGAAAAGGTAAGTGGAATTTTCCGAACCGCATACAACGCTCTCCTGTACATATCCATTAATCACTATTGTTTGATATCTGGCCAACAGGTTCATGTGAATCTAATGATAATGGAAGCCCGTAATCAGGCCGAGTTACTCTATGCTCTGCGCGAGATAATGCGCTATATGACTTGATCTCATTAAGTGAATAAACACACGTATATATTACATACCCACATACACGAAACCCAACAAAAACAAAAAAAGAAGAAAACTCACCTACACCCACACACTCTACACATACATGCATAAAACATTTTGTTATTTTGAGAGCGCATTAAAAATTCAGCGAAAGGAACGGAAACGGAAACTAAATCTAAAGGATATAAAAGTGCAGGAAGAACACGAAAAAAAAACTCCGAGATATATACAATTTTAGCAATGAAAGAAATAAATGTTCGCTTTTCGATGTTAATGCATGTGTTAAGCCGACATAAACAACAATAATAGCCATTCAATATCAGTGTCCATTAAATTAATGTGCAGCGTTTACTACTCAATTAACAATAGTCTGTGTCTATGATTAGCCAACACGCAAATTAATCACACAGAGAAAATATTATGGAAAATGTTTGTTAAATTAAGCGGAACTCAAAAACAAAACTTTCTGTCTGTTTCCTTTTCGTGAATGCGCAAGCAATAATCACTGTACATATGTATTATGTTTTGTTTAATTATTTTAGCGAAATAAAGAAAATTTTTATTTTAATTCTCAACTTTTGTTTTCTTTTGTCCTTTGCGCTACTCTCAGTTCAACTCAAAATTTACCTTAATTATTTTTGTCCTCTTAAATTTAAGTTGGTTTTAAAATGACAGAAAATGGTGATTTGAATCGTCGAGCTTTTGATGGAGAGATAATAAATATAAATGTCTATTTTGATAGTATTTAAACTAAACTAATCACTGACTGTAATGTGTGTATCGCATCTAAAAATATTTTTACGGCATTTAATGTCCTAGATAAGGAATTAAGAATACATCTTCGGGGTACGGTATTATCACCTAGCATATTAATATACACGAAACTGAGCTAAGAATTTAATCACAAACACACGAATTTAAAGATATATTTACTTTAGGATAGGGTAATTTTAATACCTTGTGGCAGCTAAGCTTTACCTATTCTATAACACTACGCTTCTTTGGTCTTGCTTTGCTGATCCTTCATTTTCAAGTCGCAGAATTTGTTGAGCAGAGGTACATGCATAATTAAGACAAACAATTCGATTGTTTCATGAAGTACCTTTTTGCATTTATGTAGATATTTTTGACATATTTGTCGAGATGCAGGTTTCGCACGAAATCCAAACGAATATTTAAGTGAAAATGTATACAGAAAATTAGTTAATAAGTTATTAAGTAACATGTTCAGCTTATTGTAAGTCAAAACTTTTAGACCGTAAAGAAATTGGTTAAAACCATACAAGCTTACTGCAATTTTTGACTTTTTATAATGTTAAGTACTTGCATGCAATAAGAACTAAATAAATTAGTTGACACACGGTTGTAAAATTTTAAATTAGTTCATTAAGTGTAAAAAAAAGTGAAGAAGAAAGGCCAAGCAACCGGTTTCTCTAATTAGTGCGATTTTAATGCTCCGTACAACCTCCAATTGTTCACAGGCCAATCAAGCGAGTTAGATTCAATTGTACATACAACTAGCGAGCTGTGGCAATTCAAAGATGTGATTTTACCGAATATATATACAGGCACATGTATTCCTTTGCAAATAAATAAGTACATAGAACGAGTATATATATTTGGCCTAGGCATAATTTTTTTCCAACTACACGCATAAACGCTACACTTTTCATGTTGTTGCTTAAATGGAACGATGAGTGCAACTTGTGGGTGAAAACTTTTTGAATATGTTAATTAAATATTACATAGTTACAGAAGCTCAAAAAAGGCTGTTTAAAAAATGGAATAATAAACGAATTTAAAATAGTGAGTGTTAAAAAAATGCAATGCAATTGCATAGGACACTAAGAGAAACACTTGAAAGCTTATTTGTTGAGTGTAATCCGTCAGATAACCAAACTTTAGAATTTAAGATACATTTAACAAAACTTTAAACTTGGTGAATTCAAATTGAGTGTTAAACAAATACTGTAATTTTTAATCACGTTGATTCCAGCTGGAATTAATTTTATCCGCCGATTTTGATGTCTATCTTAGTCCCGCTTCAATAATAATAATATTTTAAGGGAACACGGATGATCATGATCATCCTGAGAGCACCGGTCTTAAATCCAAAATATTGACAAATAAAAAAAGGAACTCGATTTTAGGTGAAAACAATTTGGAAACGCAACAAGAAAAAAAGTATTTACCCACCATATATAGAAGAACTTGATCAATGGCATAGATTAAGTGAACCCACCATTTTCTGACTGCTCCTTGGAGAACTTGATCTCCCGCTTTACACGTTTAAACACTTATAATTATAAATGTTTTTAACCTCTTGATGTTTGGTGTCTAATAAAGGAAACCAAAAAAACAAAGCAAAATCCTCTATTTTCTGGTAATAAGTTGTGGAAAAGCCTCTATTTATATGTATATACACGTTTTATTCAATTAGATATATAATTTATAATCGTACCATTTCAGTATTACTTCCATTACAATTAATTCTCATTTACTTAGATTGACTACACAATTTTTGTTAATAATTAAGAAGGTTGTTTGGTTAAACTTATATTGAGTTGAATAAACGATTCGGTTTATATAGTATTATGGTTAAAATACAATAAGTTCACTTCTGATATGGCGACAAAGTTAATAGGAAACCTCTAGAAGACTGCATTTAAAAAATTCATTTTGATTTAATACACATTGGTCCAACGCAGAATTAATTTGAATATCGTTTTTACAATCAATAGCCAAAAAAGGTCTACAGGTTAATTAACAGATACAATTTTAATGATTGTTTGGCGCAGCTCGTGAGTCGTTAACCTTATCGAATTCCGCACAGATTCTCAGTGGCAAACGCCTTTTCTGAGAAGAGGGATTCAAAAAGATTGCTTCGCCAAGGTTCGTCGGTTATGATATAAAAAGATCCGAGCCGGAGGCGAATAGTTAACAATTGTTAAATCATATATAATTGTTATTGCAATGTTCAACATCTAGGCACAAAATATATTGCTTCTCAATTGGTTATGAAAGTTATTGCATTGTCGGTAGAGCGTCGAGGGGTCTGTCGCGCCCCTCAACTATTAAAAAACAAAATAATAATACGTAATATGTCTGCGCTTTGCTTGTTAGGAATCATTGTTCGAAGGTTGAAATGTTTAAGTGGGCGACACCCGCTTCGTGGGCGAATTGCTGAGCAGGGCAGCCTCCTTGGCCCGCTCGTGCTCGTCTTGGAAGAATATCTTGGTGATGACCACGTCGCCGGTGCTCAGCGTCTGCGACTCGGCGTCCACCAGCTTCACCACCCGCTTGTCAGTCGTTCGCAGAATGGGCGTCACACTGCGCTCGCCCTGGCAATTGCAGTTCTTAATGCTGTAAATTAAATGTTTGCTATTATTCATTTATTGATTCAAATTCAAGTACTCACTTTCTGGATTTCTCGCGTATAATTTGCAGATTTTCGGTGGTCGCAATGCTCGATCCCAGTTGCTCTTGCATTGAATTAGAAGCTATAATCTATAAAACACATTATTATTAATCATTACGAAACACAATTGAGCGAAAATCACTTACTTGTTCACATGGCAGCGAGGTGGCAGTCGTCAGAATGGCCTCCAGCTTATCAATACGTGCTATGCGATCCATGGACTTGTTCTGGAGGATCTCCTCCAGCATTTGCATGGACTCAGTCAGACTGGGTGGCTCCGAACTAAACCTTGGCGAAAAGGTGCCCGATAGCGAATTATCCGAAGGCACCGAGTCCAAGCTGGGGAACGCGTCATTCTCATTTGGCTCTGGCTCATCCTCTGAGTCACTTTGGTCTCTGTTCGTGTAGAAATAGAACGTTAAGATATTTATCTATTTCGATATGTAGATAACCCACTTGTTGGGATTGCCGGCAGACTCCATTTTCTCCAGCTTCTTGGCCACTTTATAGTAGCCCTTCAGTCGCTCTTTCTCATCCTCCGTCAGGTCCATGTAGCTTTGGGTTATAGATAATATATATTAGATATATAATTTAAATTAAGTTTGTAATTTATTACTTACCGCAGCAGACGTATCTCTCGGTTGGAGAGCACAATGCTCTTGCTGGTTTGGGCCAACTTCTGCTTGAGATCGGACACCTCGGTGCTGACCTTGCGCTGCTTCTTGCGTATCTTCACCTCGTTGGGCTTGATCTGCATGAGTATTTGCTCGGTGCACAGCTCCGAGAAGAGTGCCCGATTCTCGGGCTTAATCTGCCGCGCCAGATTGCCAAACAGCTGATCGTGGATTAGAACTAAAACATCTCCCGCCGCATAGAGCATCATTTCCCTTGTGAGCGGTCGCTTGGCCCAGAACTTCTGGTCCCTTCGGTAGATCTGCTTCAGCTGATCCTTGATCGGATTGCAGGGGGCGTTGTACTGCTCGCACAGCGAGTTCAGCGATATGTACTTGGCCTTGTAGACCTGCTTGCCGCTCTCCTGGAACTGCAGGATCGCATGTGCCGCCTGTGTATCGAACACATTCCGCAGCAGGATGCCAAACTGCAGATACAAGTTGGCGGCATCGTTGCGACAGTCGTGGATCACCTTGATCACCTGATCGTGCTCCAGCACGGTCTTCAGTCCGCCATCGGTGACCATGGCCGGGCAGGATTGCACATCGAACAGGAAGGCCTCTCCACGCGTCGTTCCAATCTCAATTAGGGTAATCTCGCCCTTCAAGCCCAGATTGATGCCCTCGCAGTCGAGGGAGACCACAATGCTCTCGTTCTTGGCCGCATACTTGAGCAGATTGTCGGTCACAAACACCGATTGCTTGACATTCGCTATCACCGTCGTGGTCTGCAGCACCTTTATCTTCCAGGTGTCGCCGACAAAGTAGCTATGACTAGGTGAGTGGTTGGCATTGTTTGGATTCGGGTTCGCAGCGTTCGAGTTGCTCACCGCATTGCTGTTGGCATTATTCGCAGCACTCGCGTTTTGGTTAGCACTCGTCGAATTGGCAATGGAATGCACGGGACTGGCGTGCGGGGAGGTTGCTCCGCCCTGCTGGTTGGCCAGCGACTGCTTGTCCTTCTCCAGATTCTCGGCCAGCGTCCGTATAACTAATGTGTTGATGCGCTGCTTGAGGGTTTGGTTAACACTATTCAACCGCTGCTCGGCGGGATTCTGCTGCTGCTGTTGCTGTTGCGTCTGCTGCAGCTGCTGCTGCTGCTGCTGCTGTGCGGCATTATTGATGGGACCGTAGCAGGTGTTCGGACTGGGATAGTTGTTCTCGCACAGGTTCTCCAGCTTCAGCTCCGACATGGGCACATAGCTGTCGAAGCCAGAGCTCGGCTCCGATTTGGGCTGGCCGAAGCCCGGATTCTGCTGCTGCTGACCACCCATCACATTCGAAACGGGCGCATTGAGCTTGAAATTCGGACAAGCTATGCTATTGTTGTTGTTGTTGTTGCTGCTCCCGTTGCTGCCATTGTTGTTGTTGTTCGTGTGACCATTACTCCGCAGTGCCGGCGATTGTAATCTCTGCTGCACCGAACTGACACCTCCAACTCCACCAGTTCCAGTTCCTCCTCCTCCCAATTCCTGCCTCCGGTTGCTGTTATTGTTATTGTTCAGCGCATTGAATTGCTCCCGCGTTTGTGCCTGCGCCTGCTGGATGTGCGTATCGCTGAGCTTGGGCTTCTGCAGCAGCGTGACTAGATTGGCCTGGATGTGAAAGCAATCGGCGAAGAGCTTGAGGAACGAGCTCAGATCCCCCGGCGTCTTGAACATGCGCAGCCACTGATCCTGCGGAAAGTTCGTAGTCAGCAGATGGAACAGCTGGTCCACCAGCAGCGGTCCCTTGACCTCGATGCACTGCGCAAAAAAGTCGAGCATCTGTTGCGTTCCGCGCGTATCGATGTTCGATTGCGGCAGATGGAGGCGATCCCGCGCCGGCAGATCCGTCATGTTCTCGCAGCCCACCAGCATCACATAGTCATCGGTCACCTTGAAGGTATCCGTGTGCTTCATTAGAAAGTCGGTGAACTCCTTGATGTGTTGACCTGGGGGAAAAAGTAGAGAAGATTAGAAGGATTGCTTAGAAACATAAGAATATCTTTGCTTGCTTTATTGAGACACCATGCTGATTAGGTTTAAATTTCCTTTGTTATCAAGTGGCTTAGCAGTTTGCAAAGATTTCTGATATCTTTTTCTAAAAACTCACCTGATATGTGACGCACTTGGGGCGATGCCTGCGACCTGTGACCGAGCAGACTGCGAACGGGCACCTCGGCAGCCGCTCCGTACTGCAGCATCTTGTTCTTGAAGTAGTCTTTAGCCTCTTGGATGTAATCCCGCTTGCCCCCGCAGCCGTTGTCGTCCGCATTGTTGTGCTGATAGGCGTTCACCTGAACGTAATCGCCGTCGACCAGAAATATTGCCGGATATTGGGCGAGAAATTTCTTAAGACCTGTCAAACGGGAGGAGCAGAAGACGTCAATTATAATTAGGTGGACCATTAGTGGGTGCTTCGATGGAGTGGTTAATGCAGTAAAACTGTTGCAACAGCGCCAACTTAATTAATTTTCCCCCCTTTTATCCATTGTGCCTTCAATGTGTCAACTCTGAAATTGCGCCAAGACGCGTAAGTACTTATTGTGGTTGATTAATTCCAGGGAATATATGGTAGTAACTCGCTCGTCTGGTTGCCACTTTATGGAGATAGACAAGCGCATAGTTTCAACTCTCAACTTTAACAACTGGATTGTGAAAACTTTCCTCCAAACTGTGTGTATATCAACAACGGGCAACATGTGCCTGGATTCCCATAATTAACAACATTGTTTAATCGCATAACCATCAAATGACGAGCTTACATTCATACCACACATCTATCTGCATATGAATAATCATGTGTGTTTCGTTTCCCGCTGCCTGTTTCTGTTTCTATGTTGTTGATTTGGCTTGTAAAGTTGGCAAAACTTTCTGGATTCAAAGTTGCTTTACAATTACATGAATGAGGAAAGGAGATGTGAGTTTGCATGTGTGCACTGGAAGATAACTATTTTTGGGTTTATCTTTACCTTTGTTTTGGTAAAATATTTACAAAGTGCTTTGTTTGTAATAAAAACAGTGTTAAAGTTAAGTTGCAAAAATAAATTTAAGCCAAAGAACTAGCAATTTCAACAGTAAACGTAAAAACAATAATTAGTTTGATCTTCAATTATTTAAATCATATTTGATTATGTTTCAATTGTAAGAGATTTTTAAGGGAATTATAATGATAACATTTTTGCATTTGGAATTTGTTTCTTGTTTATTTCGAGTGTATCGCTAACCAAATGAAAAGTGAATGCACTCAGGCAGTGGAAAGCGACCGAGCGGAGCTAGCGAACCATTTATTTGATAAATCAGGTCATAGTTGCTGACTGACTGCTGCCGTCGGTCGGCCCAAAACGGGACACCCGTTGACGTGGCCCCACCCTCCTCTTCCCCAGCCACTTCCTCGTCCACTCATCCAACCCCCTTGATGGGCGACCCCATCATCCGCAATTGGTAGGAATGCGACGAGCACTCGACGGCTCCATATGTCCCATTGTATCGGTCCGCCTACCGCCTCCCGCCCACAAATCCATCTGGTGTGCTCACCATTGTTTGGGTAATATGACGTGACAAGACAAACGCGCAGCAGCGATGGAATAGATCAGGGGTTTCTAGGGGGATTCCGGGGTGGTGGTGAACGTTGCGTGTCACTGAGGTAGACACAAATTTAGCTTCATAATGCCAGACATAAATTAATTCAATTGCATTTGACATAACTCAGCTGTAAAGTCGCATAAGGAAAAGCGAACGTTGATTAATCGAATCGGACTGGCATATTATGCAAGGTATGCCAAACGGATTTTGGCGACTCAATCGCAAAGTAATACCCGAGTAAACATCTCTTTATCCCATTTTCCAGCTGCCAAATGAGCCACAAAACTGACAAATGGCTAGACATTTTCCATCCTCCCACCGGCAAAAGAAAAAAAAGAAAAAGGTTAAACTGGGAAAATCCTTTCGAGCGTAATTCAATTTTATGTTTACTTAGAGAAATTGAAATTTGTGGAACAGGTCACAACTGACGCCGCAAATCGAAGTTCATAACATTTCAATATTAATATTTATCGAAGGCGCAAAGCCAAAACCCGAATATGTAATGTAATGTGCAAATATATACAAACAGTCGAGCACTTGGCGGGCCAATATTTGTCAGTTCTGTGTGCTTAGCCGCAATTCTTGGCAGGCAAACATTTTTGGCTACACCTTCCGCCCCTCCCACCTTCCACCCACCGAGTGGAGCAGGTGTTGTGGTCTAAGGGGAATCAAGGGGATAGAGGGGGTTGTGGGGGTAGAGGTACTGCCACATTTTACGGCTCGACCCACTTGGACACATTCTGTTTTTTTTTTTTGCGGTGGCAATTTTCAAATGCACCGAGGACACTCGCCATAAATTTATGTTTATTTATGCCCCTCCGCTTATTGAAGAAAACGAAAACATTTCCCCGGGATGTTGTGAATCGAAATGTAAGTGAGCAGAACACCCAGGTAAAGGGTTATGTCTGGCCGTAAACTCAGGATTTTATGACTCACCCACTGAAGGGGATTGGGAAAAAGCATCTTCTAGGGGAGCGTGGTGAAGTCCTTCTCCTTGAGTCGTGACTTCATTAGGAACTCATTAGTTCCACCTCATCTAAAACTTCGAGGCTGTCAAAACAGTTACCGATCAATTAGAAACAAATGGCACAAAGTTCACAAGTAATGAGTAGCAGCTTTCGGCCTAAACAAAGTGTTTCGCCTTTTGCAATTAATGTCAAAAATCAATGCGACTCCCCGTTTTCCTCGTGAAAAGTAAAAGTTAGCCGAAGCATAAAAACCTTGGCTGCACACACGCAATGCCTGGAAAATCCGAGGGGAATGGAATGGTTGGTTGGGTGTCGAGGGTTAAGGGGCACCGGCTGGCAGGCGTTAAAGGATTTCCTTCAGCCGACATAAAATCGTTAAATTTACGACAATGCCAGGGAATTGAAATGCGAGCGTAAATGCAAAGGGTTCAAGTGAAATGAGTTTTGTTCCATTTGACAGATCGATCAGCTAATCATTCAATAAGTACAACGGAACACGAAAGTATGTTATATATTAACTTTGATAATACAAAATATATCCATTCAAATTGATTTCTGTGTAGCTAAAGTACTTATTCCATTTGCTTTGACAATTTTTGCTAGTTGCTTGTGTTTTTGCTTAAGCAATCGATTACGCAAAGCGAAAAAAATAAACACACACAGAAAAACAGTTGCGAACCTTCGCAAAAGGCTTGGCCTGTTTTTGGCGTATGTTATTTCTTATTGTTTTTGTTTCCTTCTATTTTTTTTCTATTTTTCCTATTTTGTTTGTACAATTATTCAAAGCCGTTGGCAACTCAAAATGGCAAAACGATAAAGCGAGCTAAATGGTTGTGTTTATTTGTTGCTGGCCATTAAATTGGCAACGAAATTTAAGTTTCCCATTAACGAGGGCGCACAGCTCAGCACAAACTCTTCAAACTGTTTGTCTAACCCAATAGAAGTTGGTTTTGGGGGGCCAGCGTTTAAATTTCTCCCCGGTTAGAAAATTGCTTTTGACGTTAATTTCCCAAAAATGTTTTCTCAATGGCGGGGAGAACCCTCATCAATCGCTGGGGAATATGCATGGTAGCAGCACACACACCTCCATTTATTATTGAAGCAACAAATGGATATGGATACGGAGCCCCGAACTCAGGTCTCTAGAATATCATGCAATTTTATTGAAATTCAATTGAACATTTTTGTCACGTAATCGACACTTTTCTATTACAAAGTTTCCGCCTGTTTTCCCCCTTTCCCACCATCCGTTCCCCTCCTGACCAAAAACCACATAATGGGCGACTTGGATGGGTCTATTGTGGGCGGCATTCGCTGGGGTATAAAATCTACCCAAGCGGCTTTAATGGCTTACAAGTTGGACAAACAACACGTTGACAAAAACTGAAGAGGCATAAAATATGTTTATAGGATTTTAGGTCAGTCCCAGCGGAATGAAAACCGGGATTAGTGGGGGAAATTGGGTTGCTATTGACCAATAGACTCCTTATCACTTTTTTGATAGAGACTTGGAATATCTAACCGGGGATATCTGACGCTTTTCTATTTATAAGCCAGACCTTGACATTTCCCATAAATATTTTCCATAGTCTGTTTTCGCTATTCTAACAATGCTCCAACTGTGATTTACGTGTTTGGCGCATATTTCCCGGAATTTCCCCTATTTAATCTATTGCGTTCTTGCCAAAACTAAAGCTCGATCTTTAAGTCAATGGATTAAACTATTTTAGCGGAAAATGTTGCTCACCTCAGGTAAACACAATTTGTCTTGGCGGCAGAGCATGTGTACAAAATCAACAAATGCGATAAAATTTTTTTAAATGTTGGTTTTCTTGTTGCAATTAGCGAAGTCACAGAGTGTAAAAAGCAAAAGTAGTAAATTATTGTTAGGGGGTTTGATGTGACAAATTGGAAAAGTAATAATAAAATATTAATTTATAGAATTTCTGTTGAATACAGAAATATATTTCTTCAAAGTGAATGCTTAATTTCCTTTTAATCTTTTCGTCTTGAATGATAATCTCTATGTTTAACTAATTCCCACATAAACTGCTCGTCATTCTCGAGATCTTCATGATTCCTTGGCGTTAAATGATTTGCTATTAAGCCCTGGAGAGCGGTGTAAACAAATGTTTGCCATTTCCTGTACCCGCCTCATTTTCTTCCCCCCTCTTCAAACAAGTGAGAACATCAAACAAATGTCTTCACATATGTATCTCCGGCGAAGGGAAAGTCCATTGCACCTTCCCAACTCCGCGCTAAGTGGTACCTATTTTTAAAAACCGAAAGTTGTTTGTTGCGGCTATTTTTAGTCGTTTGCGTTAACCATGCATTTTGATAAATAGCGTAGCTGGGAGTTTTTCATGTGGCGAGTTGTCAATGGAGGTACACAACACGTGTACGTCGAGAATCTCAAGTTCTCTCCATGTTTTCCATATACCAGTTTGTAAAATAATACTCATACCACTTGTAAAATGAAAAAAAAAACAGGGGGAAGCCAAAACCGACAACAACATGTGCATTATCGATTGCAGTTTGCCGTCTGCAGCGAAAAACGATAAACCCTTGGCATGTTTTTGTGGTTTTGGCATTGAGATCAATTGGGAGATGGAAAATCAGAAGGGGGGCGGGGCGGCAAGGGGCAGAAGTGGGGTGCTCAGACTCCCCTCTGGCAATGGCAATGGAAACGGCAATGACATGTGCACTTGGACGCCGGCCACTCTCGAAGGCAACACAATCATCGACTTTGACAAACGTCGACCCGCAGGTGCACAAATATGTTCGCATAACCGAACAAGAGTCCAGTATTGCTCGCTTTCCACCGCACACGTTTCCAATTTCCCAGGCTCACCGACGACATTTTAAATGAGAGGCTATTGAATGCGATTGTTTTTACAATCGGCTTTCTCAAACTTGATTTTTCTTTGGTCCAGTTTTCTTGTGAACAAATAGAAGTTCGGAATTCATTGTCTTTATGTTAAAAAACTTGAAAAAAATCAATACCGACTCCTAATTAAAAGAAGGCCAAAAAACTTTAAAAAGTTAAGGAAACGCTGTCTTTGGGTAGATGTCAACAGTCAAATGTTGTATTTAAACTATTTTTCAATGTTTTTTTTTTTATCTTATACTCTTATAAAGTTCTGTATAATTTTTTTTATGACATTAGGAGTTTACTATTACTATTTTACTACTGAATGTTTAGCAATGGATCGGTGTTTAGATGAACCTTATTATGTTTTGGTCTTTGGACTTACCCGACTGACTGCCCCCGGCGATTTGACGCATCTCCTTGGTGAACTCCTTGTTGCCAAACTGGCAGGAGAGATCGTGGACGGTGCGGGGCTCGCCCTTGTCCAGCAGCCGCTCCAAGAAGAAGAGCAGCGTCATGTTGCGTGCCATCTCGTACTCCATGGACTCCATTGTACCGTCCGCTCAGCGATATCTGCTATATCAGCTATCTGCTATCCTCTATCTGCCGGCTATCTGCTCAATTATTAATCCACACGAGTACGTCACGTCGGCTTGCTTATCTGCGGAAGAGGGGAGAAAGGGGGAAGGAGAGCATAAGTTAGGTGAAATGGCCAACACTTATGCAATGCGCCAAGAAAGCTGGTCAAAAACAGGGCTGAGAAACTAGCCAAACCGCAGACACATATTAGCCACACAGAAAGAAAAACTTGTTAAAGTAATTACATATTTTAGTTTGTTGTTTGTACTTTGATTTTAGTTTAGATTAACACATATTTTGCTTGTAAAACACGTTCAAATAGAAGTTAAATAGTTTATATCAAACATAAAAGTTTTAAATGTACATTTATATAGTTTTTCTTTCTGTGCAGTTGAATTTAATTTCGTTTCGTTTCTTTATTTATTTTATACATTTGCACTTTGCCACTTGAGCGGCTGCTGTCGCTCTCTCTTTCTGACTAGCTTGCTCTCTATCTCGACACTTGTCTGGTGTTATTGCATTGTTTTTGTTGCTCGCCTTGCACTAGTTGAAAATGTACAAAAAAAATGTGGAAAAGTGGGTGGGGAAGTTGCAGAGCCATAAACTTTGTTTTTCTTGTTGAATAATTGAAAAGCACAGAATCAGGCTGAGAGGCTCACGTACGAAGGAGTTGGTTCTTAAGGACTGTGGCCGTCGATTTCTTGCGGCATATCCTTGCGCGCCGCTCGAAGGTTTAAAATCAACTGGCAGCGCTGCCTGCGCCCACAACATAAACACAGGCGAATTCGGTCAGCTGACTGCGCGGCGAGAGCAGGAGACACGTCACGGCGAATTCGCATCAGTGTTGCCAGCCAACATTTACCATACTCAATGAGAAAAACCGAACTCACATAAAATGTTAAGAAAATAGGTGAACATATTTATGGATTAGTTTTAAGCATTAGGCCAAACTAAGAGAAATATGTTTTAAAAAGCACACAAACTAAAGATATCAGAAAATACACTTCAGTTAGATACTAAATAAAAACTACAAAACATTTTTTCTAAGTGAACTAAAATTGAATGAAATTTGAATCTATCAGGATTTTCAAATAAGGAAGATCATTTTCATGAGAACGCGACAAGTGGATTTTGCTTGGGATTAGTAGCAGTAAGACTCTTAGCACAAAGGGATTTCGTTGGACTTTTCAAATGGAATTCGGTGGGAATCGGCGATCAAAAGTTGGCACCTCGACTGTGGGGCCATGGCTATATATATAACATGTTTTAATTTGTTTGTTGCTGCTGCTGCCGGTTGGCATGTGAAAAGTGCCAGCGCTGCAGAACAGGTGATTGACACAGAATGGTAAAATTGTGAATTGCGGCGGATGGTGCAGCGGAAATGGAAAACGCCAGCTCCCAAGAGAATGCATAAAGGCAGCTTAACTATTTTCCATTATTAATTTCCCTAAACAGAACTGGCCACTCATTATTATTATCCAACAGAAAAGCTACAAAGGCCAATAAGAAATTCAGGTGTATCTGTTGATAAGCAAAAACCGTTGACAACAAATATGTATTGAGAACGACAACAAAAATAACAACAATGGCACACATTCCAATCAATGTGTGTACGTGTGTGTGTTATACAGGTATTTTTGGCTTTGTATGGGTGGCAAAACAAGAAACTTCAGACATATCGATAAAAAAGAAGAGTCTTATTAGAAGAAAGAGAGGGCGAATGCACGATGCGATGACTAAAGAAAGGTAAAAACAATAAAAGAAAATAATATCTGCAGAGAAAACGCGCAAAAAAAGACGGCAAAAGAAAGAGGCTCTCAAAATATGCAAAGCAAAAGAGAGGGCGAGCAAAAAGAGCAGTTATAATTACCTGGCAGTTAATCACTTGTTTTCCTTTTTTCCTTGTATTTGTTTAAGTGCACTTGTAATCTATATTTATATATTAATGAATTGACACACACACGATACAGATCCTCGCGTTGGGGATTTCTCACCAGATCTACAGCAAGATCAGATCTTTAGCTTTTGGTTTTCACTCGCGTAATTGAATTAGGCATCAATTAATTTGCTCGCTTAACATTTTTTCGGCGCAATTAACCAATACACTTGCAGAAAAACTGCGACGAAAGCAGTTAGTTATTTTCGCTGTTATGTTTGTTGTCGTTGTAACACACATACATACGCTCCCTGGTCAGGTAGGTTATCTGTGTGTGTGGGTTTGTAAGGCACTTTGAACGCTTGTAAAAAAGTGTAGAAAACCACTTGTTGCACTGTTTTCAAGGCACTCTTTAAACTTTGCAACTACCAAACGCCGATTTGAAACTCCGGGCGGTCGGCGGGCGGCAAAACACACACGCTGGCGAGGTAAAAACAGACACAATTGGCACGGTTTTTTGACGGGGGAGCGATATGATGATGACAGCGCCAACGCAAACAGTGTTGTTCAAGTCTTCCAATTGGAGCTGATTTAGTGTGACCAAAGGAGCCCATTCTTGGAAATGGATTAGTGCGACCGTAGATCAAGGCTGTTATTTTTTACTAGCGCGCGAATGTTTTGAATTTTAAATTTCTTCCATGGCGTTGCCCGCAATGGAATTTTTCCCGATTTACTTTTTTTTTATTTAATGGTTTAATAAATTAAAAAAATTAAGTTTTCCGATTGAACAATTCCCCATTTTTAAAAAAGTAAAAGTTCTGAAACTTTTAATATAACATACAGGAGTTTGATGTGCACTTATTAATTGGCCTACAACTACTTTGATGCACATCAATTATTTGGCGAAATATTTGATATCCTATAATTTACCTAATAATTACCAAAAACCCAAGTCAGCATCACTGACTAAGTGGCCCAGTTAGCGGGAAGAGAAACCATGGTTGAAAACTATGCTTAAACTAAAGCAAGAATGAGCCTCTGTTAATAACAGTTCTCCACTTCAGGTCCATGGGCGTAGAGAAAAAGGAAATTTTCGACTTTTTTTAGATCCCTTTTTAAGCGGTGGTTATTTTATAAGTTTTTATGTAGTTTAAGCCCGTCAATGCTAGCAGAAAAGATTTCCGAAATTCAAAACACTTACTATGAAATTTTTACTTTATTTGTTATTGGTTTTCTTCATTTTTGTTTTGCCCTTTATGTGCTTTACATGTTTGTGATTTGATTCGTATTTAATTCTTTTAGGTTTCCTTATATGCGTTTATAAATCGAATACTCAATTTCCTCTAATGATATGCGCACCAAACAAATTTTCAACTGAGCGCAATTAACAGGGAACCAAAAATGCTCTCGAAATCAAAATTTTCACTAAACGATTTTTATTTAAGTAAATTATAAAGAAGAAGGCAATTCATGTGTATACCACGGAGTTCTATACGTTAATCAGCATCAATGCCCGTTTAAACATAATTTATTAAGATGTATTCGCTCTCCTCTCTCTCTCATCGTTTTTGCTTAATATAACGCTAATATAAGATTTATATTTTATATAATGCATCTTTTACTTTGTATGGAATAACACTTAATTATACATTCATTTCATATAGTTTGATTTCAGTTGTAATCATCATAACAAACAGAAAAATGTCTGTGCAGGCTGATTCAAAAAAATTGTAAATAGAAATAATGGAAAAATTATAGGTAAATGCAATTTGAAATTGTCTGAAGGGGATCTCTAAATAGTAGTTCTTGTCTGGTTTTAATTGTGTGTGGTTCGTTTCTTTCCTTTCTCTGCCGTTTAGTATCAAACCACTAAATACTTGTCCATATAAATGTTTTCGTTTAAATATTTATTTATATATAGAATTATATATATTTTATGCTATATAATAACTATGCAATGTATGCATATATGCTGTTGCGCTTCATTTCCCTTTTATCGTTTACTTGGATATTTTCCTTTTTGTATTGTTAACACTCATATTTTGTTTGGGAATGGGACGAGAGAGTTTAGGAAAAGTACAAAAGTATACATGGCTCGTCGAAAGCTTTTCAATTTTAGTTTACTTTTTACTACACAATGTGTATATGTATAATCCAAACGATAAAGAACAGAACTTAAAAACAAAGGCTTCGTCGCACGCGTTGAAATAATAATTTTTTTTTTTTTTTTTTTTTTTTCTTTATTTATTTATTTAGTGCAGAATCTGTACAGCAAATTAAAGTACTTAACAACACAGGTGTCACCAATGAGAAAAGTAAACCAACCCTCAGCATTAAGAAGAGGATTATATATAGTATTTTCTTATTGATTCCTTATCGTCTTGGCAAAGCCTTGCCTTTTGAGACGCCTCAAAGGTCTCGCTGGGAGTAGATTCCTAGCCAGTAAGCTGCGGTGTCTTTCTAATCTATCTCGGTATCGGCTTGTGTGTCTCCCAATCTGTTCTTCCACAGTGTGTAGATTTAGGTCTCTGTGAAGTGTCGTGCCACGCACATACCAGGGACAGTCAGTAATGGTACGTAGAAACCGATTCTGCAACACTTGTAACCTTTTGTAGTTCGATTTGGCTGCGATCCCCCAAATTTGAATACCATAAAGCCAGATTGGCAGGATACAGAATGCATATACTGCCCTCTTGCATCTCAGCGGCAAAGTGCTCCTTCTGTGTGTAAGCCAACGCAGTTGCTGAATCCTTTGGTTACATTTTTTGACTGTTGCTTTCAGATGTGGTCCGAACGTAAGGCGCTTATCCAGTGTGATACCAAGATATTTTGCTTGCGACGGCTGTTCCAAACTGACTCCCTCTAGCTGGATTTCAGGGGTGTTAGATACAAGTCTCTTCAGTGTAAAGCAGGGGTTCGTAGTTTTTTGCGGATTGATTCTCATATTCCAACGTTTACACCAAGCAGAAAGATCCTTAAGGTATTCTTGTATTCCATTTGCTGCTTCCCTCCGACATCTGGAATTGTAGATGACTGCAATGTCATCTGCATATGTAGCAATCAAAGCTTTGGAAGGATCTATCATGTGATGTCTGTTTGGGCTTGGTATATCCACTGTATATAAAGAGTAAAGCAGCGGCCCAAGCACACTGCCCTGAGGTACTCCTGCTCTCATTCTATAGTTATCAGAGTATCTGTCCCTAACTCTGACCTTGAACTCCCGTTCTTCTAGGTAGGATCTCAGAAGACCATAGTAGGGGGCAGGTAGGAGGTTTTTGATTTTAAGCAAAAGTCCAACATGCCACACCTTATCGAAGGCTTGCTGCATATCAATGAAAACTGCGTTGGAATACTCTTTGTCATCAAAGGCCTGCAAAATATGTTTCACCAATCTATGCACTTGTTCCACAGTGCCGTGTCCTCTTCGAAAACCAAATTGGTGGTCTGGCAAGATATTGTCTCGATTCATGATAACTGCTATTCGATTGGCAATGAGTCTCTCCCACAACTTGGACAGGGACGATAAGAGGCTTATCGGACGGTAAGACTCAGGATCAGCCTCTGGCTTACCTGGCTTGTGGATCATCTGAATTGCTGCTAATTTCCATTGCTTTGGGAACACTTGAGTCCTAATAATAGCATTAAATATTAAAGCTATAAATAGAATCGCTTTTATGGGCAAGGCCTTCAACGTTACGTTGCAAATTCTATCAATTCCTGGAGCCTTATTTTTCGGTAAGGACTGGATAACTTCAGATATTTCTTCAATCCTTATAGGCTTTATTGGCAACGACATCTGCAGAGGCGTCTCCAGAGTTTGATGGGTCTCGCTAACCTGAACTGTCGATGCAAAGCTATACGGAGTGAAGCGTTCTTCTAGATGTAGACCGAAAGCATTGGCCTGCTCCACTTCATTTTTTGCGAGCTCACCACTGGGACACCGAACAGGAACCTGTCTAAGGGGCTGGCGCTTAAGCGATTTTGTACATTTCCACAGTGAATAATTTGCATCCACCGTGTAGTCCATGGAAGACAATTTATGCTCAAAAAAATCGCTTCGAAGTCTCCTTAAAAGGGTTCGAAGTTGCATTGCAGCTCTGTACCACAAAATACGGTCTTCAGGATCTTGAGAACGAATTGCTCTTCTTCGAAGGCGCCTTTTTGTTACAATTAGCGCCTTGGCTTCCCTTGTGAGAACAACACCATAATTGATAGGACGATAATCCGGTTCCAAAGGCGTCGAAGCAGAAGCAGCCATATAAATATTATTAGTTAGAGTGTCAACTGCATTCTCAATGTCTTGTCGTGAGTCCAGAGCAGAATTTAGTTGAAAGGAGTTATCAAGAATTTGTTTGAAAGAAGTGAGATCAGTCCGACTTGTTATTAACCGAGGGCTTCGGGTGATATTGGAACCATTTGTTAGTAGATTAACAATAAGGGCAATGTGATCAGACTCCAAGTCCCAGTTTTGGCAGATATTGATTTGAGAATCCATAATTCCGTGGTATAAAGCAAAATCGATGCAAGTAGCAGTGTGGCTAGGAACATATGGGTATCTCGTTGGTGAACCAGTGGCAAGTATTTTGGACCCTCTGGCTGAAATCGATTCAACCAGCTCACGGCCTCTGGGTGAATTGTAGGTGTCACCCCACATCCAATGTCTAGCATTCCAGTCACCACCAACTATGTACCTCTGACCACAAGAAGAGAGTATATCAGTGAAATGTCTTTCTACAATTCTTTGGCCTGGAGGACAGTATATTGCGCTTACATCCACGAGTCCTAAGCCGGTCGCAACTTTAATGGAAGACAATTGAATGCTTTTCGTTTCTATAATACGTTGTGGGAAATGACTGAGAGAGCTTCTTACCAATACCGCCGCCCCACCCATTCCTTGATTATGTCGTGAAGGTTTATATGCTGGATAGAAGGAATATCCGAAAATTTTGACAACTTCACCTCGATTGAGCCTAATTTCACTTAAAAGTATAATATCAATGTTGTTGTTGTGCGCAAAGAATTCCACTTCTCTGGCTTTACCTGAAATGCCATTGACATTCCAGATAAGGATTTTGAGTGTATTCATTTTGAGGCTGAAACGTTGTTGTGAAGCACTGATTTGCCCCCAGTCCACTGCTTAATAGAATTGGCCATTTCGAAAACCATATTTTCAAGTCTTTCAAGTCGAAGGCTGTTCTGTTTGTTTTGCTTTTGTTGTTCCTGCTGCTGTTGTTGTAACCACAAAAAGAATTGCTGCTGCTGCTGTTGCTGAAGTTGTTGTTGCCATTTCATAAATTGCTGTTGCTGTTGCTCCAATATAGACTGAACGTCAAGCACATATTGTTGTTGTTGAGTATTCTTCGAATTTTGTACTTGCGGCTGCGCTTGGAGATCATGTAGACGGCGCTGGGCATGACCAATTCCATTTCTTACAATAGAGGCATAAGATAAGCCTATATTATTGCTGGCAGAAGAGTTAGGCATTTGCTGAGATTGCTGCTCTCGGATTGGCTGTTGTTGCTGACGTTTTTGTTGTGGATGTTGTCGCGTTGATTGTTTTTTTGAACTCATC